GAATGAAATGTCAATAAGTTTGTGCATATTTCTAAACAGATTGTCTGGAAGTGAAGTGATTTCGTTTTCATCACACCACAGTTTCCGAATATTTTCTAGCCCAACCAAATCTCTTTGTGTTATTGATTTCAATCCACAATTATCAATTTCAACAGTTTTCAAATTAGGGAAAATTTTGTTCAATCCTTGAGGGAAGTAGTTGACTGTTGTATCTTTAAACCTAATCGCTTCGACATCTTCATCACTTTTTCCTTCTAAATGTGTTCCCGTAATCGACTGGATGTTCATGTTTGGTATTGTTATTGCTGAAAAATGAATATCGCAAGTGTAGGCTACACCATGTTCTTTAAAATCACAAAATAGTTCCATTATTCATGAAGTAATCACGAAATATGACAGGCCAAAATGTGTTCTGATTTCTTCGGCGTTAGAAACAAGACTAATTAAAGGAGACAAAAATAACTGTCGAAATCTTTACAGGATGAATGTATTGAGTTATTTATAAACTTATGTAGAAGGATATGAACAAACATCTCTTGTAGTGTTGGATTTTTAGCAAAAATTTCATAGTACAAAAATACTTTTCGTATGTACGGTTGTGTTGTTATTTTTGCAGTTTTTCTATCTGCTTTTCTCTGAATAGGTTGAATTTAGGTAGAAAAGATCACAAAACAAGGATCTCTCAACAACATTATGTAAATTTTCAAGATTTTGTTGACCAAAAGATGAATTTAGTAATACAGGAATTGTGGCACTCACAGATCTCTGAATTCTTTTTAATGTTCACTAAACTGCTGCACACGATTTGTTTTTACCAACTTACAAACTCTTGATTGATTGTAAACGACTGACAGTTAATTGAAAATTTGAGTTTGAATAATTATTGAGTCAATTAAATATTGTCATCTATTTTCCGTGACCTTTTCTCAATAATTAACATTACAAATGACAACATTTTTGATGCAATAAACTCGAATAAAATTTTATGAAATGAACAGACATTTTATCAGGATAAGAAAAGTTAGCAGATTTGAAATCTCTTCTCTTTCAATTTCTTCTACACCAGAAGAGCTTCAGGAAAATCTTCACAACTTCTGAATTTACATTTTTTAATTAATAATAAATAATAATTTTCAAAAATTGAAGTGAAAACTGAACTTTGCATAGCTAAAACAACTTTGTGTGCTAAAAAACTGCTTAATTTTTTTTCTATTTATTCAAATTGCTGACAGATATAAAAAATTAAATATTAAATCACCCAGAATAAAAGTCCCAAACCATTTTTTGTAATTACAATCATGAAGGTAAAAATATTCATCAGCGAATCAGAATTTCACTCTTCGTTACGCCAATGTAGATTGTTGCGTCGGGCATTGATCCATTGATGAACTTAACGTCAACTTTCACACCAAATTCCTTTCTAAAACATGACGAGTCTTTCTCATCGCAAAGTAGAAGAATGAAGTGAATGGTGACTTCACCTTCACTTGTTCCTGGCGGAATTTTCACGGAAATGCTCGACCGCCCTTCATTTAAAAGCTTTTGCGTATCAAAATGATCAAATTTCCATCCACGTGTCAGATAAGATTGAATCTTCTGAGGTGCATCAGGTGTTAGTTTTACACCTTCATGAAGATTTAATGCAATTGGAAGCTCGAAACGGCCGACACCTTTCTGAAAGTGCCTTCCATTAGGTACCAGAACCATCGTGACATTTGCTGGTGGGCCAGTAACATGATTAATCTTCTCTGAAGGCCACTTAAGTTGATATTTACTTGCAACAAGCGTTGATAAGTTTATGCGAATTAACTCATGACTATTTGTGTTTAAAACAATTAAATGTGAACCATCTGGCGTTGTACAAAGTCCCGAAGGTTCATTGAACGTCAACAATCCACCAATTTCGTCAGTTATTGCCATTGTTTGAATATGATTTGATTGAATGTTGATTCTTTTGATTTTATTATTGAAAGTATCAGCAACGAAGACGATGGATGATGATGTCGGATGATGTGCAAGACCAAGAGGATGTTGAAGACGCGCTTGATATTTTTCACCATCAACATCACCATATGCGAATAAATTCATTAGATTGTTAGCTCCACCAACAACTGGAGAGACTTTTCCAGATACAAGCGACATTTTTCGTATTGAAGATGATTCAGAATCAGCAATGAAAACTTCATCAGTGCCTCGAACAAGACAAAGACCAGATGGTTGTGCAAATGAAGCTTGTTTCGGGTAATCATTGTTTCGATTTCTTTCTTCGCCATTACCAGCTATTGGGACAACTGTATTCGCGTTTTGAACTTGATAACGCCACCAAATCGTTTCTTCAAAGAAATAAGCCCACACTTGATGAGTTCCAGCCATTGCAATGACCAAAACAACTTTCTGTGGTACTTGACTGTCGTCTTCATGAAAACTCATGTCCATGTTCTTTGTTTTGTAAACGACAATGTCCCAAGGACTGGAAATTGCTTGTTGAAGTGGTGAATTACCACCGTTCACATCTGTTCCTTGAGCGCCACTTCCAATGATCGTCTGAACTTTTCTCTGCTCCAACATGACCATTCGAATCACATGATTTTCAGTGTCAGCAACAAATAAAGTTTTCTGATCAAGCCAAGCAACGCCTTGTGGACAATTAAATTTTGCTTCATCAAATGTTCCATCTTTATAGCCCGCAACACCAAATTGTCCAATTTTATGGACAACACTACCAGATGAATTGAAAATGATGATTCGATGATTACCAGAATCTGATAAGGCAAAGAGTGACTCAGTTGTAGAATCTGCTGAATCATAATTTGAACATTGAATCTTTCCAGGAAACTTCAATTCAAATTGACTCGATGGAGCTGCTGATGGCTTGATGGGAAGTGGTTTTGGCATCAACAATTGCTTCTCTTTGAAGTATTCGATGCAAGTGCCTACGACCAGTTCGATTTCATCGTAGTGCCCTTCACCCATCACTAAATAAATTGGTACACCTGTTGGACTCATCAGTAGCAATGTAGGCCAACACTGAATATTTAATGTTGACCACATAGCGTTATTTAAGTCATTAACTACGGGATGTTGAATATCATGACGTTGAATAGCTGCGTTGACATTTTCACTCGATTTTTCATTTGTAAATTTAGCTGAATGACATCCGATAATGACAAGTCCATCTTCTTGAGTAAATTTCTTTTCTAAACGATGAAGTTGTGGTAGAACATGCAAACAGTTGATGCAACAATAAGTCCAGAAGTCAATAAGAACCAAAGAACCGGTTAAGTGTTCTTTCCATGTTAATGGCTTCGAAACATTAAACCAATCAAGTCCTAGATAGTAGAACAATTTAATTATATCTTTAAAAAAATTAAGTATCAATTCTTACCTTCTTGAAAATCGGGAATAGATTGAAATTTATTGGTGGAACAGATTATGTCGATGGATTTTAAGATTAATGATTTTTGCTTTGATCTATTTGTCTCTTCTGCTATAGCAACTTGTAAATCCATACACTCTACTGCAAGTTCGTCCAACATTTCTTCATTTTTTATAGAAGCCATAGTTTTATGAACTGATGAACAATTTTAATTTAAACTTTTTTTCGATTCAATAAATATATTGAAAATGTAAACAAAAATCTCTACAAAAATATGATATTCAAATATCAAAAAACCGTTAAACATTCGTAGGATCAAAATTGAGCTTTTTCATGAGCTTTCGGAAGAAGAGCTTCATTCATTTCTACTCGAATGTTGATTTTTAAGTAAAAAAAAAATCTCCAAATATTTGTAATCTCAGTTATCGTATTTCTAGTTTTCATTTGCCTGGACATAACTTTAGAATTTTTGAAAATTTTCACTACGTTTTCTAAATTTTTCTTCAAATTTGCAAACTTTTTTATAAATCGACTATAAATATTACCTAGTTTGTTTTCAATGGCAGGAGGTTATCATACCAGAAAAAGAAGATTTATATTCATCTTGTGCTTGAAAATTTATTTCTTAACAATAGTTTTTACAACAGCATATTATTTCCTTCGAGAGTATTCACGTTCACTGCAAGGTTTGTAATTTAATCATTTAATAAAAAAATGTTTCAAATTATTTAACATTTCATAAAATAATCTTCAGTAAAGGATGAATTGCAAGATGTCACACCTTCTAGCGTCTTCCAACCTCCTGAATTTAATAAGAAAGGAAAACCATTGAATGTTGGCTCAACAACTACTGCAATGATCACTGAGTACGGGCCGTCAAAAATTGACCCAATCTCTGTGCAAACAGTTTCATCTTCAAACATATTTACGGGAATGTATTCAAAACAACCGTTTACTGACTTATCATATTCTTTTACATCCAAAAGAAGTTCGCAAACCTCTCCCGATAATATTTCAGGTAGTTAAATGATATTAGATATTCATATTCTGGATTTTTTATGACTCACGTTACTAAAATCAAGGCACCTAGTTGTTGAAAAATATTATATTCTTAAGTTTTTGAACATTTACCTTGACTTGTTGGTATCGATATTACACAGAACTCCATTATGAGAATATTTGCTTCCTTCAGCTTTTGTACACATGTTGTAAAAAAAGATTTGATAGACATTGAAAGCAAATTCAAGATTCTAATAATAAAATAATTTAAAGTTTAGGACATTCTTACTTATGTAAATTAGTCTTGGAATATTCTCGATCAAAAGCCTAAGCAGCAATAGAAACAAATCCAATGAATGTAAACACTTTAATAATTTTATGAAAAAATTCAATTCTAATCAGTTAAATTAAGGCTTGAAAATTGAATTAAAATTGAAAACGTAAAAATATGGCTAAAAAGAATTTTAAAGTTCTTTGTTCTTATAAACCTGTGAAAAATATTTAAAACTCTATGTACATAAAAGAGGCTTAAAAAAGTGTTTTCTAAATCCTTAATTCTTGATATGAATCAACATTTGCGCGCATTCTTAAATCATAAAGAGATACAAAACTTAGTGAATGAAAGTGGAGAATAAGAATTGCATCTCAACTTCTAAAACATATAGGAAAGATAATTGTTTATAAACTGTGAAGGTACTAAAAGAGCGTGTCGGAAAAGTAAATTCAATTATGATTTTTATTTTTTATACTAAAGCCATGCTTAGTAATAATTAATACATATTTAATGATTTGGAATTGGCACAGATTCAACGGAATTACCGATAAAAAATGAATCATCAAAACGAGCGAAAGAAACCACAGAAAAAAAAACCTATGAAACTTCTACAAAAGGCTCAAGTCTTGAAAAAGATGAAACCACTACAATAATATTGACAACCATACTTGAATCATCATTTTCTTCAGAGATTCCATCACTAGAATTGACAACATCAGATGTACTATCAACTGAAACTTCCAACAAGGAATCCACTTCAGCTAAGCCAGAAACAACTTCAGAAACTTCCGAAAATGGCCCAAGCGACAACACGAATCCTTCAATTATAATAACAACATTACTTAAATCAGCATTTCCTTCAGGGATTCCATCACTAGAACTGACAACATCTGATGTACTATCAACTGAAACTTCCAGAAAGGAATCCACTTCAGCTAAGCCAGAAGCAACTTCAGAAACTTCAGAAAATGGCCCAAGCGACAACACCTACCCTTCAATTATGATAACAACATTACTTAAATCAGTATTTCCTTCAGGGATTCCATCACTAGAACTGACAACATCTGATGTACTATCAACTGAAACTTCCAGCAAGGAATCCACTTCAGTTAAGCCAGAAACAACTTCAGAAACTTCCGAAAATGGCCCAAGAGACATCACCCACCCTTCAATTATAATGACAACATTACTTAAATCAGCATTTCCTTCAGGGATTCCATCACTAGAACTGACAACATCTGATGTACTATCAACTGAAACTTCCAGCAAGGAATCCACTTCAGCTAAGCCAGAAACAACTTCAGAAACTTCCGAAAATGGCCCAAGCGACAACACCTACCCTTCAATTATAATAACAACATTACTTAAATCAGCATTTCCGTCAGGGATTCCTTCACTAGAACTGACAACATCTGATGTACTATCAACTGAAACTTCCAGCAAGGAAACAACATCAGCTAAGCCAGAAACAACAACAACATTTTTCGCTGATAAGCGAATGAGTTCATCATCTACAACAGAAAGATCTGCGCCTTCTTCAAGTATTTCGACCATGGCTGCAACACCTTCAGAGGTTCCATCAACTGAAATTTCTGGAAAGGAAACATCAGCTAAGCCAGAAACAACAACAACATTTTTCGCTGATAAGCGAATGAGTTCATCATCTACAACAGAAAGATCTGCGCCTTCTTCAAGTATTTCGACCATGGCTGCAACACCTTCAGAAGTTCCATCAACTGAAATTTCTGGAAACGAATCCACATCAGCTAAGCCAGAAACAACAACAACAGTTTTGGCTGATAAGCGAATGAGTTCATCATCTACAACAGAAAGATCTGCGCCTTCTTCAAGTATTTCGACCATGGCTGCAACACCTTCAGAGGTTCCATCAACTGAAATTTCTGGAAAGGAAACCACATCAGCTAAGCCAGAAACAACAACAACATTTTTCGCTGATAAGCGAATGAGTTCATCATCTACAAGAGAAAGATCTGCGCCTTCTTCAAGTATTTCGACCACGGCTGCAACACCTTCAGAAGTTCCATCAACTGAAATTTCTGGAAACGAATCCACATCAGCTAAGCCAGAAACAACAACAACAGTTTTGGCTGATAAGCGAATGAGTTCATCATCTACAACAGAAAGATCTGCGCCTTCTTCAAGTATTTCGACCATGGCTACAACACCTTCAGATGTTCCATCAACTGAAATTTCTGGAAAGGAATCAACTTCAGCTAAGCCAGAAACGACAACATCACTTTTGTCAGAAAAGCCAAAGCCAGAAACAACATCAACAATTAGACCAGAAACTTCTTCATATATTGCATCAGTTACAGAAACGACATCATCCAATCTGCAATCAATCACAAAAAGGTTTCCTACTTCGAGTGCTCCAACAACAATAAAACCAAAATCGACAGTTCCTCCAACAGCTAAAAGAACATTAAAAAAAAGGATGTTTGAAGAAGCAACGACACATGCAATGCCTCCGACTACTACTAAAACTACAGTTAAAGAAATAATTGAAGATCAAGACTATGATAATGATGATTATAAACCGCCTGACCAGGAATTCTTGAGTGTAAATTTTGGTGATCAAGAGATTGTAAAAACAATGGGATAACAAGTCATCTATCGGCCAATGAGAAAATAAATTCAAAGTTATTTTAAGAAATTTGCTTTATTTTTATAAATGAAAGAGAAATTAAAACAATTTCCAAACATATTTTAACTTTAGTGAAATTTTCATTTAAACAAGTTTTATTTTTGTTAAAAAATCTATGTATGAAGTCAAAGAAATTTATTTAAAATCATTTTTTATTAAAAAATCAGAAAAGAAAACACACAAAACGTAATTGCGACTATAATTGAAATATTTGAATTTGTTTAGTAAATTTCTCATTAGTTTCTTAAATCTAAACTTTCTGTTATTTTAAGGGCACTTGAAGAGCTTCTCCTTTCAACAATTTTCAATTAATTGCTTTCCTTTTTTGGGAAGTTCACTTTATTTAGAAATTTTACGTTTGCTGCTTAATAAAAGCTCGAAACCGAATTAAAAACTTTTTTTTCATATAAAAATGCAAGTCTAAAGAAGTTTTTTTTGTTTCTTATCATCTTAATTATTAACTCTTAGCTTAAAGAAAATTATTCATAAATGAAAAACGTTTTGAAAATGAGTACGGGAAGAAAAATGTTTGATGCAAATACGACGAATGAATAAATATTTAATGCAATTGAGCCAATAAATTAATTTAAAAACAACATAAATTCGGACTCGAGTTCTGTTCTTTTGTGATGTTAAATAATAATAGAAAAATAAATTAAAATTAAGGGAGGAAAGAACAAAAATCTTATCAACTAAGTTTAATTACGAAAAATGTTGAAACTTTTTTTCTTTGTTTGGTTGTGGGGTAACTTATTGTGTTTTAATCTTCTGGTTTTGGCGTTCATTTAATTAAAATCAGTGAAATAATTTTAAGAATTTTCTGTAAGTCGTTTTGCAACCAAATTAAGAGATAAACGAAACTGGGAGAGATTGTTTGCTACACTTTTTAAATAATCTCAATTGCACAACTCTCCATTATGAATCTCAATCGCTTCTCGTTTCATTTCTATTTTGCTTTAAACGATAATTAATATGTGTGATGATGGCGATATTTGTATTCCATATAAACTACAATGACTTCAACTTATTTTACAATAATAAATTTAATCAAATTCTTTCTTTGTGCTTAAAGATATTTTCATTTTTGATTATGGCTGTTTATATTCATTTATCTTTGCAATCTTCAATGAATAAAACGATAAAACATTTCTTTGATTTGTTAAGGCACTCAAATTAGTGAAAAAGAAAGAAAAAAATTAATATAATTAAAATGTAAATTAAAATCTTTTCCTTTTCTTAATTTATGGCACTTTGGTTACACAATTCGATTGTTTTCCTTGCTTAAATCTTTTGATTATTTTAGATAAAATATTTTGCTAGTAAAAGATTTTGCCTCAAAAATTTCATTTAAATGTTCTTTGGTGTTTGCCCTCAGGACAACATAAAGCTATCGATTTTCTTCTGTTTCACCAAGTTCTTACTCATATTATCAGGTGATGATAAATTGGAAGCACTTGGAGATGAGATGACAGACGAATCATCGTCATTAAGCTCATCACTCCATTTAATCATTTGATCATTGTTGAATTCAAGTTCAGCGTCGAGTTTCTCTTGAATCTCATCAAATGAGCTTTTGAAGTTACTAAATTCTGACATCTCGTAGCTTTCAATTGAACCAGTGTTGGTCATGTTTCCACTGATTGTTCCATTATGAGTTCCATTCATGAAATCATCATCTCCGGCTAACGTATACTTTATCAGATTATTCTCTTCATCAAGCGTTATGGGATCAAGAAAGAGATTGCTTAGAATTATTTGCTGATGCTGATGATTCTCTTCGTCGACATCTAAATGATTGCCTTGAGGTAGAGGCTCATCATTAATGATTTCACATCGATCATTCGATTCCATCATCATCATCATTAGCTGCTCTTTCTTCTTACTGAGTTTCTTCGGTTCTTTCTTTACTTTCGGTTCCTTTTTCATCTTCTTTGTACTGTCGTGAGATTCCTGACTAGACTTCTTAACTTTCTCATATTTTCTGAGCAACGTCGACATGAAGTTCGACACTTGCCATGTCTCCTGTTGATCTGGATGATCTTTAACAAAGTGTTTGTGAAGTGAACTGCGCGCTTTTACTGGCGCACGCTTACAGAAAGGACAGAAATAAAAAAGATTCTCATGAATCTCTTGATGACGTTTAAGTTGATATTTCTTTTGGAAGACTTTATCGCATTCGGGGCATTGATGATGTTCAAGAACATCATCAGGCGATTGAGTTTTATGAATTTTATGATTTACTTTCGAAGATTCACCGTTGACTTTATCAATGATGAACACTTTTGGTGATGAATTTATGATTTGTTCACCACCATCTTCCTTCACATTCTCCTGACTTTGATTCATCTTCAATCCTTGTCCAATTGGCACGAGCTTTGGCATTATTGTATTCGGTTGATAGTTTGTGAAAGTGTATCCATTACTTGTGATTGGAGAGTTTGCTGGATTTATTTCAACGTTTGAGATTATGATGATTGTGTTGCCATTGTCCAATGTATGATTGCTATCTGCTTTATCACCAATGCCATTTGTCCCATTCCAACTTCCATCATTTATTGTCTTTGACGGTTCAAGTTCTGTTGTCGATTCCGTCACTTGTTGATTCTTCTTACTCAACTTCGATACGAGAGCTTTTGCGACATTTTCCTTAATTGGTTTCTTGTTCAGAACAATTCTACGATATTCTGATGATTTCTTGATGCTCGTTGTTAGTTCTGGTCTGATGACATGTGCTGTGTGAACATTTCGCAAATGTTTCTCCAGTGAATTTGGATTCTTAAAGATTCTCGCACAAACAATGCATTTATCGAAATTAGGTGGATTTGGGTGATTTTCTTCCATCATTAATGATTGTTGGTAATCAGATGGTTCCAACCACGACTGAACGTCAAGCGGATCTGATGTTGAGACAAAATTTCCATCAATCATTGGTTCGAGACAAGAAGTTTTGTCTTCGCCTTCATCTTGTGACTCTGATGGCTGTTCAACATTAAAGATTTCTGACTCTTGTGGCATTGGTGCGACAACAGGCGGTGGAAGAAATTCTTCGAGATTTTCATCAACTCTGTTGGATTAAAACATGAAATAATTAACGTGATTTTCTTAAATACATATCTGTGTATCAATGCACTTACTTTTCATGTGTCACAGTTTCAGGTGTTGCGACGTTTCGATGAATTTTCATGTGACGATTAAGTGACCAGGAATTGCTGAGAACTTTCCAACATATCGCACAATGAAACAAAGATTTCTTCGCTGATGTTTTCTGCTTGAAGCAATCATGTTCTTTCAATTCATCAGGATTTTGAAACATCTATGTAAATGATTAATTAAATTAATGAATTATTTTGAATATTTAGAAACTTTTACCTTCATGCAAACAACACACATAAAGAGATCATGTGATCGCATATGCTTTTCAAGATTTGATTTTGTGATGTATTTTCGAGCACATAATTCACAAGCAAACTTTTGTGTTTCTGTTTCATTCATTTCTGTGAATTTTATGTTTTTCACTGATGATGATGGCGACTGATTAGTTTTTTCAGAGTCACTCGACGTTATTTGCTCGTGTAGATTCATTGGATAATTATCAATATAGTCTGATTGGTAGCTGCTATTAGCCAACTGTTCATTTTTAGCCATTAATATGAGATTTTCAAAATCGAGATGATGATTGTAGTTTGGTGATTGCGTCTTCATCAGACTGTTGATAGGTGGAAGTGTGATTTCCGATGATGGTGAGACAGTTAGTGGAGCCATCGCTAGATAATTATTATTTGTAATATCAGAATCACTTTCATCGTGAAGTTTTATTCCGTAATCGAAGGACACTTGACGTAGAATGTTTGTGCAGATTCCTGGTTGATTTGAAGATTCTAATAAGCTTACACCCATTCTTGTTGCATATGATGGTGAATACCAAACTTTCAGGATATCTCCAAGCTCAATATCGCGGGTTGATGTGTAATATATCTGATCATTTTCCTAAAAACACATAAACATTTCTCATTCCACCTACAACATTTAATTTCAAGGACATTTACAAAAACTTACTTGATAAGCCATTAAATTCTGTTCATTTGAATATTTTGCTATATCAACATGAATCATCCAGTTGCATTTATTTTCATCACTCGTATCAAGATAATAATTGCGAACATTAAATAATTCCTTAATATCCTCGGATAGTTCATCAAGAAAAGGATCGCCATTCCAGACTTCATTGAAGATAACAAGTTGAAATTTATTGGGACGGGATGGTGGTACGTATGATTTTGGAGCGAGAAGCGGACCTAAAATAAGGAATTCAATGTGTTGACCTAATTTCCAGCAATTCCAAATTTATAATAAAATAAAAGCTTAGATATCTACCGAATCTTGTTCCTTTTGCGAATTTTTGTGCTGTTATAACAATAGTACTTTTAAGCTCATCGCAATCGATAACAAGCAAACCATCAGGCACTGAATATCGCGACAAGTTATCATGATGAGGTTTGTCTTGAATCTATCAAAGCAATGGAATATTTTATTTTATCCAAATAACACTGGACGACATAAAATTATAGGAACTTACATGTTGCTCTGATAAAGACGAACATAAACCAGTGTAATGAGGTCCATTGCAAATATTGCAAACATTTGGAACATGTCTAATGCTCTGTAAAATCATAAAACGTAGAAAAATTGTAGGAAAATTGAATGAGAAAAAAAGAAAAAATGAGGAAATGGAAATTGTGAAAACATTTCAATCCAAACCTGATTGGTAAATGGAGGAATAACAGCTTCCCAAGACATATTGATGTGTATTGTTGCGATAGAATGAAGATTAAAGTTGATCACATTATCAGTAGACGAATAATGAAAAACAACATAAGAAAATTTCTAAGCTTTAGAGAAATATTAGAGTGAATGAATTGCTCAAATGGACAGAGAAGAAGAACAAACACAAGTGATGTCACATTGAGAACGCATACATATGATCAGTGGTGAATTTTGATCATAACGTTACATCATTTTCATTTGGTTTTTCATGGACATCTCTTCAGTGATTTTTTCTTTTGTTTTCAAATTAAATCGGCGATCGCTTTAACTGAAAAGTTTTTTTTTAGATTTAATTTAAAGGATCTAAAATAAAAGCCTGAACAATATCAAATTTATTGACAACTTTCATGTTTTCCACAATTTAAATTCTTTTACTTTCTTTCGTATTGAATGAAACAAATGTTGTTCATTTTAATTAAGCATATGATAAAAGATAGAAACAAAATCTTTTTCTTGAGATGCAAATAAAATTTTATGAGCCACCTGAATTTGTTGTGTCCATTCTTGGATTTTTATACGAAGGTGGACGATCTTGATTCCAATTGTTTTTATAATTATGTGTATAATTATTTCCATAAGGATTATTTCCGCTGCGATGATTTTTATAGTTATGACGATTACCGCGATGTTGATAACGACCACCCCCGCGATGCCCTCCACGATTATTATGAAACTGATCAAATGGGAAAACAATCGGTGGAGGTTTTGGTTTTTGCTTACAAAAATCTGTGAACACTTTGTCGTCGTCGGTGAATCGATCCTTAAATTCCTCTTCAAAATCTTTTATTAATGATATTTCAGAAGGATCCAATTCAAGATCACTCTCATCATCGCTGGGAAGATCTAAATTTATTTTACGATCTGGATCTGCCATTTTGTCAAACCCGTTTATAATCTAATTGCGTAATATTTTGTCAACAATCAACAATGAGTTAACATCTAAAAATAAAATGAAAATTTTATGATTTCTTTATATGTATGCAGAGGAGTTAATATTTTGAATCAACTTACATGCTTCTGAAATCACTGAATCAAGTATGATCGCATAAAATCCTTTGTCACTTGGATAAATTGGATTCTTTGCAGCTGATTCAAAAGGTTCAAACATCCACCCAATGTGAGCTCTACAAGAAGGACACTGACAAATTTTCCACGCGTATCCTTCAAACCAAGTCGAATCTTTATACCACTGAAGCAGTAAAAGTTTTCTCTCATCAAATAAATGAATAAATAATTCAAATGAGAACTCACCGTAGATGTTTGTGCACACTTTGCTTTTTTACTTATCAGAATTCTGAACGTGATCCCTCGAGGATTTGTTAAATCTTGAACCACTACTTCTTTTTCGCCGAACGTGATGTTTGCAAATCCAAGATTGTGATTACTTAATCGAGTGTTATCTATCAAGTTTAGGACAGTGGAATCTTCTCCGCAACTCTTGCACAACAGGTAGCCTAATGAAATAATTATTTTAATGAGTCATGAAAAAAGCTAATAAAGATTATTCCATTTCTACAATGCTAGGTAGAAGGACAACAATATTGACACATCAGCATTAAACTTCATAATGACTCATTGCCAAGTATTGCTTTTTCATACCTTCTACTAAAGTAGTTTGCGGCTCTGAATCCGAGTGACTTAATTTAAAGAAAACTCCAAGCAGAAGCAAAAGTTGACATTTCATCGATGACTTTTTAATAATAAACCGCTTGGTGGAACTTATGATAGATATTTTACCTCTATTTTTGATGTATTTCAAGGAAAACTTTGCTTATTAAAAAGAATAAAATATGTTATACAGAACAGAAGAATTTTCACCACAAAATAATGAGGTGAAGTAAAGCAGTGGTGAGTTTTGTAACTCACACATTCAAACTTTGTTTACAGAAATATTTAGTTACCTACAAAAAAAATTGATTTTTCAGATTGTTTATAAAAGGAGAAATAAGCTTTAAAAACTTTATAACTTTATCATATTCTTATAGATAAAATCGTTACTGAGAATTCTAAATATAATTAAATATATAAAAGTGTAAGTATCTTTCATTATAAATCGAAATTTAACTCTTTGGATATAAAAGAAAACATCAAATTATTGAAGTTCATACCTGTGAAGTCGACGACAAGAACCATTGAACTGAAAGTAATAATTTCAATATCATAGAAATAGACTTAACACATCTAGAGAATATTGGATGAAACCTTAGAAAATTCATATTGGGGTGACTTAGCAGAAACGAATTTGACCAGTCAACTAAAGTTTTCTTTATTATTACTAATGTTTGTAAATCGGCGTCCCCTTAGATTTGCATTATTAATATAAACTTGTATTCGATCTAAAGTTCTGTTTATGGTAAACACCAAATATTAAATTTTTCTTCTCCCTCTCGTCATTTACGTTTCATTCATATGAACTTCCTTCCGATTGTTAAGCCTTATGAAACGTGATTCTCTCATAATTCCCTTACTTTACGCTCACGTTCGTCATTATTCTCGTAACTCAGTGCGATTAAGTTTCGTGTTAATTTGCGGTCTATTGTTTTGTCTTAAAAATAAAATTAGATACAAGTAATTTCTGTTGCATATCAAATTGATACTAAAGTGATATTTCAGAAAGTCAATAAATTAAATACATTTGAAACAGACATCGAAGAGTTTCTTAATTGTGTTCACACACAGCAATAAATGTCTGTTTGCAACACAAAGGTTTCCTCAATTTCAGTCTAGTTTCGATAAAAAATATTAAATTGGTGTAAATGTTACTAAAATTTTCGTTATCAACATGAGCGAAGATGCAACTATTGAAGCTCAAAACAAAATCGATTCGGTTGTAAAGGAAATCGACTTTGGTTACCATCACGTGAACGAAAGTTTTGTTGTATTTCCAGGTCGACGGCTATTTTATAATTTGCAAGTCAATTATCAAGAAACAACATTGAAAACATTTTATTCTTTTCATTTTAGGTCCGGAAGACACGACAGAAATCAATTTTTCATCCGATGGTAACTTTATCAATCATAAACAATCAGTGACTCTTGTTGTTCGTGCCGGTGGTCACCAAATTCCTTTTCTCTGTTGGATTCTTCTTGTCGTCTTGCTCTTATCAGTTGCTATTTCTGTAATTGTTGTTTGCTGTTTCTATCTAAAGCAAAGAAGTGTCTCAAAAAGAAAATTGAGATCGAGAATTGCTACACATATTAACGGATTTCAATCGTGCGACTGTAGACATTTAGAAATGCTTCCGAAATATGTTGCACAACCAGCTCAAAGCTATTCAACACAGAAATTATATCAATGGTGTCAACAAAAAGAAATGCAACAATATAAATCTCTGTGGGCTGTAAACCCAAATTCTTCAGGGCCATCGTCTTCAATTATTCGTCATACCGAAAGAACTGAGAATCCAAATGCCTACAAAACTCGTTCACTGCCATCAAAACATAAACAAAGACCAGTCACATCTATTGAGGATCTCGACGAACTCTACAGTAAAGTTAACATCAGTAAAAAACTGAGAAATCGTATGACAAATGACGAAGCTGCGATAATTGCATTTTGTAGATCGAAATCACAAAATCTTTCACAGTTTACTGGTAATGGTCCCAAAGGTGACGACGCTATTGTTATTTACGACGAAAGAACGGCATTATAAGATTCATCATTACCAAGAATTTAATTGACTCATTAGATTAAGTTTGTTCAGATTACGAATTGTCGTATTCTCTCTTTCTAATCATTTACTTAGATTGAAATTTTAAGTAAGAGAAAGAATATTTAAATATCTATTTAATTGATTGTTCCTTGTATTATTCGAATTTGGAGTTAAAAAATATCAAAGAAGAATATTTAAATTCATTCATTGTTATACAAATCACGAATCATATTCAAAAGAAATGAAAAGAAGTAAAATTTAATTTTTCGCTCCATTAAAGACTGATAGATGATGATTGTTCATGGTGTCATAATTGTTCATATAAATATCTATTTCGTCACTGTTCAAGCTGTCGAGAAACTAGATGGTGTAAGATTTATGTCTTTAGAATAATTTAATAAAAATAAGTAAAAAAATTCGTAATTTTAAATGGAACTTGTTTCACTTGAAGAACTTTCCTTTCCTTTGGATATTTTCGGGTTGTGATTTCTTGCTTTAAAAATTTCCTTGTTTAATAAATAAAAGGTTGATGAAGAAACTTGTGCTTTCTGCTTAGGAAATTTGAAGTGAAAAATGACATAATGACAGATGTTAACTAGACACAATGGAATAAGTTAAAACACAATCATTTTTGAAATATAATAGAACTTTTTATTTATTTTTTTTCTTTTTTTTTACTTTCTATGCATCATCTTTTCATTCTCTTTTCTCATATAATATATTTCATTACATTACTTCAATAGATAATATTTTTTTTCTTCATCTCATTTTCCATAACTTCATTCTCATAACTTTTCATTTTCTTTGTTATACAGTAATGTGTTTGTGTGTGAGAGTGTTTGTAATTTTCCTTTATTAACTTGGATGATTTTCAATCATAGGTAATTCTTCATGGAACTTTTATTCTCTTTTTCTTTTTGTAATTTCATGTGCGATTTTTCATATTAGATAATTATTATTCTCTTTTTACATCAATCTTTATAAGGGTTAGTTGCTAATGCAAATATAAGATTTATTTTGTTGACTTTTATACAAAAAAAAACGTCGCTTGTAATGCTTAAGTTTTTTCAATTTGTAAGAAGTTCTACTACGGTTATAAGAATTATAAGAAACTTAACTTGTTGCCAGAGTTGTTACGAAAAAGATTTTCTACTTAGTATAATTCTCTTTACTTTGAAAATATTGAAAGAATAATTGTGAATACATTGTAGGATTCCGAAAAATATTTCAAAAATTAAGAAGAAAAGTTTTCAGTGATCATTTTATGATGATTTAAAGCATTCGTTAAGTATCGTCTTAAGATAGAAATATAAGAAAACTTTTCTTCTCATTTCTTTTTTTAAAGTTTAAAAAGAAGTTCTCGTTTTAATTCTGTTCATGATTTTATTTTGAATTTTATGTGCGTTTTCTTTTTACTTCGTTCAAAGCGACACCTGCCGCTCATGAGACAGATCGATGAAGGTGTCACGTGAAGTTGATTCCGATTTTTTTTAGAAAATTTACACTTTCAGTCTTGCTTCCAACTAAAAACAAAATTTCGTCAAAAATGTTGCCAATTGTGTTTTAAGTGAACGAAATGAATAAAGAGATTGTGTGACAATGCCGTTGAATGAGCATGTTTGACATGAAATGCAATCTCAACATCAATAAACACCAATTACAGGGACTTCTTGCTATTGTTGGCAGTGAACATGTAATGAATTGTTTGTTTTCAAAGCGTCTGTCGGTAGGACTTCTAAGGAAATATTTCATTCACATTTGAAATGCTTGCTTACCCATTAAGTCACTCAAAGTGTTTTTAAATGGAAAGTGTAGGTGTTTTATGCGATCTCTTTAGACAATATTTAGCCAGGCAAATGAGAAACTGTTCGCTGTGGGATGCCACAAAAAGAACGATACATCGTTGTCCAACCAACCATGTGATTCACATTTCTCGCATCATTAACGACAAATTTTGTCGTGCAAAAAGTCATCAAAGGATTTTTTTCAATCTGTGGAATTTCTTTTGATCTTTTCTCGCCTTTAAACATATCCCCAAAGGAATATTAAACAAAAAAGTGCAGATAATTGTGATTCGCAATCTTTTCATTTGGATTGTTTGTCAGTCAATCTGTCGCCGGAGACAATTCATTGTCCACTTACATTACTAGTAATAAATATTTTTCTTTTATCTTTTTTTTCGTTTTTTAATACTTCGATCATTAATTATTTTCTTATTTTTTCAAGAAAAGAGTGTTTTTTATTTTAGATTTTTCGTAGAAAATGATTTTCTTAGCAAGTCCATCCAATGAGTGTTGGGGGTGGAGAAAAACTTTCCCGCCAACCATCCTGTAGTCTAATTTATGTTCTTATAATAAGTTCTCATAATTTTCTTCTTTATCCAAAAGAAATGTGAAAAAATTTAAGGCAGAATTTCAATTTCTAAATGAGAAAATTAAAACGAGACAAATCTTTATTCTTCGTGTTCGTGTAGAATTGAAAACTTTTTTCTTTTTCATAAGTGAAAAGAACGAAAATTAGCTTCAATAAAGTCAAAGGAAAATGAGTGAAATCTTTAGAGATTTTTGTTTCTCCTAAAGTGAAAAAGAAAAATTATTAATCGTAGATATTTATATGATCCGAAAGTAATTACAAATACAAAACATAAAATTACCTAATAAAACAATACACAAAAGAAAGAGAAAAATCTTTTCCAAAAGTCTTAACATTTAAAGATTTTTTTAAAAACTTGTAATTGCCTAAAAGTATTTTCGTTTTCATCTATAAAATTTTTCCTTTTTTAGGTAATTGTTTTTCTTGCACATAATTTACGTTAAGAGTTTGATTTTTAATATTAAGTTAAATTTTTTTCTGGATTTTAATAGGATTTCTCACATGAATTCATATGGAAAACTCAACGGAAAATAACCGTGTGATTAAAGTTCTTTTAATTAGATAATTTTATCTTTTTGCTTTATTTGGAATGATTTATTTCAGTTAAAGTTAATTATCTCTGGCCAGTTATATTCCCATGTTCTTTTAGTTCATTTTTTAATGTTTAGAAGCCGATGATTATACAAATTTAAATTTACGTTGTTTTGCACCATTTTTTATTTACTCAATCTAATAATTATCGAATGAAGAAGCTGTCCGCGAATGACGTCAACCAATTAGTATCTAAAATCTTGCATCGCTCATAGACATCACTCTTACATTGCAGAGATGCCGCTTTCAGTCAATTTCAATGCTTCTTTCTTATTCAGTAATTAGCAAGTTTTTGTTTTTGCATCTCAACCTCAAGAAAGTTTCTTGAAAGTAAATTTTTCCTAAACCACTAATTTAGATTTCTTCTTCATCTTCTTCTTTTTGATAAGCAAAAAAGGTTTTCATAATTATGTGCCTTTAGAGACAGTTTTTATTTTTTAGTTTTTAACAAAAAGGATAAATGAAGAAGCGCGAAGGTTCATCGATAGTCAGGCATGATCACAACCCCCGGAAAAGCGATTAATATTAAATTTTGTTTTGGACAGAACTGGGGAAGAAATTAAAATATAATTTCACTTAAACAAAAAGAATATTCGCATATAATTCGACTGACAATGAACCATTCGCGAAATAAAAGCAACTTCAACTGATTTGTTTGTAGGTTTTTTTTTCTTTTTTAAAGCTAAGAATTAATTTTAATCCTAAAGATCTACAGTTTGCTTATCTCAAGCTTAGATGTTGATTTACGTGAGAAACTTTTACTTTTACTTTTTTTCTTTTATTAATTTAATAAAAACAACTGATCATTAGTTCTAGCAGAAATTTCTAGCATCTTGCAACACTCAATTAGTCACGTTAAAATAAAAACTTAATTTCAATAAAATAGGATGAACTAATTCATTAATCTAATTACTTTATTATTTAAAAAATATACAACAACAACATTAAACGTGAAGAGGCGGTAGGGTGTGATGGGATTGAGATATTTAATTAGATAAAAAATAAAATTTTAAGTAAAATAAAGATATGAATGAAACTTTTTTCCAAGGACAAAATCAGGAATTCAACTAATGGAAATAAGCAACAAAATGTTGATTGCGATTCAAGTAATGTTGAAAACCATGTGCGTAATTCGTAATGTTGATAATAATAATTATCAATCAGCGTTGGTTGAATTTGTGCTTTTATATTTATTCTGTTTACATTGCATTTGTACGAAGATTACAAAGTATCGAAAGCCAAGTACAATTGTGACATGTTCCCATTTAGATATTAAACAAACACATGATTTTCAAAGGAAAAATCTCAATCTCTCATGTCCCCTTCTTCCATTACTTTGCTTTTTATCTGATAATTTATTAAAATACTTTCTTTAGTTTTACTTTTACTTAGGTTTTCCATTACGATATTTTTTTCTTTTGTTTTTTGTTTTTACATTAACGTTGATCGAAAAAAGAAAATAAAAGATTTTGGGAGCTTTAAGTGCATTCTCGTGAGTGAAGATTAAACTATTTTCCATCTCTTTAACAACTGTAATTTGAGTGAGTAGGTTTGTTTTGTGTTTTTGTGTTTATGTGTCAAGCTATGATAGAAAACTACGATTTATAATTTATTTTCGATAAGTTTTCATCTTTAAATTTGTAGTTTTATTTGCACTTTATTTTGTACTTTTCAAAGAACTTTCATGATGACTTTCGACTGTCAAAAACAAACTTTCAATCGTCGAAAGAACGAACATGTTCATCCTCAAGTTTTCCCGAGAGCAATCTTTCCTTTTACGTTCCACAGTGTTTTGTTCTTGAATATTCATAATATTTTTTTTCATATCATTTAAAGATGAAAGAGAAAATAAATTAAATTTTTATTAAAAAAAATAATAATAGTCAAAAGTTTTCCAGTCTCATTCATTTACGGCAATTAGAGCAAAGTGTTTCCTTCTCCTTCTTTACCATCAAGCATCAAACGAAGAATATCAAAAAAAGTAAAAGTTAATCTTTTGCATTTCAATTAGGAAATTATTAAAAATTAAATTAAAATAATAAGATTTTTTCTTTCTTTTAAAATTTTGCGATAATTAAGCGTAAGAATTAATGAATGATGATTTCCTTCATGGGCTGCCTGTGTTCAAGGACTCGCGATTCATTGTAGGAAGCGATGAAGAAAAAAGTCCTTAAATTGCTTTGTTTAACTGCTCCTCCGTGAATTCCTCCATTTGCTTGTCATCAATCAATCGAAAATAAAACAGATGATCTAAACATTTGAGACTGATGGAACGGAGGGCTGGCAAGCGAAGAAGAAGCTGCGCAAATCTTCCATCTTCATCTGGATGCTTCTGTCGACAATATTCGTCGAGGCACGCATAAATCTTCGCCCTGAGCAAATCAACTTCGGAGCGGCATTCGAGGGCACGAACATCTGTGATTGAGAATAAGAATGAAGCGAATTAGAAATTGAAATGATGAGATGTGTGTTTGTTTATCTCCTTCCTTCCATTTCATTGTAATTCTAACAAGAAATATCCGAGAGTGTTTGAAGTTCTCAACCTTTTAAGGCTTAGAGTGTACTTGGACATAAATACTTTATCATGTGTTAAGAAGCACTGATTTATATGCTTATGTACATAAATATTAAGCTCACCTGGATTGAAGACGATAATCGCTTTAAGACATGCAAGTTCCGTATGATCAATTTCAAGTCGTTTCATCTTTAGACTCAATTCGGACATGATACGATCAAAGATTTGTACAACGCCAGCTTGTACTGCCATATTGCGACCAAGCGTGTAATTCGTACCGAGACACATTTGCACGGGTTGACTTAATCGTCGATCGTAAGAACCGTCGGGATTTCTTCGATCATTTTCAATATACTTTTAATTAAAAAAAAGTTTTAATTAAATTCTCTTCACTTTAAGCTTTCATTTATTATTGTTATCTTACCGGAATACTAAGATGCCCGACTGATAATATCAGTAATTCATTCCAACTATGTTTCAACAATGACATTTGATCGGATTTCGAAAGCTTGAGAAAGTGCGGAAGTCTTCGAGCAAAGTCAATGACTTGATACACATTCTTATTAACCATTGCACAAATTGACGAGACGGGGCCCTTGATTATTTATAAGATAAGAGAATGGGAAAGAATATTGGTCATTAATTGTCGTATGTAATTTCATATTTATGAGAAATCTTACTCTAAATTCAGGTGGCACCATCGTGTTCGTGTTCAACACACGCAAATATGGAATTGCATTGTCCCCACTTTTTAATTCGCTTAATGTTTCGGCTTCAGTGATGCGATCTAATGTAAGATCACGTGCCGGTCCATTTCCAATAAAAAGTGATGATGATGAGTTATTCAGATCGTCGTTCTGTTTAAACAATTTTAGAGTTTCATTATTTTCGTGTTGATGTAACAACAAAGATTAAAGTTTCATGAACTTTAATATTTACCTTTTGAGACTTTGAGCCTCGTTGTCGTTCTTCCTGTACAGCTTCTCGCTTCATTCCACAATTGAGACATTTCTGGTAACGACAATATTGACATCGATTTCTCTGTTTCTTATCGATGACGCAATTTTTATCTTCTCGACATGCATAAGATAAATCCTTTCTCACAGTTCGCTTAAAGAAGCCTTTACAGCCTTCACAACTGAAAAAATAAAATAAAAAATCAAATTAAATTATTATTAGATATCTTGCTGACTCTTCAATTACGAAATATCTAACAAAAAAGAAGTAAATTTTCAATTTTTTTTCATCTACGTAACTTAATCGAAAAGAAGCAAAAAAAATTCTATACGAATTAATGTGCCTTTAAAAAAAAAAGAGTAGTGAGAGAGAGAAAAAAACGTGTTTATTATGAGAATTAGAGGGCAATGTTCCGAAGCAACTAACACGCGAACACTAACAACAAAAAAACACGCGCAAAACGTCAAAACAAATTTTTCGGCGAGATGTCCTTGAAAATATTTCGTTTGTTTAAATGCTTCCAGCCGCGATGCGATGGCAACATAAAAGCCGGAAGAAATGAAAAGAGAAACAAATTTTTGTCTATTCATATTGCTTTTTAATAAGCCGCTTAAAAATAATTTTTTAATGTTTACATGTTTGCATAATGAACTCATTGAGTAATTTAAACATTTTTATGACACGACACTTCAGGTGCGGTCAGGAATTATTAAGATCTTCTGATGATGAGAAGTACAATGAGGCAACTGGAAGATATTATTATAACAATGTGTCACCCGAAATGAATTACGAATATGAATAATTGAATTTGAAGAAACGATAATCTCAATAAGTCAACGAGGCTTTAGTTTTAAGCTTAATCTTTTTTTTTAATTTGTTTTTCCATGACCAACGGAATGATTTCACAGGTACTTGAACTTTACCTATCGAATATTACCATAGACTTAAATCTATTTAATTTTAATGTATTTATATTTTAAAGCATTCATTTCCATCTGTGTGTAACAACACATCGGATAAGTATATAAATATATATTTTTTTCATTACCAATTCGTCTAACGATGTATGCGTCAACGTTTAGTTTAGGTTGAATTTTTTTCTAGCTTTAGCTTTGTAATGGAATTTAATGAAAGCAGCGTTATTGGCTAAAGTCATTCTATAAATAACATTAAATAGAATTAAGCATGTCGATAGATTTGAAGCTCATAAGCATGTAGAAGGAAGCTTGTTAAGCCTTCTCAGCTTGTTCCATCCTCTTGAGCACTCACAAAATAATTATCTTTCTAATGTCAAAATACGAACTATATTTGTCACTTTTTTGTTCTTAAAGCCCACGAAAAAGCTGTCAAAAGAGTGAAGCGAGGAAGTGTTGATGAAAAACATTCAATATTGTTGCCAATTGTCGAGGGAGAAGCGTGTAAATTAGAAAATAATTTTTCTATTCAATTCTATTCATGAGATCGATGACTCATTTCATATTTGATTCGCATCACAGCATGAAAATTTTTATTTATCTATCATGTGGAGAGAAAAGCTTAAGTGGAAAATTTTTCCATCTTTAGAATTTCTTTTTTTGGATGTTTATCTACAATGTTTACGTAATTGCGACGCCTAAAATGTAAATTTCCGTCATTATGTCACTGTGTTTGAATATTTGCTTGCAAGCACGAGGTATATAAGAAGATTACTTATTTCGTTTAATGAATGACCGGGTGGTTCGACTCGAGTTTATCTTGGTTAAAATAGCTAAACTGATTCTTCTTATCCACGCCAGCGTTTGTCATTCCCAAAAATGAAGTTTTCTTTTTGTTATTTTTTTGCTACGAGGTGAGAAAATTATTTCGCACTCTAGCATTTAATTAACTTCCACTTCGTTCGGAAGCAAAATAGGCAGCTTACGGCAGGGTTGGTGAACTCGCGCGATCATTGAAGATTGCGAAGGTTCTTGTTGAAGTCATAGATTTGAACTTGAATAATTTTTGAAGCGTATTTTATGTGGTTTCTCATTCAATATTTTTTATTCGATTTGATTTCTTATTTTTTTTAAAAAAGGTACGAAAAAAAATAATCAAACTCAATTCCTATTTCCTAACATTTAATAACTTCTTTCATCTAAAAATCAAGAAAAGAAGTTTTCCAAGTCTTCTTTCAATCTATTTCTTTTCTTTTTTTTTGCTTTTAGTTTTAAAAAAAGAATTTTTCAAGGTTAAATACTTGTCGAGTCAACATTGAGAGAGTGAGGGAGAAAACACGAGAAGTCGAGCTTCGAGTGCGGCAAAAGCAATAAAATTTGATATTATAGTAAAATCGAGCTTGAAGTAGGAAAAAAAGAATTAACAGAAGTGCATGAACAACTGTCGTTTGTTTACAATAAAAATTTTCGGTACCTCGTTACCATTTCGCTCTCCACATTTAAAAGCTTTTAATAGAAATTATTATTGTTCTCTGGCTGTGGCTCTTTCATATATAATTTCAAGTTTTATATAATGCATGATGATATTCAATTTTCAGAATGCACAAACACACACACACACAATTTGTCAACAATTCAATTGAACAAACGTGCTGCGATTACAAACTATCGATCCAAGTTTATTCTTATTTCATAACTAAAAAAAATATGCAAATTGTAACGTAATGCGACGACGACTACGCCGACTTCTCCTTATCAAGTCACTTTATTTGATTTTCTTTTTATGAAGAATCAACGCGATTAATATGAAATATTTTCGTTATTCGAGATTGCAAACAAATGTCTCACTTTTCACTGCAGGAATAGATTAGCAAAAATCTGCAACTTTGTTTTCTTTCATACACAATTCAAGAATTTCAGATTTAAATTTTATAAAAAATAAGAAAGGAATTTCGATTCACTCTCACCTGTAAACTCCATAATGTTTTCCGCTTGCTCGATCACCGCAGATAGAGCAGAGATGTTTTGATCCGCTTAACGGATGATTAGGTGGATACTGTTGCTGTTTTCCATTCGTATTATTGCCATTGCCCATCGTTAGAACATTTATGTTGGTGGCAGGCGGCGTTGTCGTTGTGATGGGTCCACTAAGTGTCGATGACGACGACGCATTAGAGGGTGACGGTGATTGAAGTTTGATTTGATTGAAGGTGACTATCGTCCCACTCCCACTGCCCAGTGAGCTTAGCGGACTACTCGGCCCGTTATTCATCGACTGGATTGGAGAGAAGGTGTTGATACCGGCCGTCGATGGCGACGGTGATGTATTGTGGTTGTTTAAGTTATGATTTATGCTATTACTACTGCTATTGTTATTATTATTTGTGTTGTTATTATTATTATTGCAGTTCAGTAGCGAAATATCGGGCTTAAGATCTGGTGGTGATAACGGAGCCATGTGCTGTATTAATGCTGGATCAAGACCTGTAATTGAATAAAAGAAATAAAACGCAATTTATTAGCTGAATCTGAATTAAATAAGGAATGAAATTAAATTTGATTGTGTGGGCATTTCCCGCGAATGAAGCAAGAAAAAGCAGAATCGACGATTTATTTCACTTGTCGATGGCAGACGAAGAAATAAAGAACCATCGCCATTGCCAATGTCATAAGGAGGAGAATCAGAGCAAATAAATCAGACGCACTTAGTTCATTCGTCCATAAAAGGATGCTACATCCATAAACAGTAAACAATCTTTGTTGCTTAATTGAAAATTATAATTTCAGGTGTTGAAACAAACCACGAATCTTGATATTGATTAGCATTTAAGTCACGCGGCTTTTGTTTAAAAGAAAGAATTTTTGTGTAGACAAATGACTGAGATTAAAGACTTTGATTATCTAACCAATAAGCATGCTTGTTTCTTTCGAATTTGCACAAAAAGAAGAAGGAGAAGCAGAAGACGGTTTAACATTTCTAATCATCGCATATGTTAGAAAATTATCAGAAATAGGAAAAACAGCTTTTTGATTTTATAATGATGTAGATAAAAGTTGGGAAAAAGAAGACGCTCGACAACTAAATAGTCGACAGACTCTTCATTTGAACTTTGTTCATCTAAGTTCTTATTTATGTATTTATTTCAATTTCAATTTTCCGTGATGCAATGCACGAACGTGACTTTTAAGTTTCCGTAAAAAGTTTCAAGAAAGAAAACCTTCAATTATCTCTCGAATGAACATCTTCCAATGTCCAATGTGAAACTTAGAAGGAAGTTAACGATTGAATCATTTAGAATAATTTTTTTAACTAAATATGCACATAACAAGATCCACAAAGAGTCACGAAAAAAGATTCGAGAATGATCAATGGAAAAATTATACAAAACCATGGCACGTAAATGAAGTTCCCCAGCTTCTAAACTTTGTTCTCAAATAAGAACGAAGCGAGATAAAAAGAGCCGTGTTTGACCGCTGGTTCGATTGTGAAGCTTTTAGTGACATGTCTGACTCTAAAAATGTTTATAGAAAAGAAAAAGAAGTGAAATTTGAATAATTTCTTTACTGCTTTTCTTCATATTTAAACATGCAACAAAGTGTCTGTCTGGATAAATATTTTAGATAAATTTTCATTTTCTCTTTTATTTTTTAAAAGAAAAAAATGAATTCATCGCCAAAATATTTTTATTCCTTACTAATCCCGAGGCCAGCATGCAAAAAGCCTTTTAATCTCACTCGTGAGATCCATAAATTTCTTAAAAGAAATAAAACAACTTCTTCTCTCTTTCTTTCATGTTGTATTGTGACTTTATTGCGGATTTGAAATATTTAAAAAGAGAAGAAAAATTCTTTAATCTTTCCATCCTGAATCTCCAGACGTTAGAGAGAAAGAAAGTAAAATTCTGCAGTCTCAGCCGCTTGTCTCCCCTCGAGTCAAATGCACTGCATTATCAAAAAATAATAAAGCGGTTTCTTGTTCTTCATCTTCCTTCTATAAAATCTGTTGTGAATTGTGATCTTAATTTCGACGTCCAACCAAATGCACTCATTTGCCTTTGAAGCGCTTTCTGCGTTATTTGCACTCATAAATCATCAACAAGGAAAGCTGCAAGATGTTTTTGCAGGAAGAAATTCAGGCGAAAAACAAATTGTTCTTCTTATAGAATCTGCTTCCAACATTTGTTGTGACGTCAAGAGAGGTTCGAAGAAGAAATTGAAGGAAAAAAACATCTTTAGATGCTCTAAACAATTTTCACAAGAACCAGTTTGCTTTTAACGACGATGCAGTTTTTATGCAATCAAGAGCAAAGCACAACATGCATTGCCAAATGGTAATAGGTTGATGGAAGGAAAATAAAAGGGGAAAGAAAGAAAGAAAGAACAAAAACGGCGCGGAGCGGAAAATAATCAACAAGAATGAGAACAAAAGACGAATCTGCGTATTACATCATGAATATGTTGATGTGATCCAATTTCAACTAAATGCATGCTGATTTAAAATGTAATCTGTGTACGAGAATGGACGATAAGCAGTAGTTAGAAGCTTCTCTCCCTTACAAACGACAACAGCATGACATGAAAAGAAACTTGAGTTGAGATCGAAAGGAAAATCGACTCAAATAGCAAAATATAAGCCCACAGCTAAAGTAGAAGAATAAAAAAACTAAAAAGAAGAAGCAATCGAAAAGACAACAACATCAAGGTCACCTTATTATTCTTCACCAGTCCATTCTTTTTCTGATTCTTCGCGATCGTGTTTGTGTGTGATTGTGCTTCATATCACATGCCCATTCCCAGCCTTCTCCCTCATTGTATATTTCTTGTTTTTTTTTTTAGTTTTTTTATTTTCATAGCTACGAGTATGAAATTTTAATTTCAATCTTTAGATTCTTGATCGCGCGCTTGCCCATTCGCTTGTTATTTTGCTTAAAAACTTGAAAATAAATATTTAAGAGCAAAGCCGAGAATTGAATATTTAACTAAAGAAATCACATTTTGAAATTCTTTAACAAATTTATATTTTTGTATTTTTTCTTGTGGCAAAAAAACTTTTTTTTGCTCAATTTCAATTCTGATTTCTTAGTTTTTTTTTCTGTCTCTGTGCCGTCTCTCGTCTCTAGTTTCCCTTCAATGTGCATAAATTAAAAGATGCTCATGGAGTTGCTTTTTTTAAAGAACATAAATTTATCTTCATTTCTTCTTCTTATATCTGAGTAAATAATTTCTTTAACAAAAAGCGAAATGGAATGTGAATCGTTGCACGGAAACATGGAGCTTTTGTAGACATCATTTATATTTCGATTATTTCACGCTTCTATTAAAAATTGGCAGCCAATTCTAATTTACAAAAAGAGAGAAAAGAAAACGAAGTGAATGCAAATTGATCGAATGAAAAATTCTTTGAAATTGAGTTGCAAGCATTTTTTTTTGTTTTATTGTCTCTCTCAACGATCGCTTTGAAGAACAAGAAGTTGAAGCTAAAGAAGAGCATTATAAATTTCAGTTGCGAGTCTGCAATAAATTTTTCATGTTCCTCATTTTAGTTAACATTTGGGATGAATGCAAATTCGATGTCACCACAAAATTGCATCAACAGCTCGCTTTTCAATTAGATAAATGTATAAAAATTTTAGGAAAGAAAAATTTCTAAATTTAGTTGCAAACATAACATGAGAAAAATTTTTCTTTTATTTATACCAGAAAGAATGTTTGTGCAGCGGATTGAATGGAATTATCCGACGCAAGAAGTTTTTGTTTTGAACAAAAACATATTTGTTAAGCACAACACAAGCCGATGAAAGAATAATGAAAAGGATAATATGATGCAACGTGCAAGTGACATTAATTTATTATATTTTGAATAATGGATTGTTCCATCAAAGGATTATGCAATCGTTGAATGGTTTTTTCCCTCTTTTTTTAAATGCTTTGTGAATCACTTCTTAATTTTCTTTATGTAATCTCAGGGTCGAAGTTCCTACAACGGTTAGTCAACTTTGCACAAAGTTTTTTTTTCTTTTACCTTCTCCCTGCCACCATTCATTAATTTGTTGGATTCCTTACTTAGCTGTGCATTCGAAAATAACATCTGATGACCGCCAAAACTTATTATAAGTAGACGAGTTGCAAATGAATATTTTCAGCACAGAACTGAGCTGAGACTTGAGAAACAAAAGAAAAAGAAAGAAACATTCAAGCGTGAACAACTGTTTATGAAAGCACACTTTCAGTGACGTCCATTGACTCTTTTACCTTCACTTAAAGCAACGACTTTTCGGAACATTTTTTTTTCTCACTACGCTCGACACTCGACACATCAACCAGCAAATAATTCAAAAGCGACATCATAAATAAGTAAAATTGAATTCGGATTTACATAACCGAAGTTTCGAAGTCTATGATCGGAAATCGCGTGAATCACTCAAAAAATTAAAATAAAAAGTGCGAACGAAATAGACTATTTTAAACTAATGAGCTGTGAATGTCACATTCACGCATGAGAATTCTGCCAGCACCTGATCAGCACAATGCTTGAGTGCTACCAACCAACAGGCAATCAAATTACCTTTTATTACTTAAAACAACTTTAGCTAGATATATTTAAACCATGAAAATGATTTCGCAAAATAAACGAAGCAATAAAATCGCCATTTAACTTATTTAAGTTATTATATTTGTCCAATGATGACTTCATAGAGTGCTTGAGTTAATTTCAGAACTCGCAATCAATCAGAAGTCAAATGAAATGAAAACAACTTTAATTTCTCTCACTTAAGATCAAAATTGTGAGATTGTACCACCACTGTTGTTGCAAATATTTTAAAGCAAACTCATTCATTCTTTAAATTGCGCAGTTCTATTCATGTCAAAAGCCAATGTCGGAAAAGGCGAAGGTGAAGAGAGTGAAGTATCAACGAGAGAAACAGCAAAAGTTGAACAGCCGTCACGTAAATATAATCAAAATCACTCACTTGCATGTATACAAACCCAACAATGACATCATCTCTTTAATTGCAACTTTTTATTTATTTTATTTTTTCGTTGCTTGTTTGTTAATCTTCATCACATTAACGAAAAAAATAAGAACTTATCAGACCCTGAACCCATTTTCTCGTTCGTACACTTTTATTTTCGTGTGCTCTCAACTCTCAAATGTTAGTGAATTTCGCAGAGTTCACTTCGTTTAACCCCGTGGAAGAAAAAAATTAACGAACAAGAAGCTTTATTGTGCACTGTCACATAGCGACTGTCAGCTTAAATTGATTCTTTGCAGAACTGCACATGACTTAACATCGTTCGTTTGAATTTATTGCCTTGCCTTGCAATTTTACTCTGCTTAAGGTTGATTTGAGTGTTCAAGACAGCAGTGAAACAGATTCATGTGAATTTAAAAAATAAAAATTACAGCCAGCATTTTAACATCAAATTTCTTAATTAGCTTCATCCATTCGCCGGGAGTTGAGCGACGTTGCCACACTTGATCGTCCGTCATGGCATTATCGAGACAAGCCAAGCACAAACCATTATTATACATTAATATTCTCGTTCAGGTTTTTATTGAGCTCAGAGAAAAGTCAAGTTTTATAATTCTGCGCTTTCAAGGTTAGCAACACATTATTGTGTCATGTAAACTTATATATTTAAAAATATGTAGAATATTATGAAGTAGAAATGCAGGGGAGTTGGGCAGCTTTGTGATATTTATTATATTAGCAACGGAAACCACATTAGAATCACAAGATGTATAAATTTACTAATTGTATAATAAACATCGATGTAGAAATGTAAATAAAAATAAAACAACTATTATTACATTATCCACCCCCGCTTAATCATTCACTTCAGAAAACACAAGACAACATCTCAGGTTGAACACAATACTTATGTCTATGTAGTGGCTTGCTTCAAAAGTAAATAAAGTGATATCCAATGTAGCTGACTGAGCACAATCATGAACACATCTATGGCTTTACAATATTTTATCTTCTTCGTCTCTCTTCTCATCCCGCACAAATTTCATCTTTCCTTTAACACGAAAATCCGAAAATTCGAAAATTCGAAAAGCATCAATGAATGATATTTCTGTATAATTTTTCTTTATGTAGTTTTGTTTATTTTTTCCTCAAGGAAAGTCTTTTTAATTTCGTGTGTCGGCATCAATGAATATGCATTAAATGAAATGTAAAAAGAAAAATCCATTTAGAACAGGGTCGAGTGCCATATGCGAGCTATTTTACTTCGTGGTAGAATCAAATAAACAAGACGATTGCTTCATGTTCTGCTCCATTTCGTGAGTTGCCCTTAAAGTCGTTTCAGATTTGCATTTCATTTCTCAACAACCTTTTTGTGTATTCGCGAATTGTGTTCTCAAACGAACATTAAAAAATATTCACTCACACTAAACGAAAGATATTTACAATAAAAATTTCCTCACTCAAACGCTAATAGATCGTTCAAATATCAGCATCTACGTCATGAATTAGAAGCCATTGAACAACAAATTACTCGTTTTTTTGCGATATATAAATAAAGAAGAAACGAATGAAGTGATGCGAAAAGCTTTGTGATATGCTCTGAATTTTCACACGCTTGACAAGTAGTAAAGATAAATCACACAATGTTTGATATTTTAAGGTTTTTTCTTTCTTTTTTTATTTGTTTGTGGGGTAATCTGAATTAACTAAATATTCATCTAAATCATTCTCAAGAACAAACATCGCCAACACGACCATCCTCAATATTACATGTTGTCAACTCGTAATAATAAAAAAAAAATATAATACCTCGCATAATAAATCGGAAACATTTGCTGACATCAATGAAAATAAATGAGAATTTTTCCTTTAATTTTTGCTTGCTTGAGGGAAACAGTTCAGAAAATTGTCAATGGTCATGGTTACGATTACTTATAGTTGATGCGCCATCGTGTCCCGAGTATTGAGAATTTAAAACGAATTAGATTTTTTATTTTCACATTTACCCGCACGATCTAATCACTGATACATTTCAACGTCAGACAAGTTTGTGTATGTTGTTTGGTGCGATTACTTACACTCAAATAACTTATGATTAGTAACATTTTTTCGGCTGTTTTGTTATTTACTATACAAAGTTCATTAGTTTTGAGGGCAACAGACTGACAAACGCAAAAAATAAATTTTTGTAAGCTCGTCGCTCGTCTGACTCAATAAACTATTTCACTGTGCTTCTATTTTGTTACGACAGCGAAAAAAGAATTTCTTTTCATGAGTATTTTGCCGGTTTTGCATTCTTTGTTGTGTTGTTGTCATGGCTAATGGCATGAAAGATAAATCGATTCACAAATGCACATGTAAAGCTTCACAAGTTGTGAACTTATGAAATGAGAAATGAGAATAAAATAAATAATCTTTGAAAGGAAATGTCTAAGTAGAGTGATATTAAAACAAGATCAAATAAATGTTACATCATAATATGAACTGAACAAAACGAATGTTTTCGAAACGATTTCATTGAAAGCGAAATCTGCAGTGAAAGAATTGCAATAAAAACTGTTAGTGGAATGAGAGTAGAGAAGGTTCAGTGGAATTTGGGATGAGATGTACATAGAAAGAGTTTTTATTTTCAAACATTTCTTACACAAAAATGCTGATTTGGTTCATGCGCATTTTATGCAATTTTCCATTGCTTTCTTTCACGATATTTAATTTGTTGGGGTAGGATTGCTATTACTGCACATCAACACAGTTCAATCTACTAACGATGCTTTCTTTTTTTTTCAACAACAAAGCTTAGATAATAAATAAAACCAAAGACATTCAGAGAGACGAAATGTGGCGTCTGCTGAACGTGAAAGTATTGCATCAATGTGCATCATCATCAGAATATTCAATGCCATGAATGAAAAGTTTTCTCATTTATTTTTATTGATGACATTCCATAAAAGGATGAAATCTCTCCTCAATCCAATTCTCGTTTATCATCAAACCTTAAAAGGCATCGTCCTTGTGCGACACTTTTTAAATATCAGAAAATTTTTGAAGAGAAACACATAAAGTTCGTGTACATATTCAACATTCCATGTTACTATCAAGTTCTTTGTCCTTAGCCAAGGTTGCAGAAAGGACGACCCAATTTTATTTCATTTCAGTTCTCGTGCTGTGTTTGAAGCATAACGAGTGAGAAGTGAAAACTTTTTCTTTCGGGCTCATAAAACATTTCAAGAGAATAAAAAATATAAAAAAATCGCAAGCGAGAAGAAAGGCAAGTGTGGAGTGAACCTTGGATTGAACGAGAAAAGAAAAAGAAATTTCCAAGGTTCTTTGCTGATTTCTTCCACATCTCAGATGGATTAAAATAACATGCTATGATGAATGATTCTTAAATGAATTGGAGAAAGAACATTTGTTCATCTCAAATTTATGATACACGACGGAGAATGGGAATGAGTGCAATGGAAATGTCACAGTCATTTAGGAGACGTTCCTTAACTCACTCTCTAAAAAAGATTTGATTATTTGTATTATAAATTTCAAGCACACTCAACTCTTTTATCACAAAGCATCGTTCAATAGATCTCAAAGGAAAGATATCGTGAATGCATATTTATCGTTTATCAGAAATGTTTTGCAAACTTTTTTTATCCATTTACATGACTCAATTTTATTAATGTAAAGTTGTTCGATGCCAGTGTCCAAACAAAGGGAACAATGAATTGAATAACTGAAAAAGTGTGTTATCATTGTGGTAGGTAATGGAGAAGTTCTCGAAATAACTGAACTAAAGGGTGTGTAGGTGCATATTGCAATACTTGATCTGGCATTATAATAATGCGATCAATTGTCGTGCTCATTAAGTTTGTTTTATAAACTTTCTTTTACAAGGACGTGTTCCATAATTGAAAAAGCCATACATCGCTTGCTTGATATCGTCATCATCGCCGTTGCCGCCGCCGCCACATACTTTTCTCTTCATACACACACAAAACACAAAAAAAAGTTTTTATTTTTAATTTTCAATGCTGAATGGCGGGTTCAGCGCCATTTGCTGAAGTCAATAATCTTTTGTACGACTTTTTTTCCTTCTCTACACGATGAAAGAAAAAAAACTTTTTTTCGCGCTCAGCAACTCAAATGACCTTCCAACTTTTTTTTTATTGATTCACATGCAACTCGAAGCTCGTTTTGCGCTTCACATTAAAAAGCAAATGATTGATGTTTGATAGTGTGTGCGAACATTAAGACTCAGACTATGCAGTCCTTAAATTTTCATTTTGATTTATTTAGTCTCGCAAAACAAACTGCACGCACATGTCACGACGATACTTTGATGCTTAACATATCCAACCGAAATAGCAACTATGAAATTGAAACTTCTCACTTTTTTTTCTGAAAAATTTCACGACCTTTCTCAACGTAAAAGTACATGACGCGCCCAGTGAATGAAACTGAAATGAAAAAGAAATTTTGCTCTTCTTCTTGTTTTTCTGGCCTTTTTTTTGCGAGACTTCAGTTTTACATGCAGCATATACATTAAGCATAAATTATCTGACTCTTGCTTGCCTTTTTTTTATTACATCACTACATCAGTAATGTTTATGTTGCTTTCATTTACGCCCTGCCTCAACTTTAGAATATTTCAGTCAATATTTTTGTTTATTCTTCTTTCTTTTCTGAACATGAAGCTCGACAGTCCCGCACATCACTTCATTTTCAATTTTTTTTATGCGAAAATAAACAAATGAAAAAATGTGTGTTCGCAATTCTCACCATCAAATGTGTCCCAATTCTCTTTTGAAATTCATTTCACGATCTGAGTCAAAACATTCACACTTGCATTTAGCGCATATTCAGCGATGAAAAACAATTAAAAGAGAAATAATTGTAAACATTTTAATGTTCGTCTTTTTTTATTATTTTCTAAATGAACATGGCGACAAGTTTGCAGTTTAAATGTTTTTGGTGAGTGGTCTGCTTGTTAATAGGGCAATGATTCAATCAATGAAACGAAACAGACACATCTGCATTGTCATCATGTTGATGTAAAGAAAAACCAAAAAAATTCACTCACATCTGCATAGATCAATGACAATGTTAGACGAATGACATTCAATGGCAATCCATTCGTCTGCTGATGAATAAAGAAGTCTATTTATCACTTATAAGTGTCATACTAGCAATTTATCTAATATTATGTAAGTTCTATTCCACTATACGGATGATGGCTTCACAAGCTCATAATAGGTGAAGAGAGCGAGGAAAACCAGCAAAGTTGTGATAGTTCAAGGCCATTAACGTGAGAAAAAAAATCACATTTTTCATAGTTTTAAATCTTTGATGCAAGTTTGTGATTGTAAAAAACCAGTTGATGATCATGCTTCGTTTTTTTGCCATTGCAAATCATTTAAGGTGTCACAAAATGTCAAGGACATATAAATGTCATAGAATACCCACCCACAATTTTCCTAACCCATCCTAAAATATGTATAAAGCGTGCGTTCTACACAACAGAAGCTAATAATTTCCATTTCATAAAGTATAATGAACAACAGAAAGAGATAGAAAAGAAAATCGTTTTTCCACCCACAAGTGAAAACCCCTGTCGTGTCGTGGAAGTTCAATCAACTCTGAGGACGAAAAAAGAAATCTTTGGATCTTTTTAAAAGAGTTTGTTCTCCCCATCGCTATTACATGAAAGTGATTTTGGGGGTGGTAAGTTACAAGCTTTCTTTCACTAGAAACCAAAAGCACTCATAAGCGCATCACAAAATGCGACTCAATGGAAATCTTATTAGCTGAGGTTATGGATTTTTCGACGTTTCGAAAAAAAAGTAAAAAAAAAATAAAAAAAATATAAAAAGAATTTTCCTTTTAATATATTTGGAATTGAGGCCATCAGACGAAGCGACAACACATTCACATTCTTTTGCGAATAAATTGTCATGTGCACATAATTGGATTACAAATTTTATTTAATGTTTTTTTTTCTTCATTTTCTCCGTGAAGCAAGGAAAAGAGTTCTCTGACCTCATAAGCCGAAACATGAAACGGATGATGTAAAAATAGAAGCAACAAAATGATTGAATAAACAAACAATAAGATGCAATAATATTTACAGTATGATCCTTGGAAGCGATTGTAGACTTGTAGCGGATGCTGATCCATCCAACGACTTTGGGCCTGCTCAATTATTGCTGCCACCGTCATCATTGGTTTCTCTTTCTTCAACATTTTTATTGTTTTTTATGATTCAGTTGCTTGTTGCACAATTATAATTTTTTTTTGCTGTTAATTGCAAATTTCAGCCGAAAACAAAAAACAGAAACTTTCACGCGAGATGCAACGATTGAGAAGAAAGTTTCTTTGTTGCAAAACCGCGAATTAATTCACTGTTAATTTTATGGTGTTCCACTTATTGAAATGATTGGTTTCTCGCCAAACCCTTCAACTTTTATGTTTTATTAAGAATAATTTCTTAAGGTCATTGCATATTCCCATCAAGGTTTGACGTCATTCGGACGTTTAATTTATAACACTTGCACTTGACAATTGAAGAGTATTTTATTACGATTACAAATCTAATTTCCAGTTATTGACGTTCATTCATCAATTCATGTGAGCTTGTTAGAGAGAAAAGAAGTGAAAAAGTTTTATTAAATAATTCACTCGCTGTTGTCCAAAGCCGTCAATCATTCAACGAATGTCTCTTCTACTCTCTTTGGAATCGTTTCCTTTCGATTCTACTGTTTGTTTAATATTAAATTCGTTAGTCTAATGAAATGTTTACATTCGATTTCGTTGTGCACACACAATTTTTTTTATTATTTTTTTGGAGTTTAATAAACTCTCTCGGACTTGTGTAGCTTTAGCTCCATTCACATTGAAGCGCAATTGCAGAATGAAACTTTATGCGTCCGCTGACTCACTCAAACAGACTTCTAAATATTTCTTTTTCATTCGATATTTAAAGTTCTTTTTTTTGTGTTTACTTTCGATAAAAGTTTCACTTTCTGATCAGGTCGTGTCCTCTTCGTTTGGATTCAAAAGCGCGACTGAAAAATATATAATATTGAAGCATGAAGAGAAGTGAGAAAATATTGTATGTGAACATCGAATGCACACACATTTCACATTTTCGTGTTCGAACGAAAGAAATTCCTTTTTTTTTATCAGACGCAACAACAACTTCTTATTTTCCTTTTCATTTTGTTTGCCTCACATCGTCGTTTCATATTGCCAACCAAAAAAATATCAAATAAAAATGTTATTAAGCTTTTTTTGTTTGCATCAATCGCATTCCAACAAGCGTTTGCTTTCCTTAAGTGAATGTGGAGTGAGATGGCGAAGTTGAAACTGCATTTAGAGTTCTACCGAAAGGCAAAAGTGGTTTGTAAAAAGTCAAGAGCGAGATGGAGAATTTTCAAAGCACGAAACCGAACGACGAAAAAAAATAAAATAAAATATAATATTTCTGTCTGATAACGAGACATTCGGAGCTTGTTTATGTGTTTGCGATGAAGGCGAGAGTACATAGTTGTATACATCAAAAAGAACTGCAAGATTTGGACACCGTGGAGTGAGATGGAGCGATGCGAATATTGTCATTTTTTATTATAAGTGAGCCTCAATGTCAAATGTAATGGAAAACTCTTGATTTCAATCTTTTGATTGATAACGTTATCCGCTTGATTAAATATTTGAGGTCAAAGTGCTAATGTAATCGCTAAGCTTTCTGTCGATAAGAACAAATGCAACTGATGGAAATTTATTTGCGCAACTCTCATTTAGCGTTCACAAAGAGCGTCCTTCACCCTATCATGAATCGAAGAATGAAATTCTTCGGGCTTTGTTTGATCGTCTTTCAATCTCTTCTTACAGCGCAGGGTTTGTTTTCAAACAAACACAAACTTTTCGACGTTGTTATCAGCTTTAAGATACAAAAGTCTGAAGTATTTTTGATCGCGATGACGCTTTTGCTAGGCTCATAAAGATCCCACTCACACGTCTACTCACTCCCGACTTTGATTGTGAAACCGTCGAAATTATATTTTTCATTTCGCCTCGCAAATTTTTTTTATTAGCTTTTTGATGCATTTTTCCTTGAAACTTCTCTTTTATCTTCAATTGTGAAATGGAAATAGACTCGTGGCGACGTCGTGGATTCTTCTGTTACTCCGATAACTCACACTAATGTTTATTTAGAATTTGACGTTGTTTTGTTTTTGCTTCTTTTTAATCAGTGAAGAAACGTGTCGCTGAAAAGCTTTCGAGAATGCCTTTTACTATCGGTCACGCCGATATTGATAAGTATTGGCAACTCTTTATCTCGAGGTTCTTTTTTTTTCTACATTTCATTCATGACAAATTAAACTCTCTCAAATTGAAATTTTGAGTCTAATCATCATCTGGTGTCGTCTTATCTCACATCATTCAGTTAATTAAGTTTATATTTTTCTTTAAACTGTTTTTGCAAAAAAAATCTCTCGAGAAGAAAAAAATGAAATTTATTCGCGATGACGACATGAAGGCATGAAAACAGTTCAGGGTCGACTTTTTTAAGCTCACTTCGAGAACGCACCATTTGCTCAAACAGAGGGCGACATCATTTTGATGAATGACAATGAAATAAATATAGATTCCAGTTGTTAACATGTCTAAACGAAGTTTTTATGCATTTATTCACATTCATAAGAGACCAGACGTGTAGGTAAAATACTTAATCGCATTACTTGGAAGTTCTGAATTTTGACTGATAAGACGAAGTCATACAAATATAAACGTGGCCTGAATGTATCAGACTTTCAATTTGCCAAAAAAATAAATAAAAATAAGACTTCTACTGCACACAAGACAAACGCTTCGGCCTATGAAACTTATATATAAGAAAAATCATTTGATATGCTTCTTCTTTTTGTTCCGCTTTCTTGCGAAATGTGAAGAAATGAAGAACAAGAGCATTGCGATTATCTTTTTTTTCCTTGTTATCACTTGGAAATCGGGTTGTTTGTGTGTAGGAAACAAATGGCATAAAAACATTTTCACTCTAAATGCAGTAAAAAGAGATTGCTAAATTAGTTCTTATAAATGTATTGTGCATTTATCAAGAAGAAACAAAAAAAAGTCATTTGATATTCTCTCTTATTTTTTTTAACAGCACTGTGTGCTTCAATTAAAAATGTTTAATATTGCGATGCAGATACTTATACAGTCGTAGGCGTAGAAGTTAATGAAAAATATAAATCAAAGATCACGTGAAAAAGAAAATTAAAATGTATTTGATCTTGAAAATTGACATGAATTGAAAATTAGCAACACGCTTAGATAATTATGCATTCGACATGGAAGATTTTCCACTGTATGAGCATAAAAAAGTGAAATAAGAAGAAAATGTTTTACTTTCACAATGCACTATAAAAAAATTATGAAGCCAAGAACTAGTTCTTCAGTCAAATTAATTACGCTGCTGATGCATAATTTCTGCATTTTTTATAAGTTTTGTTGTTGTGAAAATTTATGTTAACCGCGAAAATAAACATCATAATAAATAAAATGCGCAAGGCGTAAATTTTCCATCTGATCAATTTCCATCTGAACACAGCTACCACATTTGCCTTGAAACTTCCGTAGAAAGCCTCTCAATCAATCTTTCTACTGATTTTAACTTTTCTCGCGATACAATTCGACAACAGAAGTCAGCTCAGTAGATGAAAATATTTATTTTTCTTTAGAGATATTTTTAAAATACACAGAACATCAAGAGCCAACAACAAAAATATTAAAGGAAAAAAATCAGCGACGAAATTGGCAAGCAAAATGAAAGGAATAAAATAAAAAGTTGTTGCAGAAAACGAAACAAAATCGATGTCACTAAATTGTATTTAGTTTCGCGAAATATACAAAATTGCACAAGCCAACAACGCACCACAAAAGAAAAACAAAAGGCCAGTGTTGAGTTCACTACCAGCCGACAATTTTTTTTGTATTCCTCTTTGAGCTTAGAAACATTCAAATATTTGTTAATCGCACAAGAGAAATATTTTCACAATTTCCACATGAAATCCTTTAATTTTTTAATGCTGAGATATTTTTGTCTTGTCTCAAATATTTCCATAAAATTACACAATCATCAATTTTCGTTTATCAACATGAAGAGAAGTTCTTAATTCACCAAAGAGAGTTTTCATAAGCAAAAACTCATCGCGATTAGAACATCAAGAATTATTATAAAAAAATCGCGGCTTAAAATGATCAACGAATGAACATCGCGGCCTTCTCAGAGAAGAATTTACTTGCGACTGAGAAGTGAAAATGTGTGGCATCTACTCAGAATATAAAATAAAAAAATTATATATAATTTCATGTATAATTTTCAAACTCGTTCGCTTTAGCTTGCTTCTTTCGTTCTCATTGTTGTTGCCACTGAATATGTGAGCGAATTTTAAAGAGTTGCGAACACGGCATTTGAAGCTTCAGTGTTGCCAGATATTTACATTCCTCTTTCATTCTCAAATATTTACCTATTCAGGCTCACATTTAAATAAGCAAAAAGTGTATTTTTAAAATATCTCTATATGAAGCTTTAGCTGTGATTTATGTTAACACTAAATAAATTAAAAGAAAATATTCTCGGAGAGAATTCAACCAACACATTCGCATGATTATGATGTGAGAGCAAATAAAACTTCTCCACTGTTTGGCGATTTCGCGAATGGGAGCTTGAAGCGCTTCAAGAACAGAAAAAAATTAATTTGAATTTCAAAATTCATAGGCAAGACATGACGGTTAAGTAAGAAACTATGCAAAAATAAATAAATTCTTATACAAGCAAATGGAGAGCGTCTGTGGTTAAGAACGGCTGTGAAACCAAAGTAAAAATAAAAATTGCCAAAGAAAAATGAAGCCCCAGGAAACGGACTTAGAAGTCGCACGCGAAAATTTATTATCGACTATTTGCCTTCTCTTCCTGTTTTAGTTCTTATTTTCATTCCGTCGACGCTTTATGACACTGCTGTTCTCGAATGGATTATTGAATTAGAATATTTCTTACTTTGAATTTATTTATTTTTTTTGGTTTGCTGTCATTGAATGTTGGAAGTTGGTCATGACATGGAAGCAATAAAGAATAAAATTAAACGATCGTTAAAACGGCTGCAAATTTAGGGGAATTTTTAAGTCGTTTAGAAGCGACTACAAGTCATAATTCTTTTTTGTTCTATTAAGAAGATTTTAAAGTTTCCGACTAATGTTGCTAAAGAATTTTTCGATAATTGCATAATTTTGTTCGCGAAAAAGAAACTAAAAATTATTCATCAAGTCATTCACCAAAACATAGAAACGTCTAACACACGGCGTGCTTATTAAACAGCGAATAGAAATGTGAAGTAAAACTGAGAAGAAAACCAAGAAATACAAAAATAAAATTGACCTTGAAACAATGTGCAAAGTCTCGGGAAAGAAGTAAAGTAATAAAATGGAAACCAAGAAGCGTATGAAGTGAATGAAGAGACAAGAGAAAATGTTAAGTAAAATAGTTGCTGTTTCCCTTCCTTATGTTGCTTCTTAAAGTCAAATATCACGATCGTCGTGTTTAGACGATTCTTCTTTCATTTTTATGTTCATCTTTCATCATAATTCCAATTCCATTTCTTCGTTCTGTCGTTGCAGTCTTACAATCGCGTTCTTCTTTCTTTAAACACGGCGAGTTTTTTTTATTTACTATAAAACATTAGAGCGAGACGAAAGAAGATGCTGTTATAACCATAACAAATGGTATCATGTTGAACATAAATGATCAAGCATAAATATCATCACATAGATATTTCTTTTCTTGAACAAAAACGACGCAATGGTAATAAGCGTTACTATTTTTAGAAATTTAGAATAAAATGGAAGTCCATCAAATAAAGCAACGGCCCGGAAAAGATATTTAGTCAGTCACAAATTTTAGGTGGAAATAATTGACACCTCAAAGCTTTGGAATCCTTCTCCATCTGTTTACTCATTCTTTAATCTGAAAACCCTTTTTTTTTCTTCTTTACAACAGAAATAGTTTCAATTTCACCAAAGATGAAATAAGAATAAAAGTAAACGATGTTGGAATAACCTTGAAAAGCACTAACCAACATTTGTGTGAGAAATTGAATACCTACATAGCCTCTTGTTCTCTTTCCATCTCCCTCATATATTTATTCACTCACTCACTCATTCACCATCTTTCGCTTCTCATCATTGCGAAATGAAAACGAGTTTTTCTTCTCAGCTCGTCGAAGCGATGAAACAAGCGAACGTTCTACATCTTGATGGTGGTTTAGGAGACATTAGCGGATGGGAGAAATATCATCGTGTCACGTTATAATGTTGCCCAATTTATAATTGAGAGAGGAGATTAAAAATTAATTATCATTTTAATCATTAACTTCGCGTTGTTGATACGAAGGAAATTTGTCGACGCATCAAATCTTTAATCAAGTTAAGCTTAAAAGTCTACCCTCAATCAATTATGAAAAAAAAAATTCTTGTAAATCTTGACGTTCAATTCACGAACAATTTAAGGCAGTCACAATTTACGATGATCTTTAAATGTTAACATCATCTGTTCTCATCACTTTTCGATGATCTTTACTAAAACAACTTTTTGTGAGTTGCAAAAGAAAGGTCAAGAATTGAATATATTAAAAGAATTTTTGAATGTCGCAAAGCGGATTAGAACTATGTGTTCTTCTTCTTAATTTTCTTTGAAGGAACAACACTTCCAGATGATATCTTACGATTGCGGAAGAGAAGAAGTCCGGTATAATGACATTCCCTACTCTGATGATGATGATGATGAACAATCGTAAAATCAATTTTAACTTTTAACTTTTTATTAGATAACTCTATTTAGACTATTTACCATCATCAACCTCATAATCAATTAAGAGAAAAGAAAGAAGTTATTAAGTAAGAAGTATCTCAAAAAATCGACATTTTCTATATCTCTGCTGCTCAGCACTATTAGCGTTGTCTGCTCTGACAACGTATTACTCTTCTGCTCAGAAAAAATTTAACAACAAAATTAAAATAAAGGATCGAATGCACTAGCAAATAAATCATCTATGATGATTAGGGGAGCGAAACAGGACGTCCATTGGACAAAAGGTCCTACTCGCCTTAAGAGGATTTATTTTGTAGATCCCCCCTTACTGATGATGATGATGATGATGTTTTATGATTTGACAGAGAGTAAGGTTGACGGGCGACAGAACCGAAAGTTTTTGAAACTTTTAAGTCATGAAAGAAATGGACAATAAATAAAAATTTTTCTTTTCAAACTGTTTAGAGTCGAAAGTCGAGACATTCATTGAAAATTGAAGCGTCGCAAATCAATAAAATTTCTCTCTAAGCAATAAGCATATTTCTTGATGATTAATAGTTTGATGATTGCACGTCTTGTCTTGTTCATTCGAGCAAGAAAGAAAGCAAGCAAGTAAGCAAACAGATGAAGATCATATTTCATTGTCAAATCAACTCACCAAGTTCTTATGAGAATTATTTTTGTAGTCGAAGATGGGAATAATTTCTCGGAACTGTGTTAAGATATCATTGTGTCTCGCCATGTCAGTTGCCAATATGCATCTTATAATACCTTCACGTAACTCCCTATGAAGTAGAAAGAATGGAAAATTTATGCATAAGATTGTTTAGAATAAAATCTGTTTTCCATGCATGAAGTTGAGTTCAAAGTTTAATAAATTACTTGTACATGTCTTTGGTGATATTCTCTAAAAGATTGCAGTCTGGAAATTCCAGAAGCCGGAAAGCAATAGAACAATGATGGTTTTCCAATGGAGAAATGTCGTTGTACCTAAGAAAACACAAATTGATGTCTTGCTTAATGCACGCAAATCTCCTTGATTTATTACAAGGTTCATTTACCTCAACGCCAGTTCCGTCTTTGCATTAATTTGATAAACATTGTTATAGCCAGGATGATCCAAGTCATGACAAATGCATGATATCAGCAAAATGAAGACGTCCATCTCACCGAGACGTGAAATTAAATTTGTTTGCCATGTTATTGCATACATCTGAATTAAGAGGAAAAAAAGAAAGTCAAAGGAAATTTAAAATGAAAATATAAACGAGCGTAAAAAAAGAAGAAAAATTTATTTTCTCTTATTACATGATGAAGTAAATATGAATGAAAGAGAATATTTTCCTTTTCTTTCTCATAACTTTCCTTTGAAATCGACAACATCAAAAGATTTGTGAAATAAATATGAATTCCTTGTATATTTATTTATCTGTTTGTAATTAATTGAATTGAAATAAATATACGTTGAAGAGAGAATATTTTCATTTATTTTTTAACACTCATAAATATTCCACGTGTACACAAAACAATTTTGAAATGCTTATGGCATGCTTATTTATTGCATGATGAATATAAAGACAACAGTTGAACATGAAATTTTGTGAAACATCAACAACTGAAAAGCGATGCAATTAAATATTCTCTCAACATGAAATGTTCTGAGCTTTTAACTGCTTGAAGGGATTGAATTTCATGGCAAAAATACAGCGAGAAATTGTGTCAACCTTTGAATCGTGAGAACAAAGGACAAACAACACCATTCAATCGCTCTCTACCTTCAATTAAATTTCCTTCATCAGTAAGCTTTTTATGCATAAAGTTTCTAAAATTCCTCGTATCGGTGAAACAAATTTCAAAGAAATGTGATTTTATCGCTTTTCTTGTGAAACTTTTTTCTATCTCTCTTCTTCACTGATAGATTTAAAAGCTTTTAACCGAAAAGCTTTCGCATCATAAAAGCTTTTAGCCTCAAAATATATTTCTAAGCCCACCTCAAAATCAAATTTTTTTAAGAGTTTAAAAGGAAAAATTGACAGGAAAGAAACAAAAGAAAAAGAAGAAGTTTAAGACTTAATCTCAATAAAAGACTTTCAATCTCATCCATCTCGTTTATCTAATATTTTAGAAAAGAAGAGGAAAAAAAAATTGAAAATTCATTTTTCTACCTTTTCCATTAATTTTCTTTTCATTCTCACTGTATGAGATTATGAACGGAAATTAAATTTACCGCATAAAACTAAGAGAAATGAAATTCTTTTATTGAGTTTAATGTATAATTATTAGATAATGTAAGAAGCTTCAATGGCGTTGAATACGACAACGACGACGCAACCCAAATCCCATAACTTCATGAAGCCTTTTAATTCCCTTGCGGCACAAAACAATTTACTGACTTGTTTCTTCTTTTTCATTATTATTTTTTTTTTGTTGCGCTCAACGCGAGACAAATTTGTGTTATTTATTCAAACGTAATGAAGCTTCGCGAAAATCCTCATCATTATTTTTATGTTCTTTTGTTACTTTTCCCATTGTGTTTAAGGGAAGGAGGAAAAACGCAACATTGCGTAAATAAAAAGGGAATCTTCAACTCACCATTTGCGACACACAAAAGCAATGACGAAAGTTATGGAATGGAACGTCATTGTAATGCTTGTAGACTTCGTAGAGCCATTCCTGGAGCCTTGCTGGCGATATGTGGAACTTCTCAATAAAATTCAACTCCACAAACATCATCTCCATCAAATGTAAAATTTCGTAGTCCTCGTAATCGTATGAATCGAATGATGGCAGACGTAATGCTACTTTAACATCATCCGAAAGTGTCGTTTGACATATTTCAATAAATTTCGTTTTCACATCACTGTGCTTTGGCAGACTTGTCTTACGTTGTGGTGGAGGATTTGGTCGGTTAGACAAGGCTACAATACAAAAAAGAAACAATAAAGAGAACATTAAAAATTCAACAAAATTCATATAAATAACATGAGGGAAAAGGAAAGAAAAAGGAAGCTCTGAATTTTTCATAACTTGCTAAAAAATGTTGCTCGAAGCATCAACCATCGATTTCATATTCATTTATCCTATCAAGTGTTTTCGTCCTTCCCTTCATTTATTCCCCAATCGAATTTGTTGAGTTTACTTCTTTTTTTTTTGGTTCATAAACAGAAGAATTCGATTCGAATCGATTTCAATCAACCATGCTTTATTAGGTTTAACATGAATGATAATATAAATAAATTGTTATATAGATAATTTACGAACAAACATAAGTAGAGCAAAGGAAGGCAAAAAAAAATTAATATTTTTTATCTATTTATTTATTCACGCATTTCAATAAAATTGTATTAAAGCTTTGAGATTCGAATTAAATATAAAAAGTTGAAGGTGAAACATCGGGTAAATAATATCAGAGAATTGCGTATCAAAAGCGTATCCAGAATTTCTTGCTATGATTGAAATTCAAGAAATTAATTTGCGTCGTTATTTAAAAGAAATGTTTCTTCTCTTTTTTAAATTTGATAGGTTGACAACCATAAATTTACCCAAAAATTTATTTGACATTAAAGGAAATTTTGTGGAAAATAGCAAACAAATTAATTTATCGAACGCCGTCACGTGAAAAGCTTTTCTTGTTAAATAAAAAAAAATTGACTTCAATGGGAAACAAAAACAAATGAAAACCTGTTGAAAACAGATCAGAAATAATTATAGCTCCGAGACAAAAATCGCTAATCAATGGAAATTTTTTGCTTCAAATGCTTTTCATAGCAGCTTTTTTATGAGGGTTGGGGAACTTATGAAAACTGCTTCCAAAGCAGTCAGCTTTTCGCACAGCAATGTTGAAGAAAAGAAAAAGTCAATGTCTTTGTCATTTCCTTTGAGACTCGAGAAGCTTTAGTGAATTAGGAGAAAAATAAAAATGAGAACGAACAAGAAATTATTTGAGCGTTGGTTGTAATGTTGACTGAAACAGGTATTCGAGACAAAAAATGTAGTCCTAGGAGCTTTCTTTCATCATCCTGGAATATCTTATGGATCTATATTTTACTGACAACTGACAACTTACATAACCAATTCATTTTCTCTGTGAAATCAACTTTTCGTTTAAGTTCATGTAACAACATTTTCAGATCATTGTTGTTGACTTTTGCGCACAGCTGCTGCTGCTGATGATAAATATTTTGATACTGTTTATTGTTAAACTGATTTGATTCGTTTTCAGCGTCGTCAAAAGCTAAACATTTATTGTTATTGTCTCGACTGCTGCCAACACCACTCGTGGTACAAGGCTGTTGCTGTTGTTGTTGATATTGATCATTTTTAAGCTCATGAACGCCAGTTGGCGAAGTCGTAAGGTCATTATTGTTGTTCTTCGCCGTTGCTGATGAATAATTCATATTACTTTTACTGAAAGTCTTTCTGTTGTTTGTTGTCTTCGTCGCTCGCTTATGTCCAACGGTTTGATTCAACAAATCTTGTTGATGACTTATTTTTATGGCGATGTCTTCCAAATATCTCAAATGATTTACGATTTCTGGATCATTTACTTCGTAATTGATAGCAAGTGCACTACTGTGCTCATTATTGTCAAATATTTCATTCAATTTTTGTGTCAACGAAAGTGATGACGAGAGAGGCGGCAACCCAAAATTGATGAGACTTTGCTTTTGTAATTCTTTCAATTCAATGGCCCACGTCCGTTCCAGAGTTCGAAGACGATGTGCTATTTGTCCACATTCGGCTAATAGCTCAACATCGACACTCCTCTCGTTTTCGTGGAACATTCGTTTAAGTAACGTCACCACAATGAAGCTTTGAACGGAAGCTTTTGATTTGCTTTTTCCGTTTGACTATTCGACAAAAGCTTTCAGCGTCAAATATCCGGAGAACCTTACACTTTACTGAACGTCTTCGTCGTTCCTTCGATTCTCAGATCTTTATCAGATAATATCTGCAACGAAAAAAAGAATATCACAAAATTTAATTAGTTAATTAAGGTACATAAGGCGGGACATAAAAATAAAGCCAGGTAAAAGAGAAAATCTTTCAATTATTTTCCGGTTTTATGTTTCATCTTCTTAACGGTGAAATAAATTTGATAAGAAAGCAACAACGTTGATGTTGAGTGAATTTGCTAATGAAAACTTATTATTGACGGGATGAAAGGAAAAAAGAAGAGAAAATCCTAATTAAGCCTCAAACCTCGATCCATGCCTTTGAAGTTTTTGAAGGACGTAATTTCATAATGATTGCTGCGTATAGATACAGCAAGCTTACATGCTTGCTTGCTTATGATAATATTCATCGCAAATCGCGACATTTGAGAAACAAGAAAACCTTCAGTTAGCATGAGAAAAGTACAAAAACATGATAAGCAGTCAAGCAAGCTGGGTCTATAGCACTACGTCAAGAACATATATTTACAGCAAGGGAAATTCAATTGGGAAAAATAATAAGAATTTTAATCTTCTTACGAATTTTAATGTGCAAAGACTTAAACGCTTTCACTTCAATTTCTTTCTCCCGATACTTAACTCGTTCATTTTGATGGAAAGGAAAACATTTTTCCTTTCAAAATAAAGTTTTTTCTTACATTTATTTAAACTTGATACGAATTCGTCTCGAATATAAAATGAAATTTAAAGCGAAAATAAATTTGAGAACTTTTCTCGAATGAATAAATAAACACAAGATTTTTCCAGGGATTTCCTTCAGCATCTTTTTCCGCATTTCTCAATGAATAAATATTAAGATTTTTCCCCGCAATTGTATTCACTTGATCTAATTCGTTGTACAAATAAGAAAAGCTCCCATTTGCTATTTTTATACAAAGAAAATCCTAATTTGGATGCAAACTTAAACACTTTTTAACCGCTGCCGTAACTTCATCTGCGTCATGTCTCTCAAACTTTGTTCGAAGCAAACATCGGGATAATAAATTTCAAAACCGCTAGCCTTGCTTTATATTGTTGCCCTGGAGGAAAACTAATTAAAAGAACTGCTGACCTATTTCAAGCGTACAATCATCAAAGTGATCTTCATAAAGTTTTGTTTTGTTTTACTTCTATAAACTTTCTGATATAAATACTTATAAACAGTGAAATAAACTTTAAGAGCGACAATGAAAATTCTTAAGGCAATTTAATGAGATTTCAAGAACAAAAAAAAATTATTCACGTCCATGTCAGCAAAGTTCTTAATTATAATCAGTATGATTCCTATTAAAATATATTTAGCAACTCCACCTTAATTATTTTGTGTCTATAATTAGCACAAGAGCAAGAATAATTTTTATTAACAGCAACAAAGTATTTCATTCTTTGTGTCAACAGTTTGGACTTCTGTCTGTTTAATGGGCACATTTATTTGTCTGATAATTATCACACTTTACGGAAGAGCATGACATCATCTCTTCCTATACCTAAATATTTACGACAATCTCAAATTAATTGCAAAGGTTAATCGATGATAAAGTGATAAACTTTTATATTGCAATCAATCAAATATTTATGATGAGAATCATGACATTAATTTGTCCTTTTTTATTATTTATGAAAATATCTGTTTACATATTTATATTGACGAAGAAATCATCTGGCAACCACTGTTCGTGAATGTATTCCGGAAGTGATTGAAAGCAACCACTTGATAATAATTGGCACAATGAAGCCAAACATTAAATAAGAAATCTCACACAATCCGATTATCTTTCTAATTAAATTCTTTTCTTTCGTCTATTTAAAGCTATAATGAGCTTTCCGATTGTTATTTCACATTTAATTACCCGATTTCTTTTTGAGTTCTCGATTAAAACGAGAAAATTCAGGACGAGGGGAAACTTTCAAACGCGTTAAAATAAAATAAAAATCTGAAAGCTGGAAAACAAACGAAGAGGAATGAAATAAAATCGAAAAGCGGATTGTTTTTTAAACAGAGTTGTAAATTGCCTGTCTCATTGTTGTTCCATTTGTTTGAACATTTCTAGGCGATTTTCAAAAACAGGGTTGAGTAGGTTGAAAAAGAAACCGAATCATTGACATGACAAGATAATTTGTTTTGTTTAAAGATTTTTTAATTAGAAATTAAAAATAAATATCGAGTTTCTGCGTTGTTCAAACCACATCTTGTTGTTACATATTCGCGTTTCTCCTTACAATGTAACTACTTTTAATTATGCTGAATTATTTTCTACAATGTAACTATTATTAATTATGTTGAATTAAATATTAAAACGAATTCCATTTATTAAGCCACTTGATAGATAGCAACGTATCAACATTACAATCAATGTAATGAATATTCTCACGCACTTCTTGTTTAATTTCTTTAAGTAGATTTCCACTTAAAACTTCCAAAGCATTAAATTGAAAAGTTTCAAGAAATTTAATTTTTTATTTGAAAATAGGGAAAGTTGAGATTTGTCGAGTTGCTAAACATCAGGGAATACTTCAAATATCATGATTAATAATTGAAACGATACCAACAAAAAAATGTATCAACAGATGATACTTTTAGAAGCTTTTGGAAACCTAATTTTGTGTAAACAAAAAAAGTGAAAATTCCCAACTTTTCCAAGTGTTTTCATGGAAGGAATGAAAAAATATCTCATGATATCGGAATATTTACCTTGCCCTGAGCGGTAGAAATTTTGTGGATTCAAAAATTATCATAATATCATATCTAAGCTTTAACAATGTCATCCTTTTTTAATAAAACAAAAGTTTCGGAATGATACGAACTGGAAATTTTCGCAAAATCATAAGATTGAAGCTTACAATTATTCTTATGGATGAACAAATGATGAGTTTTGATTAATCATTTGGTTTTCACGATCTACTTCGTTTAATACTTCACTTTACGAAAATTGATATGATTCATATCCACGACAATACACCAGATAAATGAAATTGAATGTGATAAGATGATGAAAGCTGGCATAATAATTTTATTCTCCCCACCTGGTGCAAGGTGTAACAGTCAACCACGTGATTCAAAATCATTTTTCTATGCAAGAAAACATTGCGTCAGAAAATGTTATTTTTATTTGTTATATTTATTTTCCGCTCCAATCAAACATATTGTAATGAATTGTTACATCATATGGCGATACTCCCACGAAGATTACATTGAGAAACGTAGGCATAACAAAAGCATCCCTGGGGCATTTAGATTCGACTCTCATACAGTCTACATGAACTAAATGTATAAGTAAGAAGGAGGAAAAAAGTAAATTCCAAAGCCGCTACCATTGTTATGTTGAGTAATAAGAAAGGAAGTTTCCGAATCCTTAGCTATATTATGTTGCGGACGAGTTGAAAACAGATAAAAAATAAACATGTCAGAACCGTTTTAAGCAATACTTCGAAGGTTTAACAAACACTTCATATGATTCAATATTATCATCACAAGATCAACAATCCGTATGTACTACATTCGTTTCTTCCAACTCCAAGACCTTTAAATTAATTTTCCATCAACAAATGCTTGGTAATCTCTCGACAAAATCGCTATAAAACTTTAGAAATGCAATAAAAGTAATAAAAATTGTTTAGCTTATCCCAAGTAAAGCTTATTTGAAATGATGTAGAGTGGCGGGTGTTATGGGAGAAGAAGGCGAAATTGGATTTATTAAAAATATGTTAGATGTTTTATGACAGAAGAAAAAATTTGTTAGAATGAAAAAAGCGTCTCAAGCTACAGCAACGAGATACGATGCTGAGCTTCCAGAATTATTTCTCAGAAACAGTCGCGATATTATTAATGTCATGCAAACATTTCGATTCAATTTTATTCCCATTTATCGTTTTCTTTTCAAATCTAATTTCACGACAAAAGAAGTCGAGTTGAAGAAGCGAAGATTTTATGGCATATTATTTGAGGCTTGTCTTCAAGTGCTTTGCTGAGATTTGAAGAGAAAAGTGACATCACTTACGAACCGATTTTCTTCTCACTCTCGAGACTTTTAATACGAATGGAAAATTTAAATGGAAAATATATTCTTTCTCTCTCGCTTTCATTGTTGAAAGATGAAAACTTAATCAAGGCCATAATTCAGGCTTATGCTGTATGTATACGGCAACAAGTGAATGGTTTTATAAAGATGATATCGATTTTTTAAAGGTACATGAAGAAGTCGTAATTTAAATTGCAAAACTTTTCTTCGTCTTTCGTCTGCATAAGATTTGTTTTCTTATCAGAGTTTTTCCAATCTTGATTCATTGTTGAAAGTTTATGATAAATATAAAAAACGAGAGATTTCAAGCGTAGGGTCAAACAAGAAGCAGAAAAAAAAGAAAGCGAAACTCAAACCCAATTAGGCAATGAATTTGTTTTTCAGCTACGGGAAATTTGATTTGATCTTTGCATATTCTTTCCTTAATTTGAGTTTATTTTTCGCTCAAAGATTAAAGTCTCTCGAGCAATGAAGATGGAGACCCAAGTCAGTTAAAAGCTTTACGAAAAAAGACATCACTAAGTGACGGAACTTTCATGTTATCTGCTCTTAACTTACTTTTGTAATCTGTTTATTGGACCATATTTGTTAAGAAAGAAATTTAAGGGTCAGTCTGAAAATAACGATCAAAATCCAATGAACATGTTTTTCTGATGAATTTCTTTTAAAGCACCCTAAATCTACACCTCCCAGTTCATAATCGGAATAAACACAAACTAAGTTTAACTTTAAAACATGTGGGGCGAAAACTCTGAAAGATTGTAAATTTCCGGCATATTTCATGAAGAGGAAAATTTGATGGGAGGATTTATTACAAAACTGTTTTTTCCCTCTGTTTTCATTTGGCTTCCTAACATTCTCAAATTCTTCTAGACACTCACAAAGCCATCCATCCTCATGACCCAACATTACCCTCATTTTGATTCAGATAAGAAGAAAAATCGGCTCGAAAGATTTCTCGAGATGTTAATCTAAAGTTACCGTTAAAAACCGACCCTAACTAAGCAAAGAAACAGTAAAAGAAGAAGGAAAAAGCTCATGATTCAGTTTTTCTTTACAACTTTTTTTCAAGAAGTTAAATAAATAAACATAAAGATAAATAATTTACGTTATGAATCATGACAATAGATAAAGTTTACAGCACTTCAAAAATGCTTTTTTACTTCTTGTTTGCGCTTCAGGTAAAGTTTTTGTTTTTATCATTTGAAACTTTATCTACGATAGTTGTTAAATCTCTTGTATGATACAATTGTTTTCTTTAAATTCACAGAACTTTAATTTCGAAATGGGAAATGCTTCTTCAGTTATTAAAAATACTACAAAGAAAACGTGACGAAGAGAAAGTTTCATTTAAAAGCATCTGAAATGAAATCATCCTGAAAGCTTTTCTAGCATGAAATAATTTTAATTTGTAGTTCTGTCAGAAATACGTTTCATTACTCTGAATTTTAATAGCTCACTCAGCTGAGTTTGTTGTTTATAATCATTGGAATTAGAACGATAAACTTTTCCTTCATATTCATTTCACAACATGCTCATGAAAAGACAAACAACAAGAAAAGCTTCGTACACATTGAAAAACATTGTACATGATACCTGTCGTTGTTCATTTTACTTTTTAATAATTTTCAACAGCATAAACAGCTTTTGTGATTTTGTAAAGAATGAAGCGAATATTCACATAGGACACCAGCCGCATCCTCCAACCCACATCATTCTAATAACTTTTATCCTATTCATAAACGCAACAATGGATGGTCAATAACATAATTCTTTTTTATGACCCCTAAAAATCCATACAAACAAATATTTGCTGTTAGGATAACAACAATTTATCGTCTCTCATTCCCTCTTGTATCGCGGCCAAATCGTTAATTTACCTAAGAAATTCGATTTATTATCGTTGATACTCGACAAGTTATTTGATAGCGAATCGTTTGTTCCCAATCCCCCAGAGTAAATAAAGGAGTAAAACAGGTCACTAGTTGGCAAGAAAAGCCGATGAAAAGAAGACTTAAAAGTTTAGTCGCCATAAAATTATCGCTGAATAGAACGTCGACCAAGAAAGATTGAAGCAAACCAAAAAGAAGAAGAAGTTAGATAATCTTTTTATGTGTATAAAGAATGTCTAAGGAATTAAGGACAAATTGGTGCTGGTTTGGAAAAAAAGCGATGATTAAAAGCAGTCTTTTAATATCAAAGTTCTTTTATTTTGTTCTTAACTTGTAACATAGGTTTTGACTCGTAAATGACTCCAAAGTTGGATCTAAAAAGCCGCTGAAATAAAACGACTTTTCTTGAAAATGTCTTTTGGATCATCGCAACGAGTTTTCATTTGAAATGAAAGAAATAAGAACTTTGAAGTTTATTTCGAGGATATCTTCTTTGGCAACAAGAAAGAGTAAAGTATTTCATTTCATCATGAACTCGAGATGATTTCAAATAATTTCATGAAAAAGGTAGAAAGAAAACGAGCCAGACCGTAATTCCAAATATGGTAGAAAAGAAACTGAAAAGATTCGTCAGAATTGAAACGGAAACGACCAATCTTGATGTTTGAAGTTGTATTCACAATTTTCCCTTTGTTTTTACTCTTAACCAAAAATATTTTTCTAAAAAACTTTTGAATTTTATTGACAAGATCTTTGTGATAAGTGTAGTGGCTTCAAGGTTCAAGTCCACAAAAGGACATGCGATCCACTATATTACTTATCTTCGTCCTTTCCAACTCTCGACCCTTGAAGTTGCTTTTTTATTCAATCTTTTTTACTCCACTCGTATCCAACAGTGATAGAGTGGAAATTTTAATAAAAATATTCAACAATTTCTTGCTTAAGGCATGAAAAATTTTGATATTTATTCATTGTTGAAATATGTAACTAATTAAATAATGTTAGGAATTCAGGTGCAAAATTTGTCGGATAATAATTCAAAAAAATCATCAAACGTCAATTTGTCATGAAAAATGAAAAGCTTTAAGTTTAAAGTTCACCTCAAATTTAGAAACTTCTATGAAACATGAGACTTTATGAACAATGTAAAATAATTGCAGCCTGAAGCTGTTGCTGCAGAAACATTGAAATCAGTTTTAAGTACCAGACATCATTACATCGACATGCAAATTTAAATTGTTGAATCTCCTCAATAATGGCAAAGACCAACAACTTTCATCAACAATAGAGAACATAATAATTCAGACGAGTTTATGAGAGTTTTCTTCTCATAACGTCTCGTGCACCATTAATTTCCAGACTAACAGTTCATTATCGTAGATTTTATTTAGCGACATGCTTTTAAATAAAATAACTTAAAGCCTAATGATGGAAAGATTTTTAAGTAAGTGACATGAAAAGCCTGAAGTTTGGTGAAAAGCGAAAAAGAAAATTGTTGAAATAAATACATTTTAACATCACTTTCAAGGCTTCCGTTGAAAGCGAGCGAAATTTGATGATATTTCGCATTGAAAATGGAGAAATGTTTTCTTGTGTACCGTCTATATTTGCTTAAGGATGAAAATAGGATCTGGAGGGAGTACTCAATGTGTTAATTTCTATTTATACTGCTAGAATGTTAAATATATTAAATTGAATAAATTTTGTTTTTCATGCACGAAAAGCTTCTTTAAAGTGACAAAAATTAAAGCTCTCAACAACTTGATTCCTCCAATGCTTCTTAAAATCTCCCCATTTAGTGTGACGCTGCTTATCACACGAAACGAGCTTTGCCATCGCTTTTATTGAAATGTTTTCTGAAAGGGTTGTAAAGTGTGATAGTTTGTCAAACTATGAAGCTATAAAATGATAAACTTATCATACTTTCTCAGAAGTTTGACATGAATCATCAAATCTATCTTGCTTTAAAAGTTATTTCCACTCAAAATATTTAGTCATACTTCAAAAATAAATCGATAAAATGTACTAAACTCTTGACGTAGTGCAATAACGACGACACCTTTCTTCATTCAAATATTGATTTTGATGGCTATCAGCATTTACATAATCATCATATGTGTGACAAAAGCATACGCCTGACATGACTGTCAACAAGAAACGTGAGAAGGAAGAGCCAAACGAAGCAAATTTGACAAATACTATCGTGTTTCCTACTCGTCAACAACGTTATGAAAATTCTTCTCAAACAAAACTCTTTAATAAATACTTCAATCAAAGTTTCATGCTCGTTTATTGTATCGCGGCTGAAGGTTTAACATAAAGAATCCTTTACATGTAGAGCAGGGAAACGACAAATGGATTGACAGTTTTTTTTACTGTAAATTTTATTCTCCTCAATATTGCTTCTTCAAAAGCTCAGTCATGCAAAATATCGCTCGAAGAAATTGATTTTTCGCTTTCGTTTTTCTTATCTTCCGTTTATAGCCCCCATCCTGGATTCTTTCTTTCTCGTTTTTTTTTTGTTAATGCCACTTATGATTTGATAGAACGATAAATGTTTACGTCATGAATATCTTGTCTTTTATGCTTTTATTTGTTAAAGACTTTAACATGTTTAAAACTTGCTTATTCCATTGTTAGAAAGAAATGCAAGACGGAAAAGAAAGTAAATCGTCTTTTCGATATTAAAAGAATTGTTAACATCGTCATTAAAACAACTTGACATAAGCATAACTTGTCTCTCCTTATACAAACAATGAGGACAATAATGTTTATAGTGAAATAAATTTAAATTACAATGTTGCTACTTTTAATTACTTATGTACACATACAACTTCAATTAGATGTCTAAGGAGGAGCTGGAAGTTTTACGACAGTGAAACAATTTTAATTTGAATTATAAATTTCCTACAGTAATAATTCATCTTTGATGTATCGCGCTACAATGCTAAACAGAAGTCGGGAATGTTGACTAAAGTTGTTAAGAGAAAATGTAATTTAAGTTTCATGAAAATGTAATAAAGAATTTTCCTTCACCACGTTGTGGTTTGATTAAAGTTGTGGCATGAAATAAGCTCAACATGGTGAAAAGCATTTCATATATGTACATTGTACACAATAACACTTGGAATTATTCATCAATGGAAATTAGAGACTATTGAGAAAAGCTAGTAAAGGGTGTAGGCGTTGGAGGAAAAATGACTAAAAGCTTTCAATTTGAAAGCTATGAATGGAATCACATTGGATTGTGTCGACCATGTTATTAAATTCAAGGCAGGAATTTTGTTTCTTTAAGTAACTATTGAATTGTTTATTCTTCATAAAGGAAAAAACTACATTCACGATCTAATGGGTCGATGATTTTACTTTTTTTCTCTCAATCGCCATAAATATCTCAAAAGAAAAGAAATAAAAATTGGTTGCACATCGACTTGGGAATTACTTTTACCGCAGGACTTTTATCCATTTTCACTTCTCGAGTCGAGAATATAAAATAATTTCCGCTCGAAGCTTTCCAGGGAAGAAAAGCTAAAGAATGTTACAATGAACCTTGAAGAGTTTAGAAACGAACAACGAGCGTCGTATTAAAAAACACTTCGAAACATTCGTCTTAACCTTCTAGGAAAATGTTGAATTATAAGAATTGATGACTAATGAATAGATCGTTTTAACGCAAAAATAATTAATTAATGGTGATTACGGTAGCTCGTTACATTCCTTCGACTAATCATTGTATTTACGTACAAACAAATAAGTTTACGCTTAATTGGACTCATTCAGCGATGGGAACAACACAAACTGCCACTTTGTTTTCTTCACTGCTTCACCCCATGGTGATTGAGAAATATTTTGTTAACAGACATCGCAAGATTATTAGAAATCTATGACTTAATGCTTTCTTCAATATTTTACTTAAAATACTTTAATCTAATTAGTAATAATCTCTAAGATCTAATTAATACTTAAGGTGTCTCTTTTAGCTACGACACGATGATTACCCATATGAAAAGTTGGATTAAATGTTAAGCAGCTTTCTTTTTGCTTAAGAAACTTCAATCATACACAACGTAGCATGTTATAAAGAATTTATATCTTTATGAGGATGGCGCAAATATTCAACTTACGATCCGTTCATGAATTATTTCACCAAGAATGAATGAATACCTAATTTAATTAGCTATCGAACTTTAATCATTGCTTTTCAACAACAGTTTTAAGCTGATTAAGTTTTCATTTCTTCCAACCCTTTTATTTATTTCTATATTTAGTTACAAATTAATTCAAGTAATGCTTGATTTGGTTTCCATCGTGAACTTCTATTAATATATAATTGCAAAGGAATACAATCATAATGAATATTTCAATCAAAATGTAAAAATTTAATGTGAAAGCTTACAAGCAACTGCATTTGAAGGAAAATGTCATAAAAAATATAAAAAATTATACAGAAATGAAAAACAACATGAAATTCAAGTAGAGCATGTTTTGTGCCATCATAAAATTATACAACACACTAATGTTCTTTATGTCAATTAGAATATGTGACGCTTACATGCATTCCATTTCACTAGGAAGGTGAAATAAATTTCGAAACAAGTTGATATTGATTTTAAAGATTCATCGTCAACATTCATTCAATGTAATGTTCTCCATAAATATGAATATCTATCGCAGTAAATTCATAAGTTTAGTTATATCAAAGCATCATGTGACATGTTTTGAATATATTTGCTTACAAGTTTGCTTCGATTAACTATTAATTCTCAAATCATTGAATTTATTCAAGTTGTAAGTTGTCATGAACGTATATTGTTGATGCTAAAAGAATAAATAACGTGCTTTACAATCCTTGCATTGTGCTGCACATTGACAATTTATAGCACTTTAAATCATCATAACGATAAGCTTTTTCAAGATTCATCCTTGACCTCTTAAGTTCCTTTTCTTATCCTGTATCATATTGTTGCATGCCGCATTAAGCTTTTCACATCCTTTAAGCATTATGCATATATAAAAGGATTTATACAATTTTTCTTGAATATTTAAGCGCCTTTTTATTCACAATCACGACTGGGAAAATCTTTTTTACGCTTCATAAACTTTCCCAATTCACTCCAATTTTTTTTCATTCGTTTACCCAAGACCTCAATCTGAATGAATATTCGCTTTCCATTAATCAATTTTCATTTGACTTTGGTTTCGAATTAATTTGAAGCACCGTACCACAAAGCAGAAAAGATCATGTAGCATGAAAAATTGTTGTGCATAAATAAGAAAAAAAATTCATTCCATCCAATCTTGAAATTATTATGGAAAATATGATTTGTTTTTCCATCAAATATAACCGCAAGATGAATAAGATTCATTTCTTTCGAAATAATTCATCGCACATGAAATCATTCTCACGTCTTATTTGAGTTTCTTTCTGGTACTAAAATGGAATTCAAGCATAAGGTTTTCGCTCACTTTAACAATCGCTTAGCATAATTTTTACCTGTTTGATGATGGTGAAGTTTTTCTTAATATTTTCTAAATTTAAAGAAAAACAAAAAAGCTTGCCAGGCGAAACTTCTCTTCTGTGCTCGAAATTTTGTTACTAATGTATATTATTATAATTTACTTTTAATGTAAATTGTTTTAATGTTTATTTTATATCATCTTTCAGTTAAATTTTTAATTTTTTTTTAATAAAAACTTTTGCTTCCTTTCACATTGTATCGATTTTTTTACCACAACCACAAAGTGAAGCTTTGACTCGTCTCTCGTTTATTTATTTTGTTTTTCTATAAGTTGAAACTCTCGAGTTTCTAACACTGAAAAAATATAATTAATTACTGGTAATGCTTATGCCCGCTATGGTATTTTATGCATCGATTATTTACCCACATGATTCATTTTGAAGTCATGCAAATCGCCCCCATAACTCTGAAGAATGTACACGATAATTATTCCATTTTATGGAAGCTTTTAAATATTTTGTTCTCTCTTTAACTTAGCAATTTTCCATGTTTATCGATCACTAAATTGAGATTTTCATTTGTCTTTACTTTCACTGGTTGAGCGTTACGAAAGGGGCAACTTTTCATTCTATTTATTTATTTCACAAGTAAATATTGTTTCAATAAAGCCAATAGCAACACAGGCGAGTCAAGTAAGTTTCGATAATTTTTATGACTTAATTGAACTTAATTGTCAATTGATTAACTTTTTGAACTCCAGCTTAGTTCGATGACTTCATCGACCGACAACTTCAAGTATCTAAGCTGACTTCTTCTTCAATGATAGAAAAGTTAAAGCTTTTCTTTATAATAACTTTTCACACAATAGAAGGATTCACATGAATTTAAAGCTGGTTGATTTCTACCAATGATCTAACGCTGTTGCAATCTCGAATGAAACTAAAACGCATACGATCTAAAGACTGTAGATTCGATGTATTAACGACACTTCGTATCTCTACTACAGCGCATGACATTCAATTCGCCTCGTGTTTTGTCTCTGTGACAACCGATACTTCCGAAATCAATGACGATGACGATGACAATGATGATGATGATCCAGTTGAGGAATGAAAAAGAATCATTTCAAATATGTGCTTGTTCAAACAAAGTCAAGGATACTTCAAAATGTTCTCTAAAGTGACTAATTTTGAACGATAAAGAAAAATATTTTGATTTTCTTTTAAATTGTCATAAATGAAAACTTTAACAAAATTTCTATTGTTCCTAGGAAATTAATAGCATTAGTTATAATTCAAATCTAACCACATGATAAAGATTACACAATTTCATATCGATTGAGGATTATTTTGTCATTGACATCTGTGACAATGCCTTGGAAATTTTCATATAAAACAATGTTAAATGTTTATTCATTCATATACAGCAGAGAAAGGTTCATGTCCCCTTTCGAGGCTCGATTTTCAAAAGCTCCAGCACTTTGCTACCGTCTCAATGCATTAAATTTTATCACATTTGTAATAAAAAGCTCAGGAAATAAAAATGCTTGTAAAAATGAGTTCCGTTATAGGCATAAAACGAAGTCATGGAAAATTATAAGCTCTTGTCAAACCGAAACCAAAACCTTTTTAAATTTATGCCTTATAAATTAAATATGCAAAGAAAAATGGTAAATAAATTAATTAATTTTCCTAATGATAAGTGGAAAGTAAACAACACTACGAGTGACGAGTGACTTAAAAAAGTTATAAATTTAAGGAACTGAAAACAAACAGTAAATATCGTTTCGATTGTTTATGCGCATATCAATATTATTACTCTAAAGCAGCTGTAGCATTCAGGAAAACTTATTCTTGATATATGTCGACATATCTTTCTATTCGAGGTTCCGCAAAAATCATGAAGCTTCCAGTTTGAATGTTAAATGAAGTCATAAGAACAATTCGTCACGCGCTCAGCATGATCTTCATACCAATAAACAAAGATATAAAACAACCTATTTTAGTGTCGAGTGGAAAACTCCTAATTAGATTTCTTGACGTCAGTCTGAAGGTGAGAAAATAATAAACAATGAAACTGAGACACAAAACTTCTAAACACTTCCCATTTTAATTTGCAGATTCACATCAATATACGCGTTAATTGATTTGGAGTTTCTCTTTAAAATCTCGCAATTATTATTCCTATGTAAATGGAGAAGCTAACGACCTTTCCATACACTACTCATTTAAGTTCCTTTCTGTCCACAATTGAAATCAATAAACCATTGTGATCGATATTTATTTATGAAAAGAAAACAGATGAAAAACAAGTATCGCGAAAAGAATTCTCCCGCATGACCTTTAAATTCTTTTCGACAATTTCAGAAAACTTTTTGGTATTTTTTTTGCAAAAAAAAGGAATAAAATATTTCTTAAACACATGCACACATTTTTATACACACACACACACACACACACACACACACACACACAAATGATGTGGATATCGTACAGTAATATCAGAAACTCGAAGTCTTTTCTTCTCTCTTCTGTTCATCACTTACCATTCGTGGTACAACCGGATTCTTCTACTCCAACGATGTGTTGTTGCTTTGTTTTTGTTTCGATTTTATTTGATGAAAACTAATTGGCATTCGAATGAAAAATGTGGGCATTCCGCTTTTTTTTTCTTCTCTCTTATGATGTTTGATAACTGGAGCTGATTTCACATGAAGCAATGAGTGGGATATGCGATTGAACGAGATATTATTTGCAACTCGTTAGTGCTAAGCACTCACTACAAAACGATTTTCACTTCACAACGTTTACAGTTTCACTTCGTTAATAGTAGAAATAATCATAATCATAAATAAGCTTTGCACTCTGAATCTTATTGTGTTTATAATCTGGAAATTATTGAAATATGTAGTCGATAAGACAATGAGAGTGGCAACGCGTGTGTACAATTGTCTATATCAATAATCAGATTGTCAAGGTTGTCTGCTGCTTCTGGCTTTCTAAATACAAGAATTTTTTTTATATTTTGTTTGTTTTTCTTCTGGTTGTATTTATTCACACGATGGCTTGTCTCGCGCGATCTGTTTCTGTTATAGGCTCGTGATCACGATAGATTTAAAGCATTTCTAGTATCGCCAAGAGGATTACTAGAAAAACGAGAAAGAAGTCATGTTTCAAGAAGGCACATTCCTCAAATCAACTGTTGGTGTCAGAAACAGGCTGTAACGCAAGTTATCGACTGACGACGGCGACTACACAATAAATATTTCTTCTTAACGTCTTCAAAAATAATTTTCTTCTATTTTTTTCTGTTTTCTTTTTGTGTGCTCGTTTCTCGTGCTTTTTGTTTTTGTCACCGTGCGGCACACAATTTCGCAGTTCTGAGAAGTTTCTATTAAATTAAATATTAATTATCGTACATCACAAAATGTGCGTGCGTGCGAGCGAAAATTCAATTAGAATCTCAGAATTTCTGTGGCTAAATTAGCACTTTCACGCATAAAAAAATAACACACAAAGATTTTAATTAATTTTGTGATCTTTTTTTCTTCTTTTTCCACTTTTTTTTATCTTCTTCTTTATTTCTCTTTTGTAAAACGATGCACTTTCCTTCGTTTAATCTTTCGCCCGAGAATATGCGAGTAAGTTTTGCAATGCCTGACCTCAAATGAAATATAAACTCATTAGGCGCACGTTGAGTTGCCTTTTATTTGAACCAACATCGAAGTGAATGTAGAATAAAAAGTTTTCAGCTATAAAATTGACTTTTCTTATCAGCTTTTCACTATTTGTTGAGCTCATAAGAAATAAAAGTTTATAGTTTGTTCTTGAAAATTTACACACTTTCAATAACACTTTCGTAAGAATCCGACTTTAATCAGTTTATCGTTTAAAAGTTTTTCACTCGTGAATTGTTTTGCCTTCAACTGCCGTCAAAAAAGCGTTTTTTATAAGCGCATTCAAAGCAGTCACAATGGTAATTGTATAGATTAATTTAATTAATTTTGTATCGTTCTTTTTTTTTGGAGCAGGCCACAAACGTTGATAATGTGACTACGCCAAACCGAATTGTCGACTGACGAGCGGATGAATTGTGTTTGTTATTTTTCACTCAGCTCTTGATTATGCGATTGTGGTGGTTATAAGCTCTTCGATGTGTTCCCCGCAAGATGATATTGCCTGCATACATTCATGCACACGACATACATTTGTGATGTTATTTTATTATTTTTATTATTTTTCTTGAAAAACAAATAATTGATAAGATCGACCTGATGATTTGAGATGACCGAAAGTCAATAAACAGTTTTTCTTCTTCTTCTACGATTAAATATTTTCGGTCTTCAAAAGAAGTTCCCACTAACAAAGTCATTGGGTTTAACTTGCAATGACTTGAAGATAACAATTAAAGATATGTTATCATTTCCTAAGACCACTAAGCCAATGTTATTGCTTCTCCAATCACATCAATAAATGACGTCATCATTCAATTTTTAACAAAACTATTAAGTCTCCCTCGAATGAGATAGCAACAAAATTGAACACTTAAACAGAACTTGAAGAGGCTCGTAATCTACGAAAGCAAAGTTTTTTATAATCAATTTGAAGGATTTACAGCAAATAATTACGTAGTTGGATGAAGGTTTGAAAGTATTTGTTGTTTGATAAGATAGAACTCGTTTTTGAGAGTTTTTTTCTTGTTCTACTATATTAAAATTAATGCTAATATATGTGGCAACACTCGCACATACACACAACTTCTAACACAGCAGTGATATTCAGATTCTGGTACATTTGAGAACAAGTAATAAATGATAAATAAAAAGAATGAATTATTCTCCAATACAGATGGAATTAAAGGCGAGATCGTGGTGATCGCGAAAAACGATCTGTAGTGTCACTTCTTGACATCTCAGAAACAAATCAAGGTTTAGCTGGCGCTTAATTCGACATCAAGAGAGAAAAAAAAGCAATTTATCGAGTTTGTGGTTTTGTTGGTTGAATGTTTTACTGCTTATGACATGATCCGCTATCTATTATTAATTATTATAATGGAGAAACAACGATCTACAATGTTGATACTTATGTATAGAGACCATCGACGCCAATGATTTGTTCTGATTTATAATATCGCGAATTGCTTTCGAAACAATTTGTAAAACAAGTCTCGAACAAATTATTACTTCTTTATCATTTCGAAAAGGGTCAATGAACTTGAACAACAGAAAATCATGATAAATAATGTTTTTATTATTATTTGTGTGACTTGCACTTGCACCGTCAATCACAGACGAATGGAAAATTAAATTAAATTAGCCTCGTTACATAAGTCGAGATGAGGTTGAACATTGTTGAAGTTTCAGTTGCTTTGTATCTATAACCATTGCCGTTCATCTTATTTCACGGTTATCAAAGCATTTTAATATTAAAGTGTTCGTCGTGCGTCAAAACTTTTAGCGTTGCTTTGCAAATAACTTAATTGACCAACAAACAAAGACAATTAAGACTTTTTAAAATCATTTCCACATCATTCATTGCAATGTCACATCAGAGCGTTTATTAAAGTGCATCAGGCAAAGTCGTAAAGTGAAACTTTACGAGCATGCTTACCTTACACAAGCTAATTTTCTGTGTTCACATGTTACAAACTTTTAACATTGTTTAATAAAAAGCTTTTTAAATTTCTATTACATTACTCATGGTTACTTCGCAACGAATGATATAATTTCAATTAACTTTTAATGCTTGTTTCGAGTAGTTAAAAGGTCGTAGCATCATCAATTTTGACAATCTTTTTTGTGTTCTTTACATCGTCAAAGTCTTTGTTTTAATTTGATATGAAAATGAACAATGTTGAGTAAATAAAATTAAAAGGGTTTTTTTTTCGCAAAGCTTCTTCTCGTATTTCACACAAATTATGAATTGTGTTAACGAAACTTTAAGTGGTGCTAAAAAACACCAAAGTTAGCACACATATTCACTTAAAATGCTGATATCTCTCGACTATATCAAGTACATCGATAAGACGATTTTGTTGGTATTTTTCCGACTCTGATGTTTCTTTTTATTTTACTCCTATTAGCATCTGCGATAAAAGATTAAATTAAACAATGGTTTCGTTTCCACGTAATCCCCACCGACCGTCAATCTAGACGTTTTCGACGGAAACTTATCTCGAAAACTTAAATCAATTGGGAAACTACCACACAATTCAATTCATTTTGAGTAAAGTGATGGGAAATTTCCTTGATAATTGCTAGCAAAGCTTTTAATTAAAAGTTCTTGAAGTCGTTTAAAGAAAATAGAAGAATCAATAATGAAATGACAGAGAAAAACCCATTTTCATTTGTATTTAGTCTGAGTTTAGCTATAAATAATTTCCAATTGTTTTCTTCCATTGCATTTGTCATAATAATAAACAATGCGGGAACAAAAGCCATTAATCGAAGGAAATTTCTTTTTTCAGCTGTTGCTCATTCAATTGCGATGTTCGTTTTCATTTTCCTGAGTTCTCTTTTGTGAAAATTGCACACGGAATTTATACTTCGTTAACTCTTCTTTCAGTGAATATCAAAGTAGAAAATGTTTGTATTAATAAATGGTTAAAAGAAAATTATCTGTCTAGGAAGTTGTTTCAGAAAAGATATCCTTGACCAGATTTAGATTTCTATTTGAAATGTTGTCGGAGAATATATATTTTCATTCCTCGACTGGATCGTCATCATCATCGTCATCATTTTCATCAGTATCAGTTGTCACATAGACAAAACACGAAGCGAATTGAAAGTCATGCGCTTAAACAAAGACACGAAGTGTTTAATATTTTTCTCCATACTATGGAAGTTCATTGAGTTGACTGAATTTTAGTTTTATTTGAGAGTCGAAAAGCTTCAGATTATAATTTAAAATCTTTGTGACCATTTTTCATGTCGTAAATTTCTTTATTTGCTTTGGAGTAACATGAACATCTTCGGTTACTTGTAACAACAGAAAATTGAAATCTTGAAAGAATCAGTACACGATATCAATATAAATATTGAAAGAGTTAATAAGTTAATAACAAATTAGCACTTGAGATTAATTGGCTTGTAAATACCAAAGAAACAATATTGAACTAGACAAGTTAAACACGATGTCGACGTATCATATCATCATAAACATTGTTTTTTTCAATCATCAATTCATCATTTCATTTTGATATAGCTTTTTCATTGTACTAAGAACAACATACTGATGAGTTTGAAATTCAAGATTGAAAAGAAAAGTTTCTTTTAACGTTTTAACAAGAAAATTTTAGGCAGCTTAATAATAGAAGTTTGAACATCGTTTCAAGTAATCCAATCTTTCTAATTTTAGCTAAGAATAATCTTGTTAAATATTCAAAAAGATGCTTTGCAAGATTTTATGAGTTTCTAAAATGTAATATTTTGGAGAAATTATGAGATGGAATAATGCAAACGTCGCGCTTCAATACCCATGCGAAATTAAATCACAATTTTTATATTTATGAAAGGTAAAGAAAGCATCAATTAGGAACTGATTTTCTCTCGTCATTTCTGGCGTATGATGTGACCTTTCGCTAGAAGATAAATAATCAGACGCTGTCTAAATACGTGTTGAGTCTGAATTTATTGACATTCTTACAGCGTTCATTTTTGGCATGCCGCTAAGGCCGGAAAAAGAAGAAAAGCACGAATGAAACGTGTTCGCTAATACTGCACTAAACACAAACAACAACAGCAACATGTAATTAGAAAACATTTTCAAACACCCAAATGTCGAATGTCACGTAGCAATGATAATCATCCGATCCCAACAGCATATTTATGCGTTTCCTTGGTCACAGTTTAATTAAATGCGAATGAAAAATATCTATCTGACTCTGGGTAGAGTAATTTGTTCATAGGCATATAAAAGATCTGTTTAACTGGCCATTTTATATTCGATACATATCGAAATGTCATGAAAAGGTGAAAGGTGAAATATTTTTATTAAGAAGGATACAATTATGAATCATAAGTCCGACTCTAAGCGACCCAAGCCAATTTGGTCCCCTACAATTATGACATTTATAAATCTGTTTAGGATTATTAATCCTAATTATGAACATCGATAAAAAACTGTTTCCGAAAATTATATATTTATCAAAGCTGTAAAGTAGTCTAATTAAGTTTTCAAACCGTTCAATGTCCCTTCAATTAAATTTTCGAAGTTAAGTGAAAGCTTATGCAAATGAATAATTAATTAATTATTAAATTTTTACGACCCACATATGACAAATTCATATGTTAATAACAAATTGATTTTTTGATTTAAATACATAAACTGCTTAAAAGCTTATTGTGATGTTATGAGTTATGAAAATACAAAATGAAATGGAAAAGGTATTTGAATAAAAAACATCCTTTGGCATTTCTCTTTGTGTTAGCAATTGAAATGTTTTTATGTGATTTCGACTCACGCATTGACGTAAGTGAATGAAATTGATCTTTATGAAATCAATGAATTGAAGAATCTCTCAATTGTCTTTCCAATAAATCATCTGAGAAACAACATAGGGTAGTTGGCTAGTAGTGCACCACCTCGAAATCGTCGTTAGTAGTGCACCACTACTTTCGAACTTAATTTTCTCAGCTATTTTTTATTATTTATGGCTTAGAACTTTGTAGAGAGGTAGAGCATAGTCCAAAGTAGCTTTCTACAAAGTTCTAAGCCATAAATAATAAAAAATAGCTGAGAAAATTAAGTTCGAAAGTAGTGGTGCACTACTAACGACGATTTCGAGGTGGTGCACTACTAGCCAACTACCCTATAAACGTTGAAGCGTCTTTTCTATCATTTTGAATGCAACAGCGAGAAAAGAAGGATTTAAATGTGATCAAGAAATTCTATTAAGTAGTTGCCATGAAGAATTTTTTATGAAACAAAAGCTTTTCAATATCAAATGCAATTTAAATCAGAGCAAAGTTCTGGAAAGAAAACTTTTGAGAAAATCTTTCGAAACGTGAAGAAGCTGAAACGAAGTTGCTGCAAGCAATTTACATTCGCTGAGAGTGGAAACAGAAATTTATTTTGTTTGTTCGATAAATTCAATTTGATAAATAAATTGAAAACTGATGTTTTTCTTTCTCCATAATCATTAAAATGTGATTGATTTTCATTCCGTAATCTTGAATGTGTAGTTTTGGTTTGAAGCACGAAAAATAATTGATTCGGTTTCATGTAAAGTATGTCATCAGCAAGTTGCATAAGCTGGATTTTAATATGTAAGGAAAATTATTTTCCTTTCATTTCATTCAAATACACATTTTCCTGTCCCTAATGTTTCGTTCATTTATTGCACAAGTTGCAGGATTTTCATATGATGACTTTAACTTTAGCAACACTTGTTACAAGCACTTATTTGACAATGAAAATACAGAACAAAGAACTTAGAAAAATTATATTTATTTCCTCAGATAAAAGAGATTAAAAGATACAAATGACTGCTTCATAGATCGTTCCCAAAGGCTGTGCGATAATAGAGACGCTCTGGAATACTTTAAGAAAAAAGCTCTCGAAAAAGCTTCTGTTATAAATAGCAAAAAGAAGCCTTAATCTCCCGTTTATCTGCGATTTTGCCTTTGAGGCCTAATTGTAAATATATTTCTGGTATACTTACCATTGCTTTTGTTCGCTTAGATTTTGTTTTGTTCCTTTTATTCTTGCTAAATTTATTATATTTTAAGGTGAAATGTTGAGAATTCTTTTTTTTCTTAGAAACCACAGCGAGAACTCATAGAAGCCTTTTAAAAGTTTCTGTTTTTTTCGTTTTTGACAAAATTTTCCATAAAAAGAACAGAGAAAAATGTCAATATCCGTTTTCAGAATTTAATCAACAGGCATACACAGTTTTATTTTGTGAAAAATTCATAATACATTCTCGTACATATTTTCCTTCAATCTCTTCGTCATCCTTAATGATGTCGTTTGCTTTATTGATTACGAATCGCTCTACACCATTGCAATATTAAGTTGGTACATCAAGAAGAAAAATTTACTTACCTAGTCATAATATCAGGAGTGGAGACATGCTGTGAGCAAGCGAATATTATCAATTTCCGCATTATCTTCATTTTTCACCTTCTTCGTAGGAAGATTCATGAATTATGCAGGATTTAAAATCGATATTTTCATGATAAATGTTATTTGAGATATTTTTGAGCAAGGCTCTAAAGAGTTTTGATGAATTATTACTATGAGAACGAATTGCTAAAAGTTCAAACTGTTTTTCACCCTGCTAAGATATTTCAATAAATTCAAACCCCTACGTGAAAATTTCTAACCACCATGTAACAGCATTCAGAATATTTTCAAGCAGCGTCAAATCATTACTCTGAATATCATCGTCAAATATAATTTACTTGAAGCAGATTCGTAGAAGTTGATTGATGATGAAGCGGAATTTATTTATTTTGCACAATCACACTGATATCTTAAGTGAAAATGGAATCAGAGACAGATGTAAAGATTCGCTTATCGACATCATCAGACGGAAGAAAAAATTCTTCATACTTCAAATGCTTAAGAATTCAACCGTTTTTTGGTAATACTTAGATCGAAATGAGGAATTAATTTATTTTTCACCAACAATTATGATTGTGGAAAGATTGAAATATTTGATTATTTTTTAACAAACAGTTTGCAAAAGAAATAACACAACTCAGATTTATTAAAATATTATGATTTTAATGATGATGAAAATAATACAAAAAACATCGATATCAAATTTCTTTAAAACGTTTAAAAGTTATTATTGGAACGAATGTAGCAATTTTTTTAACATAAAATAAAGTCAACAGAAAACCAAATTGTGGTTTTTTAACTTTTCTTTGAATATTTTCATTGCTGTACTCAAATTATTAATACAAGCCAAACTCATTATTTACTCACTGTTTCAAAAAACCTTAGTCATTTTTTACTGTATGTTTAACCTCAAGAGAATTTAAAAGTTTTATGTTCACACAAATTTCTTAAAAGAATCTTCAAACTTTGATTAAAAATAATTTCATGAAAATATTTAACGACCTATGGAAATTTAAACATATTTACAGTCTCTTTGAATTGGCATTAAGAATATAAACCTTCTATATACCGTCATAACAAAAAAGTAATTTGTAAGAAATATTATTCAATTCACAAATTGTCGTGTTGTTACAGTGAAGAAAAATATTCAAACAGCGATTTAGTACTATAATTATTTAGCGGTATTCAAAAATGGTAAATTGAGCATTAATTTCCTTATATTTCAAAAGATTTTCACTTAAAACCGATTTGTAACCTCATCAAAAAAAATTGCAAAATCATCGAATCTAACATTATTTCTATTTTTGATTTCAGGCTCGTCGATATGATTCAAGAACTACAATCTTCTCTCCAGAAGGTCGTCTTTACCAAGTTGAGTATGCGATGGAAGCTATTTCGCATGCTGGAACTTGTTTAGGAATTCTTGCAAAGGACGGAATCTTATTGGCAGCTGAACGTAGAAATATCAACAAGCTTCTCGACAATTGTATCTTTTCTGAAAAGATTTACAGATTGAACGAAGACATGGTCTGTTCAGTTGCTGGAATAACATCAGATGCTAACGTTCTCACAAATGAATTACGAATCATCGCTCAACGTTATCAATTGCAATACGATGAACCAATTCCAGTTGAGCAGTTAGTGTCAACTTTGTGTGATGTGAAACAAGCTTACACTCAATATGGTGGAAAACGTCCATTTGGTGTTTCAATCTTATATATGGGATGGGACAAGCATTATGGATATCAGTTGTACCAATCAGATCCAAGTGGAAATTACAGTGGCTGGAAAGCAACTTGTATCGGAAATAATGCGGCAGTAAGTTTAATAATCCGCAAATCTATAATTTAAAATAACATAACTTTTATTTTCAGGCAGCCGTGTCCGTCTTAAAACAAGAATTAAATGAAACTCCAATTACATTGGCACAAGCTGAAGATTTGGCCATAAAAGTTCTCAGTAAAACTCTCGACATGACTAAATTAACTTCAGAAAAGATTGAAATGTCGACTCTTACACGTGATGAAAAACAAACAAAAATCAAAGTTCTCACTAATAAGGAAGTTGATGGTTTGATTTCCAAGTATGAGAAGATTCAAGCTGAGGAGGAAGCTGCAAAGAAAGAAAAACTTGCTCAGCAACAGCAAAAATCTTAAATTTTTGGTTCAGGAATCTTTTTTTCTTTTTTTGTTTTAAAATTCAAATTCAATAAAACATTATAAATCACTCAACACTGTATTTAAATATTGTACAAATAATGTCGGTGCCTTAACGAGATCGCCTGCAGTGTCTAAATGTTGTTTGCTGTAGTTGAGGTATTGTCGTCGCATGCGATTGAGTTGACTTGCGTTGATATCTGAAGAAATGCTTACAGTTTCAGTTGAGTCTTTTACTTTAACTGATCCAATGCTGCCGAGTTTTCTGGCAGCTGTGATTTCAGTGACAATGTCTTGCGTTATTCTGTCGAGTTCGAATAAATAATTTGTTGATTGTGTTGGAGGATTTTGAGTCGATTGGTTAGCACTTGGAGGTTTTTTCTCGTAAATTGCATTATAAATATCTTCAAAAGGCAGTTGATCATCAGGTGTCACTGCAAATAATGGCGAATCCCATCGATTTGTTGATATTGGCTCCTCAAATCTCATCCAAAGAGCGTCAAAAATGTCGCGAACATATACTTCGTTTTTATCTTTACGATTTTCATTGAACTCCCATGACTTCTCTCTTGTCACAGCACAATGAATTGTGCACTGAGTGGATCTAAAAAACCAAAACATTGAATTTTTGTAGATAATTGAAAATTAACTCATTTCAACAACTAACCTGGCTGATTTACTTGCACAATAAATTTCATACCGGTATCCTTTAATATAGTTTCCTCCGTCAATTATTACTAGATCGTTTTTATTTAATTTCCTTAAACTATTCGATTTTAAGTCAGCTCGAATCATTTTTTCCTTTGAAGAGTTTTCATAAACTTCGTTTTTTGATATTTCAGAATTTTTAATTATTTCATTTTCACTAACGATGTGTACTACTTTTCCTTTGGATGTTTCAAAGAACTCTTTGAGTTCCTGAGAACGAGATGATTTGCCACTTGAAGGACATCCTACCATAATTATTAAAGGCATTTTATGTTCTATCTCAAAAGATCTTTTTAGAAATAGTCAAATTGTTTTCTGAACGTACTCATACGGATTAAACTGATGTCAACAAAGTCTCACTAAAACGATATGATTTGATGTGAAATATCGAAAGAGTCGTGAAATTTTCAATAAAATCAGTTTTACGCAATCTTTACGATGGCTTATGATTTGCAAAAGGAATCAGATGTTAAGGAATACATCGAAAAGCTAGGAATTGAATATAGATTTGGATGTTACAGTGAAAAGAAGCCAGATGGTAAGATAAAACATTTTACAACCAAAATGAGCAATCATGAGTTTTGTATGAAATAACTTTTTCCCTTTTAGTATGTCATTTGCTCGGTGATTATCTTGAAAGTATAAAGAAAGATTTCGAGAAAGCATCAAAAGTTTATAGATCAAACTGCGACGACTACGGTTATGGAAAGAGTTGTCTGAAATTTGGTCATTACAGTTTTCTAGGTAAAGGCAAATCATCAGCAAATGAAAAAGGCGATCCTAAACAAGCATTCAAATATTACGAAAGAGGATGTGATTTAAAAGATCCTGAAAGTTGTCTTCATTCCGGTCTCCTATTGGTAAGCAAATCGTTGTCGTCTTCAATTGAACGTGATGTGAAAAAAGGATTCGAATTGCTGACAAAAGCCTGTAAGATGGATAATGCAAACGCTTGTTTCTATCTTTCTGGAATGTACATTTCTGGTGTTCCGAAAAAGGATATTAAACCTGATTCAAAACCGACTGATCCCAGTGACTTCATCGTACAAAAAGACATGAAAAAAGCTTTCGAGTTTGCAACGAGAGCTTGCGATATGAACAACATGTATGCTTGTGCAAATCTTTCTCAAATGTATCAAAGAGGTGATGGAACAGAAAAGAATGAACAAAAGGCTGCCGACCTTAAGAAAAAAGCTCTGGGAATGCAAGATGAGATTAAAAAACAACAAAGAGAGTTAAAATTCCAACAAGGAATCGGCACATAAAATTCTTAAATCAAAAATCCAGGAAAATGTTTTAGCAATTGAATGTAATTAAAATTATAATAAAAGCTTTATTCAAATTCAAAATAATTCAACCTTGAGTTCTTACAAATGCACTCTCGTAATTAACCCAGTCTGGAATTTTAGAATTTTTCAGATAATTCTCTCGAGTTACTGTGAAACTTGAAGATGTGATTAATTCAGTTGATGAATAAATCGATCCACCAAGCCAAGCAGTAAAGTTGGGCTTGGATGGTGCTGAGTGGAATTTAACTTCTTGAATGAATAGCCGATTTTTGTAATAATCCGATTCAATGAGTTTCGTAAGCTCAGCTTTTAATCTCGCTGTCATTCCAAGGGCACTTGCAGTTCCACCAATCAACAGAATATTCTCAGCAAGAACCTTTCTCGTGTCTACGGGACAGTTGAGAATTGCATCGAGAATTATGTACGGCAATCCAAGACGATCATTATCTTTTGGGAACAAAACTTCAAAAGCAACTTCTCGAAGTTGTCCTGGAACTTTAATGACATCATTTCCATCGACAGGATATTCTAAATCGGGACAAGGTTGAATTTCTTCTTTCGATTTGAAACTCAAAGCTCTTGACTGCTTTGTAACAAAGCAAGTTCGAACTTTAATATCTTCAATAACTGCATCAGTTAAAATTTCTTCTTTGACGCCATTCAAAATGAGTTCAGCTTTGATTTTATCGTGAACAGCTTCAGATCCCAATGGTTGTGCTTGCCATGCACTTAAAACTTGAACACCGCTATATACGGGAATGACAATTGTTTCCTTGAATCCCAAGTCTACGACGACTGCATTCTCAACAGCCAACGTAGCAGTTGCAACGAGATGTGTAGGAAGAAACAAAACAGACGATACTTCAAAATGATAAAACAGAACTTTAGCGATGCATTCTCGAATGACTGTTGGTGTTAAAACTGATTCTACGATGGAAACTTTACGATCTTTTGGACTTGCAAGAAGATATCTAAAATTGTAAGTGTTTTAATAAAAAAAATTCGATCAATTAATGACGACGATGACTCACTTGAAAAATATTTTAGTAAAAAACGCTGCTGTTTGATCATATAAGCTAATATATGATTTCTTGAGAATGTCAGAAATCGATCGAATCTCTGTTGATATAATAAATCTTGGATGAGCTTCTCCACAGAATCCAATTCTAAATTAACAGAAATTGTAAACAAATGAAAAATATTTAGTGGAAATTAAGAAAAAGTTTGACAGCGAATTGGTTGATTGAAACACTTACTTTGTGTAAACAGATCCTATTTCCAAGACTATTGCTGGTTTTTCTTGGAAAACAGTTTCAAATATCGGCATGTTTAATGATTGAAAAAATGTTTTCTTCTGTAAGTTTCTCACTAAATCAATGTCATTATAGCGAAGTTGAGCCAACGTAGAAATTTGGACAATCAGACATATTTGCACTTCCCTTATTTTCTTCGAAAATTTTGTTATATATAAAATTGAGTTTCATAAACTTCTCTTAAAATTTAATCGCATATTAAGCCCAATAGTAGCTGTAATTTAATTGAATCAGCAGTTCAAACTCATTCCCAAAATACAGCTAAGAATATTGTGTGGATTCATTATGATTTAAAGATATAAATTGTGTGTTAAAAATTTTGCATTTTTTTCGTGTGAAGTGAAATCTCGAGACAAATGAATTCGAGAAGGTTTGTGCATTATAAATTATGCTAATTAGATTCTAATAGGACAAAGCATCACAATCAGAATCGTTGACTAAAATGTGAAATAATGATTAAAAAAATGTGCATGAAAGTAAAGCAACAACAAAACACAAAAAAATTGTCTCTCAAATATTTTCATTACTTGACAATTCTGTGCAGTTATTTAATTATCAAAATATTTAATTACATTGTTATCTCATATTACATGCTAAGTCTCATGTTAAGTAATTTCTTGATATTTTCTGTTGCAGTCGCTACCCAATTTGACCTATTTTCTCATCTTCTCATCTCCAGTCGTCCTTCACGAAACTTCGACCCCAATTAAAAGAATTTGCAAATTTATACTCTTAATCAGTTATATTATTCTCTTCTGATAAGATATCGCTGCTCTTCGTCGCTTAAATTTCATCACAAATGACCAGATTGTAGTGTTGCTAACGTCAAGTTTGACGAGACAACGAGGAAAGTTTGAGAAGAAAATTGTTCTCTCTCTTTCTCTCTCCCTCATTTTATCATTCTATCTCTGTTTCTCAAGGTAATCGGAGAATCTATGAGTCGCGATATTGTAAAATAATTCTGAGATTGAAGGCCAAAGTCGGATGTGTGCAACAGCTGCTGGATGTTCTTTGCAGCATAGATTTCTCTTCTTTCTTACTTCGCGTTCCTCTTTTACATTTTTTTTCGGATCTCCCTTAAGCATTTAATACAATACAATGCAAATGTTGTTTCTTTGTGATCTATTTTATACTTTTTACTTTTTAAATTCAGTTTACATTATAAAAATAGTGAAACAAGCACACGAGAAAAAATCTCATCGAACTTCTTTCTTTTTCTCGCGCGCACAATAATAAAAAGTTTTAACTTTGGAAAGATTTCGTGATGATCATAAGATTAATTTGTAATAGACACGAATCTGCAAGAGTAAATGACTTTAGCCTATTGTGGGACATCATCAATTGAAAGTGCATAAAATTGTATCAAAATAGGAGTGACCCGCTTATATTCTCACGATTTAATATCAATGGTGCTTTGTTGTTGCTTTGGGGGAAAAAAAGAATAAAATTAGATTCATGGGAATGGCGTAAACAATAAATCATTGATCACCTCTACTTCCAGATGGTTTCATCAAGCAATCTCGGGTGTTGAAGCTGAACAGTTGCTTCTCGAGCGAGGCTTTGATGGATCATTCCTTGCACGGCTATCTTCATCGAATCCCGGTGCATTCACTTTATCCGTTAGACGAGGGCAAGAGGTGACCCACATCAAAATACAAAATAATGGCGATTTTTTTGATCTTTATGGAGGTGGGTTCGTTGTGCGAAAGATGAAATTAAAGTGACAGCCAATTAATCAAATCCTCACTTCGCTTTTACTTACTCGGATGGCTTAACTGTGACTAATTCACATTGTTTTCTTTATGTCTTCTTTTTATTTCCCTCGCTTCTTCAACGAATCATGACGACGATTAAAATTTAGGCGAGAAATTTGCAACATTGTCGGAACTGGTGCAGTACTACATGGAGAATCCAGGACAATTAAGGGAGAAGAAAACGGGAGCTGTGATTGAGCTTAAGCAACCGCTTAGCTGTGCTGTGGAACCAACAACAGAAAGGTGAGTCAAGCAAAAGGAAGTGCAAAGTGACATTGAGAAACAGCAAATGAATATAAGTAATAAAATTAAATTGAAACAAAAAAAGAGAATCCGTGATCGTGACGTGCATTATTTCGGTAATGAAACAATCGTGCGGATAAAATTCGAAATAAGTTGTTGCTTCCAATGTTCATCAACTCTGTGAAGAAATTCTTAGTTAATGTCTTAATTTTCGGATAAGATCAACATTTACTTCACTTTGTGGGAAAATACAAAAAGTTGATGTTTGTTAAATATTTTAGTGAATGAGTGAATTAATTAGAAGTCACCATTAAGATGTTTTGGCGACATGCTTCTTAAAGATGACCTTGAGTGTTAAATGTAACTTTTATAAACAAAGAATTTAAATTTTTCATAACAATGAACGGTCGGATGGCGTTCGTGAAGACGTCGAAAATATTAATTTCCATTTCAAATATCAAGACATCTTATTTGAATTGTAATATCTACGTTTAAATGTTTGAAGATACTAAGCGATGATCCTACGTGACCGAACGTTTGGATATAAATTATTTGAACATTCTTTGTTGCTTACATTTATGAAAGAGACGAAAGAAATGAATAAGCGAAAGAATTGAAATTCTTTATATGTTCGAAAACAAAACAGAAGAGAAAAAAAATTGCTGTGTTAAAGAGTCGAGACAAAAATGCATGTTGAAGAAGAAAGAAAATAAAATTGCGATAATTAATTAAGTTTCACAACTCTGCTTAGTTTCATTTACTATTCGCGGATGGCGATTTTTCCCTTCATTCTCACTTAATAGCCAATCTAAGACAGTTAACGCAAATTAACACATTTGACAAGCATCCGTGCTTAATCACTCAATTGTAGTTGAACATTGAACGGTAAGAAAGAAAGATAAAAGCTTTTTTGAAGTGCGACACATGTGAGTAAATTAGTTAAGTGCGCATAGACAAGATGAAAGTGATACTCACATCACAAGCGTTTTAATTTAGCCAGCGCAAGTAAATGTCAATGTAAACGGAAGCTTCAATTGGATAACATAAATAATTGTTGGTGATTGTACATACATCGATGTTATTGAAGGTTTTAAACGTGACCGTTTTACTTTTTTTCCTCATTATTATTATTTAGAGCTTTCAATCGCATGGTTACGACGTCGGTAATGGCTTGGAAGTGACTTAAACTTTTATATTTTATTTTCCACCAACAATTTTGTTTTTTTTTTTGTTGTCATTACGGTGTTAAATTACTTCAGTCAATAAGCAACTCAACGTAGATGTTTAGCATCTCAAATCTAGGGACAAGCGAGAAAAAAGAAGAAAAAAATCATCACGTGAGTTTACAAAGAAGATTTTAAGTAAATTAAATTGAGATGGTACTTTGCTGTCATCTTTTTATCTTGCAATGACCTCTTCATCATTTTTACATGAGAATGAAATTGTCGTCAGTCAAAAAGGTTTTCCAAGGTCAGTAGAATTTATATTGTAAGCTAACCATCTGAGTAAATAAACAACACTTTGAAAGAAATGAAAAATTTTGAAAACATGAATGCGAGCTTAACCAGATGAAACTTGAAAATTTATTCAAATCTACGTGAGAGTTGGCTGATATGAGACGTTTTGGGAGAAAAATGAAAGAATGTCAAAAAGAGAATTTAATGAGCAACTCCGTTGTGATGTAAATGTCGATGTCGATGTACCTAGAAGGAGATTCGCTTCAAGAATGAAAAAGAAATAAGAATAAGAACCACACAAAGAATTGTTTTATTTTTCATTCTTTTCTCATGCTTGAGTTGTGGGGGTGGACGTGAGAGTCACATTGATATTTTTTTGCTTGTTAAATATTATTTTTCGAACCATCACCATCTCATCGATGATTGCCTGTCTTTATAGATGTTTATCCATTTTGCTTCCAGTTCGGCTGCTGCTTTTTTGGAGGCGAATGAAGAATTTGATTATTTACAAAGTTGGTTGTCTTATAAGTCGATAAAAAGTAAACAGAGAACAGAACTTTTTCATTGTTAAGTTTATTAAATTTTTTCGGGTCAAATAGGAAAATGGTGTCACAATATGAAGTAACTAACATAAGTCTAGTTAAATTTTTATAGAAACGGGGTGGAATTTGTTTGAATGCCTTAAATACTTACTCGTGTTGGAAGTCTCAAAGTCAACTTAATTTTTTATAAAAATCCATTAAACTTATACAACTTTTGTAGCTGCTTGTCAGCGATCGTGTAATTGAAGTAATTTTTTTTGCAATTATTTAATCAAGTGCATTCACAGACTGATGCACACTTATGTTCTCTTTCTCACTAATGAAATATTTTTATATATTTGTACATTTATCCTATAAATGCGTTTTAAATTGAAGTTTAGACATTTGTCAACATTGAATGTTTTATGTAAGCAGTCGATGTCAGGTTATTCCAAATTCTAAACACTCGCCAAACGCAAAAAAATATGATCAACAGGTTTCTGTTATTTATAAATGTTTCCCATAGTTCATTCATTAATTCAAGTTATTTATCTATTCGCGTGCATCGAGTATGTGTGCCTTTAATTTTGATTTAAAATGAATCATAAAAATGGAAAAACATAAAATAAATAAAAACAGTTTCAACAGTATAAATAAAACATGTTTAACGTTATTTTTTAAGCCGATTCATTAACAATTCAAAACTTCAAGAAGTTCGAANTTTTTTTTTTTTCGCTAGCAAGTTTTTTTTTTTTCGCTAGCAAAAAGTGTTGAAAGAACATATATGAATATATGAATACAAGTTTTTTTGTAAGGTAAAGAGTTTGGGGTGGGGAAAAATGGAAAAACATAAAATAAAAATAAAAACTGTTTCAACAGTATAAATAAAACATGTTTAACGTTATTTTTTAAGCCGATTCATTAACAATTCAAAACTTCAAGAAGTTCGAAATAAATGCAAAATTTATCGATATTCAACACTCTGAACTTCTTTGTTATCGTTATTGAAATTGTGCGTCTTAAAAATAAAGTCAAAAGTTGTCAACAGAGAGTCTTGATTCTCTTGATGCTCTTCGCTCGATTTTTAAACTCCCCACCAGAACAAAATAACAGCAACAAAAGCATGGCAAACGCACAAATACAGGTGGATGGAAGCGACGAATCTCGCTGTTGATTTCTTTGCACACAAACGAGATATTAAATGAATAAAAAGTTTATCGATTTCGGAGACACAAAAAGGTGTTTTTGTGAGCAGTCGTGACAAATGAAAAGAAAAAATATTTCAGAACGTCTCAGTCGTGGATCGAATGGCAAGAAGAAAAGTTCTTGAGTGAAAAGTCTTCTTCTCGAAGCGAAGCCTAAAGTTTCTTCTCTTTCTTATTGCGTAAGGTGATTATCGAACGGTTATGATTGAATCGAAACGTTGAACGCCTACGCAATTTTTACGTAAATTAATTTGGACGCAAAAACAAAAAGCAAAAATTCAGGAGTTAGCAGAGGAATCCACAACACAAAAATTTATATTTTAAAAGCGGTTGAATCGGTGTTCAATAATAAAATGTTCAAGTAACTAAAAGTCAAAGAAATAAAGACACAAATAAATTTGCAAATGTGCAAACAGTGTGTGGGTGGAAAATTTACATGAATTTCATATGATTCAATCTGATTTCTCATCCTAAAAAGATCGTGAACGGTGAAAAAAAGATTTTTCCTACGAAAACAAAATCATTAGTTGATGTGTAACAGCAACAGGTTGGATTCTGTTTGAGTGATCACGAAACTATTTTTTTGTTATTTCATATCATAAAAAAAGAATATTTTTGAAGTTCTTGGAAAAGTTTCAAAGACTGTGGAAAGGAAATATAAAAAAAATGTTTAAAAAATATGTGCTAAAAGTGAGTAATACATTGGGCACGATAAATTACATGAAGCCAAGCAAATCGTCTTCATGTCATTCGTCAACAAACGACGAAGATCGAATTGGTTGTACATGTGGTTGCAATTTCAATTCAATGGATGTTAATCGGAATTTATTTATCGAAAATTATTTAATTGGACGCGATGGATCAAAGCTGAGAACATCAAGCTTGTCAACAGATGAGACGTTCAATGAAACTTATTCGAGAAAAAATAATGTCCGTCGAAAGTCATTTATTGAGACACGTTGTGATGATCGACTGAGAATCAACAGAAATGTCTTGTTTGATGATAATTATAAGAAAAAGGATATAAAAGATCGCGCTGTAGCACGACACAAGATATCTGTGAATATTCGTCGAAGTTCCGATGATGACATCGACTATTACACGATGGACGATGAGAAAAGTCTCGGTTGTGATTTCATTGAAACTTCAGCGCCAACACTTAAGAAGATTAACAATAACTTAAGGGAATTTGAGGATTTCGAGTTGAGTATTTTTCTGTTCGTTTTCTTTTGCTGGAATCTCATTTGCATCTTAATTGTTAATAAGTATTCGTGAGACGTTTCTGGGGCTCGTCTAGTCTTGACTTAACTAATTAAATAAATTTTAAATCTCATCTGCTGTTCGTTAGCTATTCATAAGCAATTGCTGTGCTAGGGACGACAATTCATGATGTCAATTGACTTGCTTGCGGATGATATTGTGTAAATATTTTCGTCTCTTTATACTTATGCAAAACGACTTCGTTTTGTGTACAAAATGGGAGTTTTCTTAAATGCTACAAACGTACTTTTCATGGTAATTTTATTAATTAGCAACTCTTAAATTTTATTTTTTTTTCTCATACCGAAAATGATCAACAGACAACACCATTAATCGAAAGAATTTTACGTTCAGTCATAAACTGAATTATCTTTTTTCGTGATGATTCGCAATGTGAATTTTATGAAGTTAATTTTTCTGGCGACCGGTTTTCTTATCGTTGCTTCTTAAAACTTCTTTTCTTGACTAATGGATGAAGAAGAAGATTTGTTTCTTTTTTTGCGCGGCTGAGTTTTAAATTAGAACTTGATCTTTTGTACAAATTTTATTGATTTTTTATTATTATAATCAGTCAAAGTCCAAAGCGACGGAATCCTTTATTACGCTAAATATTCACGTATGAGATTTTATTTATCGATTTGCTCTGCTTTTTATCAACATTCGTCATTTGTCATTCAACTAAACTATTTATGTTGTTTATACAACTTCAAATCAAACGAGACGACGTGACTTTTCTCGCTTTTAATTATCTGAGCCGCATCGAAGCATTTCTCATCATCTCGCATTTTGCTTGCGGTCGAGTTTGCTTCGTTTATTTTGCAATTAGTTTTTTTTTGCGTTTACTTCTCTTCAAGCTCAGGTGAGCGACAACGATGAATTGAGGAGGGAAGGGAGAGTTTTTCTCGCTAATACGAAACTAATGTTCAACAATTTTTTTATTTACTTAACTCTCCCAGTGGTTTTTCATTTTCATCGGAGACTTCAAAGCGAAAAGTTTTTATTTCTTTATTTTAAACGTAGCAACTGTTAAATAGTTTAACTTTAAACGCTTTTAAATTAATTTCTTTAACCTTTTAATCGGTTCAAAACGACGACAATTATAAGGAAGAAAGACGATAAATTATTGCAAGTTTCTTTTGATGAATTTTTTTCTTTCTTTCTGGCATATCACCAAAAAAGAAATAATAAAAAAAATAAAATTACGCAATCACTTATGAAAGTAAATTTTTTATATTAACTTTGAAACAATATTTTGTTTTGTTAACTTCTTTCTTTCAGGTGGTTCCACGGTAATTTATCCGGACGTGATGCCGAAAAGCTAATACTCGAACGTGGTCGCAATGGATCATTTCTCGTACGCGAATCTCAATCGAAACCTGGTGATTATGTGTTATCCGTGCGTAACGATGATAAAGTAACGCACGTTATGATACGATGGCAGGTAATAAGAATCATTGAATATGTCATTGAATCATCATCATCATCATTAATATTCTTCTCAGGATAATAAATACGACGTGGGTGGTGGTGAACAATTTGCAACACTCAGTGAACTCATTGAACATTATAAAAAGAATCCCATGGTGGAAACATCAGGAACTGTCGTGAATCTACGACATCCATTTAATGCAACTCGCATTACAGCGGCCAGTATTGACGCTCGTGTTGAAATTCTTCAACGTGAACATGGGCCGGGATCGTGTTTTGGTAAAGGTGGCTTTTGGGAAGAGTTCGAATCGTTGCAACAACAGGAATGTCGACACTCGTTTTCACGTCATGAAGGGCAGAAGTTGGAAAACCGCTGCAAAAATCGTTATAAAAACATTTTACCTTGTAAGTACAACAAGCTAACATTTTTTTTATATATTTTCGATCTTAACAACAATAATCATGTATCAACAATACTTATAAAATGCATTGAAACGAACAGTAATTGCCACTGCATTCAATGTCAAGGCGGGTGTGCGCTTATTTTGCAGTGTTTCTTTTCTTTTTAATTCCTTATTCGTTATTGTTGTCCATAAGTAAGTAGTAATGATTTCTTTCTTTTTGTTCTTCTTCATTCTTTATTCTTCTTTGACATGAATGTTTAGTCGATCATACTCGAGTCATATTAAAAGATGTCGACAGTTCATCACCCGGTGCTGAATATATCAATGCAAATTATATTCGACCACTTGAAGGCGATCAAAATGCTGATCTAACATCAATGGCTTCACTTGAAAATCTTAACACGTCGTATGCGACACTCACCAATCACAGTGGCAGTGGTGGCAATGCAGGAAAGTGCGGAAATTGTTTACTTTTGAACAAGATTTGCGTTCAATGTGCCATTGATGGTGGAAGTGTTGGAAATAATAAGCACAAACGAAATGAATCGATATCATCAATTAGAAGTAACTTAAGTGTGATGACGACGTTGACGTGTGCCAAGAAAAATGATGATTTTATTAGTAAAACTTACATCGCTACACAAGGATGTTTGCCTAATACAATTGTAGATTTTTGGAGTATGATTTGGCAAGAGAATACTCGAGTGATTGTGATGACAACGAAGGAAATTGAAAGAACAAAAAAGAAGTGCGAGAAATATTGGCCAGATCCGGGACAACAACAAGAATGGGGACATGCTAAAGTCACCTGTCTCACTGAAACATCAACCAATGACTACACTTTACGTGAGCTTTTATTCTCGTGGCGTGGGCGTGAAGAACGAAAAATATTTCAATATCATTTCCTTGTATGGCCTGATCATGGCGTTCCAACTGATCCCGGCTGTGTACTCAACTTTCTTCAAGACGTTAATGCACGTCAAGAGCAGTTGATGAGTGATGGAATTAATCCTGTAAGCTTGCAAATTATTTTGTTTTCTTTCAGTTATATTTTATTTATTTTTTGTTATTCTCAGGGACCAATTTGCGTACATTGCTCAGCTGGTATTGGACGAACTGGCACGTTCATTGTGATAGACATGATTCTCGATCAAATCGATCGCGAAGGTCTCGATTGTGAGATTGATATTCATCGAACCATACAAATGGTGCGTTCACAACGTTCTGGTATGGTTCAGACAGAAGCTCAATATAAATTTGTTTATTATGCTGTTCAACATTACATTCAAACGAAGCTTCAAAGAAAGCGAGCTGAACAACAAAGTGCACAACTTGGACGTGAATATACAAATATTAAGTATGTTGCATTTAATCATGAGATTTATGTTTAATTTTTAATTCTAATAAATATTTTCCAATACGAGAGAAAAGTTTTCCACTTTCATGATATTTTTGGTCACTCTGTCAGTGAAATATTTTTTGATGTCACTCTGTAGTCGTGTTTTTTTTCTTAATTAAATATTCAAGAGAGTTAGAGTTTAAAGCACATGCACGCGTCTCTTAACATGAGAATGACCTTGACCTAGAAAAATTTTATTATATCAGTTCAATGACTGTCGACTTGACTGAAGAATGTCCTTTGATTTAAATTCAATTCCATAAGCAAATTGTCGCTTCTTTTAATGCTAAGCAGAAATCCATTGACAGCAATAGAATGGAGAATGACCTCGAATATTAACTTTACTTGTCGCGTCACACGGAAGTGAAGTTTACATGCAATGCATCGCAAATATAATAATTTTATTTTATGTGATTATTTATCGATTCTAAAAAAACTTTTATTAAATATCCATTAAAGATATGATGACGTTATTCGAAGTCCACAACTACAGCAATCGATCAGTCAAATGAGTTTGTATAACAACAGTAACTCGTATCAATCTTCGGGTATTATTGAGCCATTGCCGTTTCATCATCGTCCGGTGCCCATTCCACCAGCACGATCACTCATCTCTGATTATAATTCGTCAAGTATGTAATTAATCGAAGGTGAAAATCATTCAATAATTGATTAATCAAATTCATTTTCCTTCCTCAGCTTATGAGAACTTAGATGAAATTCCACCACGTCCCAGGAAATCTTGACAAATTAACATCTAAAGTTTGAGTCATTCATTCATCAACAGCATGGAGTAAAAGCCAACCCAGTTTCATCTTATTAATTATTTACTTTTAAGTTTTATTTTATTTCTTTGTGCATGAAACCAAAACCAAAATAGAATCATTTTAATAATTTAATTTTAATTTCACATTTAAGTCATGAACACACATCTTATTATCACTCAAAGTGCATGTAATTAAATTTTATTTTTTAAAAAAAGGAAAATATGAAAAGATTTTAATTAATTATTAAGTTTTGCTTCTCATCCGGATGTGAGAGATGAAAAGCTAATGAAAGTTTTGTTGGCGGAATGCAATTTTAAATTTTCTTTTTTAATTTTATTTGACTTTTTTTAAACATGATTAAGAAATGTTGCAGTTGAATTGAAACGAATTTAGACCTCGAAGGATATTCCGAAACTCAAAATTATTTCTTAGGAATCAACTGCATTCATTGCTATTTACTATTTAATTAACTATCATCCCTCGAAAAATTAAAAAATCTCTTTGTGAAGTCTTGTGATTATAATTATGATTATTAAAATATCTTTAAAGTTTTCTTTTTAAAAATATTTCAATAATTTCAAGTAAAATTAAATTCGAAACAAAGCAAACGTCAACAGTTTTAGATATTCAAAAGAAAATTCATTCATTGCTTTCATTAGTGAGGAAATGTTTCTGTGAAAATGATGCCTCGGATATTATGAAAAAGAAAAATTATCATCTAAATTTTCTGTCTAAACAATTTACATTTACATTGAATTATCAATCATAAGTCAATTTGAAGTCGTTTTCAATGTAAAACTTCTGCTTTTTTTCTTGAGTTGTATTGTCGTTCATTTAAAGAATCTACTTCCTAAAAACAAAAAAAAACTAACCAGTATAAAGATAAAAATGAAGAATTTTAAGACTTAAGCTCCCTTCTAAAGAAAGAAAAATAGAAAGAATGAAGAAATTTTATTGAGGCCAGTGAAGTGACATGTTAAATGTTACATTTAATTAAGAATGATGAGAATTAAAAATCCTGAAAGTTACAAATCCACAACATTTATATTTTATAAGGAACTTTTCGTCGGTTAAGTCACATTGTAGAGTTGATTTAAACTGCACGATCGTTTCCAACTACTTCCATCTCAAGACGAAGGAAAGAAAATATATTTTGACAGTAGATTTATTCTTCTCCCCTTTATAAAGAAAACCAAAATGGCTTTAAATGTTTAGTAGTCCACAACATTAATTAATAAATATTTGATTGTATCACAAACTCTAGAAGTTCATGAAAATGTTTGAAAAAAAGAAACAAGAAAGGAAGAAAAGAAAAGTTGACTATGAAAATGTGGAAATAAAAATATTCAATTGAAAAAATGTTTTATTTCCTTAATTCTTCTTTGAATTACATTTAGAAGAATCCTTCATCATTATCAGCATCAACACCTGTTGCTCCATCAAATGATACAAGTTTTGAGCCTTCAGTTCCACGCACCATGAGATTGTAACAAACATGTTCACATTTTAATGTCGATGCTCGCATTGTTGACATTTTCTGTGAGAAATCTCGTCCACGATTAGGAACTGAATCAAGTGTGAGGTACTTCGAATAAATGTTTTGGAGAAATTTGCATGTTTTAAAACAATTATCAGTGTCTCCTGATCCGAGAGAATTGATGCAATGTCTCATTATTTCTCCTGTCAAATCAGCTAAACCCAACATGAACTCACAAGGTATCAAGTCAAATTTGTATTCGTTATTGTCTTCAGTCTTGTACTTAAAACGTTTTTCAATCTGATTCCAATCTGATAATTCTTTATCTTGAAGATATTCACAGAACGTGAACGCTTCGATAAATTCCTGAATGCCCGCAGAGATCGCTCGTATATACTGATAAATATCATATCCTTGTAGTTCTCTTGCAATCACTAGAAAATTTTGTGTACAGAGCTTTTCAATTCTTTGTTTTGCTTCTTCTAAAACTGCAGTCTTATTATTTTTACTAAATGGATGAAAAAGTCATGAGTTTGTGTTAATTAAAACTACCTAATTGAACTCAACATACCGAGCATCAATATTATGCAATAGAAAAATAATTCTTTTTGATTCTATTGTGACATCTCTGCTTGCTTTTACCAATCGTTCATGCCGATCGTGTTTATCATCTAACTCCACAGAATAAATTTGAAACTGTTTGATAATTGGATTGTTTGTATCCAATTCTTCGCCTTTTTGATTCTGTTTATTTGAATCACGATCACGATTGTTTTGACGTAAGTTTTTCTGTTTACGAAATGACATGATAAAAACGTATTTATTTATTTAATTTGAAGAGATAAAATATAATGCTTGAAATTTTAATGTTTGTTTACACTTGGTTCGTCATGTATACCCCTTTTGGAAGAAATATAATTCAGGGTACACAACTACACAAACTTTGTTTACATTTCTGCGCCAAAATCAAACAATTGTGAAAATATTTATAAAGTTGCTTAAAATTTTTTAAAAATGCTCTCAAGTATTAGAAAATACTATGTCACATCAATAATAATCAAAAATTGTTGCCGAACACTTGTGACAGAAGTGAATCAAGATAATGTAACATCAAAAAAAGTTGTGCCGGCAAAAAAGAAAAAATCTTTTAAAACTGTGACAGAACCAAAAACTTTAAAAGCGTTGGAAAAGCATTTCAAAGCATCAGAACAAAAGTTTGTTCTTCAGACTTTTCCAGAAGTGTTATTAAAAAAGCGGACAAGATTACCAAATGGTATCTTTTAACTTTTCTTTAGAATTTTCATTAATTAATAAAATTGTCTTTCAGGATTTTATCTAACAAATAAAAAGATGGCTCGTGTCATTGCTGATGAGCTTATCAAAGATATCAGACCTGAACAATCTCTTTTAGAAATGAATCCAGGAGCAGGACTCTTAACGAAAATTTTATTAAAAGAAACTGAAAATGATTTGTTTCTTTATGAACCGTTGGAGCATTTTCATCCTGCTTTGAAGGTAAATTTTATGAAATTATTCCATTTATTTATAAATAAATTAAAGTTTCTTCCTCAGTCATTGATCAAAAGTCATCCTGAAAGAAACATTTCTTTAAGTAACAAAGATTTCTCAACGATCAGCTACATGGCATTAGTTGACAAAATTGACGGCGGTAATCGAATAAGTGAACTCTTAAAAGGTGTCCAAAGAACTGATTATGTAAATGAACCAAATGCAAGACTTTTTGGTGCTACATCTTCAATTTCATTCATCAATGCTCTTATCAATTCTGTGATCTTTCAAAATAGTGTAACAGCTGCTGGTCGATGCGAATATTTTTTGATTATCCCACCATGGATTTTTATTGTAAGAATCTTTGATTGTCATTAATTCGTAACGCTAATTAAATCATTTTATTATCAGACTTTGACATGCTCAAATGAAGCTGGCTACATGGTTTATCGAACAATATCCGTGCTCTTCCAACTCTTATTTGAGTACGAATTCATACAAAAAGTCAGTAGTGAAGATCTTTTACCATGGCAAGTTGAAGTCAAAAAAATGCCCTACAACAAAATGGGTAAATTCTATTTGATGGATCATGATTCAATGTATTTGATTCGTGCAACACCACGACAAAATATTTTTGAGTACTGTCAACCAGATAATCTCACTTCACTTTGGCATTTTATCAAACAAAACTTCCGGCGAAGGAAGAATTGCATAATCCCGACACTAGAGTGAGCTACAGTCGATTTTTATTTACAACAATTTTTAATTTTTCTTTCTTTCATCTAAAGAAAATGGATTCCTGGATGTGGCCCACGATTGATTATCAATGAAAAGTCAGAAAGTCCTCCAGAATTGATAAATCCCCAACTTGATTTAGATTCACAACCAAAACTGTGTCAACCTTGCCGCAAGCTATCAAATGAAGATTTCATTAACATGACAATTTTCACACAATTTGGGGACCTCACACCGAATCAAGCATTAACAATATTCGATCAATTCATTAATTGGCCCGAGTTCAAAGATTCCACGTTTAAAGAATCATTAGAAGCAACATTAGTGAAGATTCATACAAATCCTGATGATAACATCAACGTTGATGATGACATACACGATGATGAAGATGAAACTAAAACATCAGAAGTCTCGTAATTTATCTTTGTTAAAAATTTACTTTGTAGGTAATAAAAACTTGAAAATAAATCTGAATGAAAGAAAGAATGTTATGAAAGTTGCGTCTTAAAAAAATTTTTCTTCGCTGAAAATGAAACTTTGTGGGTTCTTTGTTAGATTGATCTTGGTCAGTCGTAATTATTTCCTTATGTTTTCAAAGCCACAAAAAATTTCTTGTTGAACTTCGTTGATTGCTCATATTTTCTTTGTTTAAATTTAATTTAAAAAAATTAACTTTTTGAGGTGATTATTGAAACTTTTCCATTAACACGTGCTTGAACTTACTTTTTATTGGAAAATTTCTACGTTTTCTCAATTCCAATCAACTTTTCTTTAATAAAAATAAAACTAAAGTGAAATTGAAATTTATCATTTTTATTTAATATTTAGAATATCAGAGTACATAAAAACAAAGATAAGAATTTACAAATCTCATTTCTAGTTTAGTATTTAAAATCTAATTATCTAGCAATTACTAGATTGTAGATTAAAGTCAAATAATGCAATTTTCTGGTATTTTCAAGAGGAATTCGTCATTTATTTTGTATCAGACCCATTGCTATTGAAAAAGAATTAAAGAAAGAATTAATCAAAAGCCTCAAATTTCATTCAATTAATTTTTACTCACCTTGGAGCGGGACTTATGCTTCTCCTCAATTCAGATTGTTTCTCTGTCATTATTTCTTGTATTCTTTGGAAGGGACGAAGTAAATAGATTGGAACATCATCATGGAACTTCTGGAATAACATTTCACCTTCGAATGTCAAAAGTTCATGTTTTCGAGCTCTTAAAAGAAGCCCAGCGACTTTGTCATTGACGTGAACGTAGATTTGAAATAATTCACCGAATGTGATTTCTCTAAGTTCTGGTTCATCTTCGATTGGTTTTCCTTCTTGATGAATTATCCCACATAACTCAATTAGCTCTTGATACACTTGAATATTTGCTTTCATTCCACGAAACTCTGTCAATGATCCAGGCTTTGGTCTGAAAATATTTAAAAAATTATTTAATTTCAAAGTCAATTAAATTAAAAAATTCTTCACTCACTTTCCATACTCCTCCGGCTTCAGAAGTAACTTCGGACTTCTGGATCTTGAATCGTGTGACCCACTGAAAGGATTTTCAAGTTGATTGCTTTTGTGTTCATTTACAACTTGGTTGAACTTTGCAACTTTCGATTTTAACGGTGAATCCTAAAAGAAAAATATGGAAGATTGTTCAATGTAGACAGACAAAGAGAAATGAATACAAAAATATTTTCTTCTCGTCAAAACAATGAACCAGACACGCAATAATTACAACAAACTTAAATTGGTTCCGGCTTGGCATGGCCGTGAAGTGGAAAATTATTTCTCAAGATGCTATTTTGATGTACGCGTGCTTGTATTTAAAATAAAACCGAAGTGAAAGTTCAAAGAGTTTCAGATTCGCATCGTTATGAATTTCTGATGAAGTGCTGATGATTTGATAATTATCAGGTGCTTCTCTTTAATGCTATAGCGAAAATTTTTCACAGCACCGTCAGATTTAATTAAGTGTTTGACGTGGTAATTGCTGTTTATCTTAATATTTAGTTATAATGAGTTCGCTCGAATGACATTAGAAAGTTTAAAGGAGAAACGTTGACGAAAGAACTTTTCATATCTTCATTGTTGGTAAATTTCTACTCAGATTACAAATTAAAGAATTATTCAAATAAAGTTATAATTTCAATTAAATAATTATCTTTGCAATCAACACCAGTTCCGTAATTTTTTTCTTTAATTCAGAGCTCCAATCATTGACGGTGCGATTCTATTTTTATCGCTCCGAATTTTCCGCCATTGAACAACAGGGAGATCATCTGGTGGATGCTCTTTGAATGTTTTAAATCCATAAAACCGAGTAAATAAATCAAAAATATTAATGAGACGTTTTCCCAAACACGTTTGCCAAAATTTATTTAATTTAATCTTTGAAATGAAAGTACAAAATTTTCAAATATTTCGGCTTTGTTGCCACATTTTTCATCTCGTTTCCCGTATGAAAAACCTTGCCATTGAGACGACGATATTCAAAATTTAAACTATACATTCCGAACACGATCGTGGGAACGATCATTCGACCCATCGGAAGCCATTAAAGTTACTTTGGTCGTAACGGAAAAGAATTTTCTTGGGACATCGCCAAGCACTTTGCATGCTTGACTCATAATTTTATTTTCCTTTCGAGAAATTTTAACTGAAAATCGAGGAATGATTCGATCCTTTCAACAACATTCGCTTGCACTATCCTAATGACTGATTCGGCATAAAAAGATGCTTTTGTGCAGATCACAAGACTCGTGCAACAATCAAAGCAACAAAGAAACTGAACACGAGTTGTGAATCATGAATTAAGAATTTAATGAAGTCGAAGATGTCCACCCAGCTGATTTTCCTTTCCTTATTGCTTTCACGATGTTCACGTTTCGTTATCATGTGCACCGAAATGTGAGAAGAAATTTTCTCGTCACTTTCTCGAATGGATCACCTAAAAACGATTCGTTTGATTACATTTGACTTCTGATTACATTTGACTTCTTCCTTTCAATCTCATCACAACTCATCTCGTCTTGCGGATGAAACACTCGATTGAGTGTGAGGATGAAACATCAGTGAAGCGTAAAATGAATTTTCATTTTGGGAAATTTATTTCCGTTTTTTTATTGCCCATCGCACATTTTCATTTGTTCACTCGCAGCAACCCGCAAGTTTTCGTTTTATGAATGAAAAATTCCGATTTGATGACGTTCGATCTTCATTACTCGATGAAAAATGAGATAAATTTTGTTGTTAAATAAACAGAAAATCCCGCCTTCTGTCTTGTCGATCATTCATCGTTAATCGGGATCATTTTTGAGACCATTAATGGAAATATTTGAAGCTTCTCACTTCGCATCTTCTTCATGTTGATTTGGGACAAGCAAATGAATTGTTTTTCGGTGACATCCGTTAATTTTGACGTCAAGCCGATGAGAAAAAGTAAGAAAACAACATAAACAAGATGGAAATGAGTGAAGGAAAAGGAAAAAGCTTCAGGGTCGCGTTTGTGATCAGCGATCGGTAGTAAGAGAGAAAGAAAAACAATCCAGAGCGGAAAAATATTTTTAGTGACTTCGGACTTCGTCGAAATCAGAGTGAAGTGATGAAAAATGAATTTCGTGATTAAGATTTGCGAGGAATTTTTTCTGTTACTTCGTTGCTCTGTTTCTGTTTCTTTTTCATTTGCCATTCAATCGAAAGACGAGCAAATCTCAAGTGGAATTGAGAAATGAAAACTGTCATCAGCAGTTGAATGTTGCGATGGAATGCGAGATATTAATTGAGAAATTTTCATCCCAGATCTACGATGTGCGTCGCGCCACTTCACCATAAAATTAATGAGTGGCGATCCTCGAGATTTTCTCATTTTCCATTAATTAATGATCCCAATCGACGCATCAAGAGTTCTTTGTTCGTCTCTTGGCGCCAGACATGGAATTCCAAATGTTGTTTCTTAACTTTTCAGCTTTTTCATTGCGTAAAAGCTTTGAAATTGTGCGAAATTGAAAATATTTCACGACAATATCTCATTGACTTTCACATTATCGTATCAAATATTAGTTTCAGTAATGAATTTGAATTGTTATGAAATTTATAAATAAAAGAAAAATATGCAAAAGAAAACTTTCATCCACCCACGCTTGAAGGTCGTAATGAATTTACATCTTGTTAATTGTTCTACAATTCAAAAGCCTTTGAACTTTAATTGAGACTCTTTAAATTTTATCACAACGATGATTTTATTTTCTCTTTCGTGTTTGTTAATTTATTTTTATCTCAAAAATGTTGTTTGGCATGGGAAAATTTTCGGCAACTGTGAATTTACGGCTGATACCATAATTTTTATAAAAAGCAGTCTGAAACTCTTAACAACCGCTGTCAGTTTGACAAGAATATTGATTTTCTACACTCACCACAACGAATCTTATCGCAGCTAGCTCGTGTCCAACGTCAGCCATTTCTGTTTCGTTTTGTCTGTTAATCAAGTCTTTAACTTCTCCAGTTACTTCTTTTAATGAGAACTGAATTGCTTGTATCGAAATCAAATGCAATTAATCTGATATCTTTATCGTCTATTTACTGTTTCTCTTTTGTAATGTTTCTTTCAATCTCAATTATCTCTATTTTCGATTTCTTTTCTTTCCGAAATTTTTTTGTTTCTTAATTTTCTTCGTCAGTAAACGAAACGCACGTCCAAATCTTTTAACTTTTTCTCAATGAATGAAAAGTAAATTTTTCGTGTTGTTAGCAAAGTCTTTGAAGACGAATTACTTTAGACTTATTTTAAACACGCTTAAATTTTTCTCTCAATTTTACTTTCCATTTTCACGGTTTCCACGATCGTGAAAACTTCACATTCTCTTGATGACTCTCAAAAACTGAACGTAAATTCTTTTTCCTCGCATTCTCAACACGTCTTCATTTAATGAGAAAAGGAATTCAATTTCTCATGTAGTCGCCGATTAATCAAATGAAAAGCAAAGATAGCCAATCGTGTTTTTATTCGCGTAAAAATGACGTCATTTGAGTATCTCTAAGAAAAATATTTCAAAAAAATTCTCATAAAGTTATGCCGAATTAAATTAAAATTCTTTGAAGTTTTCACTTTTTTTTTCAGGTACATTTCACATTTCTCATCGCATTTTTCCATTGTGATGAATGGTCGTAGGTGGTTACTACTGATTTTAAAACTGACGCATGTAATGAAAATAAATAAATGATTCAATGCGTAATTTCGATGTGATGATGATCGCAGTTTTGTATTGAAAACCTTCATGTAAATAGTTGATCATAATAAATGCGTAATTATCAGCTAAATTATAAACAGTGATGTATTGAATATATTTATTTTCAAATCAAACTTTAAATAAATTCAAATAAAATTTCAACTCTGATGTGGATAAAGTTACGCGTCGCTTCAATAACTTTGAATACCTTTTCAGATTATTGAACAATAAATAAAAAAAGAACAATTTCAAATTTATTTCAATGGATAATAAATTATTAACAGATTTGCATAAAGATTTCTGTTTTGTTTGTCATCAAATTTATCATTCCAAATGTAAAATAAATTAATTTTTGCTCAAAGAATTTTCCTAGCCTAATTCTTGACATTTGCAAATTTCTACAAATTTTAAATTCAAAATTTAAACATCCTTAAGAGGAATCTTTTTCATTCGTCTTCATGTAGCTAACAAATCATAAATTCTGATTCACAACTAAAAATAATTATTTACAACCAAGAATTTCCCTGCAGATAAACAAAATTCCAACGTACAACTTATGACGTCGTCGACTTAATTTTATTTACAACCTCATTTTTTTAATGGATATCAACAGAAAACTAGGCAGGCAAATATTTAAACCGTTCATCCGACACATGATCACGTAATCACATAATTTCTGAATGAAAAAATTGGAATAAACAAGAAATTTTAAGAAAAATTAATTTTGTTTTCACGAAATGTCGCCAGACCAGAGTTTACAAACATTGTACAGATTTGCTTAATAAATTAAATAAAATTACCTATAAGAATCTCATTTTGTAATAGTAAATAACGTCATAAAGAGAGTTAATCTGTTTCACGTTCGGAAAATGAGAGATCAGAAGAAAGAAATATTTTACGATCGTCAAAAGATCTTGAATCGAGTAAAACAAAAAATATGAGCGTTAAATAAATGCCGAATGCTATTGAAAAAATAAACCGAAACAATTATTTCTATTTGCAAACATTTAAACAAAGCTTTGAAAAAATATATTTTCATTCATTAATCAAAAGCTCGATAGATTAGACGTGCGTCGAACGAGTATCTGAGCATAAGCGAGATAAATTGATAGAAATTTCAAATTTCCAAAGAAAGTGAAAAAATATAAATTCAGAGTTTTAAAAATCTTTTAAAAACTGAGTAAAGGAAGCAATTAAAGTTCTCTGTTTAACTTCAAGGCTTCACATTAATTTTATTAATTAATAAAAATCAAGAAAATTATTTCCAAAACAATTAAAATAAAATAATAGTCATGGCTGATGTTGGACATGAATTGAATGCAATAAGATTTGTTGTGGTGAGTTTGAATTTGACATTTGTGGTTAAAAGATAAGAAAAATGTTAAAGAGATCATTAAAGTGCGTCATAAATTATTCGCAGTTGTTGAAAGTCAAAATGTTCATTGATGCCAAACAATATTTTGGGATATTTAAAAATAAATCAGCAGACACTAAAATGGAAAGAGATGATCGTTGTGATAAAGTTTAAAGCATTTCAATTAATGTTCAAATCCATTAAAAATGCAAAAAACAAATTAAGGAAATAAAAAGTAAATGAAAATTAATTACGACCTTCAAGCGTGGGTGGATGAAAGTTTTCTTTTGCATATTTTTCTTTTATTTATAAATTTCATAACAATTCAAATTCATTANATTCAAAGTTATTGAAGCGACGCGTAACTTTATCCACATCAGAGTTGAAATTTTATTTGAATTTATTTAAAGTTTGATTTGAAAATAAAATAAATATATTCAATACATCACTGTTTATAATTTAGCTGATAATTACGCATTTATTATGATCAACTATTTACATGAAGGTTTTCAATACAAAACTGCGATCATCATCACATCGAAATTACGCATTGAATCATTTATTTATTTTCATTACATGCGTCAGTTTTAAAATCAGTAGTAACCACCTACGACCATTCATCACAATGGAAAAATGCGATGAGAAATGTGAAATGTACCTGAAAAAAAAAGTGAAAACTTCAAAGAATTTTAATTTAATTCGGCATAACTTTATGAGAATTTTTTTGAAATATTTTTCTAAGAGATACTCAAATGACGTCATTTTTACGCGAATAAAAACACGATTGGCTATCTTTGCTTTTCATTTGATTAATCGGCGACTACATGAGAAATTGAATTCCTTTTCTCATTAAATGAAGACGTGTTGAGAATGCGAGGAAAAAGAATTTACGTTCAGTTTTTGAGAGTCAACAAGAGAATGTGAAGTTTTCACGATCGTGGAAACCGTGAAAATGGAAAGTAAAATTGAGAGAAAAATTTAAGCGTGTTTAAAATAAGTCTAAAGTAATTCGTCTTCAAAGACTTTGCTAACAACACGAAAAATTTACTTTTCATTCATTGAGAAAAAGTTAAAAGATTTGGACGTGCGTTTCGTTTACTGACGAAGAAAATTAAGAAACAAAAAAATTTCGGAAAGAAAAGAAATCGAAAATAGAGATAATTGAGATTGAAAGAAACATTACAAAAGAGAAACAGTAAATAGACGATAAAGATATCAGATTAATTGCATTTGATTTCGATACAAGCAATTCAGTTCTCATTAAAAGAAGTAACTGGAGAAGTTAAAGACTTGATTAACAGACAAAACGAAACAGAAATGGCTGACGTTGGACACGAGCTAGCTGCGATAAGATTCGTTGTGGTGAGTGTAGAAAATCAATATTCTTGTCAAACTGACAGCGGTTGTTAAGAGTTTCAGACTGCTTTTTATAAAAATTATGGTATCAGCCGTAAATTCACAGTTGCCGAAAATTTTCCCATGCCAAACAACATTTTTGAGATAAAAATAAATTAACAAACACGAAAGAGAAAATAAAATCATCGTTGTGATAAAATTTAAAGAGTCTCAATTAAAGTTCAAAGGCTTTTGAATTGTAGAACAATTAACAAGATGTAAATTCATTACGACCTTCAAGCGTGGGTGGATGAAAGTTTTCTTTTGCATATTTTTCTTTTATTTATAAATTTCATAACAATTCAAATTCATTACTGAAACTAATATTTGATACGATAATGTGAAAGTCAATGAGATATTGTCGTGAAATATTTTCAATTTCGCACAATTTCAAAGCTTTTACGCAATGAAAAAGCTGAAAAGTTAAGAAACAACATTTGGAATTCCATGTCTGGCGCCAAGAGACGAACAAAGAACTCTTGATGCGTCGATTGGGATCATTAATTAATGGAAAATGAGAAAATCTCGAGGATCGCCACTCATTAATTTTATGGTGAAGTGGCGCGACGCACATCGTAGATCTGGGATGAAAATTTCTCAATTAATATCTCGCATTCCATCGCAACATTCAACTGCTGATGACAGTTTTCATTTCTCAATTCCACTTGAGATTTGCTCGTCTTTCGATTGAATGGCAAATGAAAAAGAAACAGAAACAGAGCAACGAAGTAACAGAAAAAATTCCTCGCAAATCTTAATCACGAAATTCATTTTTCATCACTTCACTCTGATTTCGACGAAGTCCGAAGTCACTAAAAATATTTTTCCGCTCTGGATTGTTTTTCTTTCTCTCTTACTACCGATCGCTGATCACAAACGCGACCCTGAAGCTTTTTCCTTTTCCTTCACTCATTTCCATCTTGTTTATGTTGTTTTCTTACTTTTTCTCATCGGCTTTACGTCAAAATTAACGGATGTCACCGAAAAAAAATTCATTTGCTTGTCCCAAATCAACACGAAGAAGATGCGAAGTGAGAAGCTTCAAATATTTCCATTAATGGTCTCAAAAATGATCCCGATTAACGATGAATGATCGACAAGACAGAAGGCGGGATTTTCTGTTTATTTAACAACAAAATTTATCTCATTTTTCATCGAGTAATGAAGATCGAACGTCATCAAATCGGAATTTTTCATTCATAAAACGAAAACTTGCGGGTTGCTGCGAGTGAACAAATGAAAATGTGCGATGGGCAATAAAAAAACGGAAATAAATTTCCCAAAATGAAAATTCATTTTACGCTTCACTGATGTTTCATCCTCACACTCAATCGAGTGTTTCATCCGCAAGACGAGATGAGTTGTGATGAGATTGAAAGGAAGAAGTCAAATGTAATCAAACGAATCGTTTTTAGGTGATCCATTCGAGAAAGTGACGAGAAAATTTCTTCTCACATTTCGGTGCACATGATAACGAAACGTGAACATCGTGAAAGCAATAAGGAAAGGAAAATCAGCTGGGTGGACATCTTCGACTTCATTAAATTCTTAATTCATGATTCACAACTCGTGTTCAGTTTCTTTGTTGCTTTGATTGTTGCACGAGTCTTGTGATCTGCACAAAAGCATTTTTTTATGCCGAATCAGTCGTTAGGAAAGTGCAAGCGAATGTTGTTGAAAGGATCGAATCATTCCTCGATTTTCAGTTAAAATTTCTCGAAAGGAAAATAAAATTATGAGTCAAGCATGCAAAGTGCTTGGCGATGTCCCAAGAAAATTCTTTTCCGTTACGACCAAAGTAACTTTAATGGCTTCCGATGGGTCGAATGATCGTTCCCACGATCGTGTTCGGAATGTATAGTTTAAATTTTGAATATCGTCGTCTCAATGGCAAGGTTTTTCATACGGGAAACGAGATGAAAAATGTGGCAACAAAGCCGAAAAGCTTAAGTTATAAGGGAAACAAAAATTTATTGAGTTTGCGTGGGTGGAAAATGTCTCATTAATTTTACTTGATTTATTTATTCAACTTTCAAGTAACAAAAGAAGAATAAACGCTGAGAGACTGTCCACTAGATAATCTCTTTCTTTTCAACACAAAACATTGCGAATGATAAAAATAAATTTGAAACAATGTAAAACAAAGCAAAATGATCTACAATTGTAATGTCGCAACGGAAATTCATTGATGTGCAATGCGTCGTAAGATCTCAACTTCAGATTCTTCAATGTTGAATATTTACAGTTAATAATGTTCTCCTAGCGGTGTAAATTGCCGAACACTTACTGTATTGTTTCGTTCATTATCCGACACTTTGTGCAACAACATTCAACGTTCGTTCACAGTTAATTTTAGCTTTACTATTTAGCTCTTTACAAAATGCTGAATGAAATTCATTGCAAACTTTCTTTTGCATTAATTAAGTTGTTAACTTTTTTAAATCAAAGTTTCATAACACTCAGCATAACAAAACAATAGAAAAATCAAAGTTGAAAGTTGGTTTGAAGAAATGGTAAATTATTAAAAACACATACAGAGCGATAATTATTTGGTTTAATAATAATTTGATGAAAGTTTCGTTGGAAAAGTGTTGGATATTTATTCCCAGTAGTACTTTGTCAAGTCGCTACTACTTAATAATTATTTAATGATAATAATCGACATGAAATCGTGTTAAACTTTCTTTTGCATCTTAATAGATGTCGAAAGATTAAAATTTATAAAAGTTTGTTGCTTCAAGCGAATCTTTTTCTTTGCTTTTCTAGGATGCTCCATTATCTTCAAAAGTTGCTAAATTTAACCAAGCTGCTACCGAACACAAAAGCAATCAACTTGAAAATCCTTTCAGTGGGTCACACGATTCAAGATCCAGAAGTCCGAAGTTACTTCTGAAACCGGAAGAGTATGGAAAGTGAGTGAAGAATTTTTTAATTTAATTTACTTTGCAATTAAATAAATTTTTTAAATATTTTCAGACCAAAGCCTGGATCATTGACAGAGTTTCGTGGAATGAAAGCAAATATTCAAGTGTATCAAGAAATGATTGAGTTATGTGGGATAATTCAGCAAGAAGGTAGACCAGTGAAAGGTGAACCAGAACTGAGAGAAATCACATTCGGAGAAATCTTCCAAATTTACGTTCATATCAATGACAAAGTCGCTGGGCTTCTTTTAAGAGCTCGAAAGCATGAACTTCTGACATTCGAAGGTGAAATGTTATTCCAGAAATATCACGACCATGTGCACATTTATTTGTTGCGACCTTATAAAGAAATCAAAGAGATTATGTCAGCGAAACAAAACGACATCCGTAGAAGTTTAAGTCCCAATCCAAGGTAAGTTTTACTTTTCCTTCTTACACTTCTAGATACTTGTTTGTTATTAATTAATTTCAAAACAAACTTTCTTGTTTTTAATCAATTTTCGTTTTTGTGTTGCAGATAAAATTCTCATCTTTGTTCATCATTTGTGTTTTCTTTTGTATAAATTAGAATCTCAGAATTTTTAAAATTGTTCCTTCCAGACCAACCAATGAATTGCCCTAACTATTTATTAGATTAATGTCACCCAGAAAACCCCACCATGAAGAATAAGAAGCATCCTGTGTCATTAGATTTTAGACGAGTTTTCTTAATTCATCATAAAAATTCAATTTAGGAAGCAATAAAAGAGAAAAATTTATTTTCAAACTGTTTGATTTTATTTCTACTTTTTCGTTATCAAATAAACATAAAATTGAAAGTTTTACATTTTGTAGCGATCTTTAGATAAAATCAAAATATTTTACCACACGCCACTACCAACATCATTAACTTCGATTCCAAGCATTGCCAGTTCATCCATGTCCATTTGATTCTTTGATTCTCCACCACCATCTTCATCATCTTCTGTTTTATCGAAACTTCCGTTAACTTCTTCACCACCGACATTCATTTTAAGGTCAACTGTTGACGTTGCTGCAATGTCACCAACTTGTTGATGGACCGACTCAGCTGTTTGCTGATAAAATCCGCCGTAAAGCAAAGCATGTTGTGACAAATCTTCTGCCATAATCATTTCGGGACCATCAGGATCAGCAGCTGTAATCGGCGGTGATTCAACTGGCACAAATTCCTGTACTGGGTTTGGTTCAATGACGACGGGCTTTGGCTTATCGCCATCATACAACAAATCGAGTGTATCTTGAAAGTCTTTTGGCAATGGACCTTTTCTTGCAATTGGCGCATCACTAATAGGCTTGGGAATGAATTCAGAATCTTCTTCTGGATCGAGACCAGGTGGGACAACTTCAGGTTCTTCAATTCGAGGTGGGGGTGGTGGTGCGCCCATCAATGCTGAATATTGAAGCGGGTCTGGCATGTAATCATCCCAAGTATCATCTCTTGGCTTCTTCTCTTCAGAACTCTTCTCAACCACTGGAGTTTCATCAACTTTCTCATCGACTTGTTCTTCAACTTTCTTCTCAGTCAATTGTTTCTTGAAAACTGGCATTTTGCCAATCATTGGCATCACTTTCTTCACATTACTCACTGTGTCGTCTTTCTTACTCATGACATATGATCGTGCTGGTAATTTCTTGTCATCTCTCGATGGTGGCAATCTTGGTTCAGTTGGGAAATTAACAACTGGCCGTTCAACGCGACGACGACGATCGCGTGAGTTTGAACGACTTCTCGAATAACGTCTTGAATATCTTCCTCTTGATCGACTGCGTGTTCGTGATCGTCGATTTCTGTAATTTCTTTCCCGTTCACGATCACGACTTCGTTCACGATTTCTGTCACGTTCTCTTTCATCACCTTTACGTAGGGATGACGACGATGACTGCTTTTCTTCTGATGGCTTTTGTTGCGTCTTCAAACGTCCTTTGAGTTTCTCAATCAAATTCTTTTCCTCTTGAGAAATCACCGACTCAACAGTGCTCCATTGACCAATGATTTGCTCGTCTTTCTTATTTTCTTGAATAGCATTCTTGGATATGGATGGAGCTGGTGGTGGAACTGGTTTCATGTTATCAGAAACTTTCGTCCATTTGCTATTTTTCTCATCATTTTCATTTGTTCCACTTTTTGATAAAAGATTTCGCATTTGAACGCGAATTGAATTCTTTTTGCTGTCTTGATCGCTTTCATTTCCATTTTTCTTCGAACTTTCATCACTTCCACTACTCGAACCAGAATCATCAGACCCGCTTGATGATGATGACGAATCACGTTTACGTTTCTTTCCACGTTTCTTCTTATCTTTTCGATCTTTTTGTTTATTCTTTTTCTTCTTCGATTTCTTTTCGTCTTTACGCTTTTCATTGTCAACAGTCGTTGATGGCTTTCCATTTTGATCAGACGCTTCCAATGCTCGCTTACGTGCTTCTAACCATCTTTCTTCGAATTTTGGTTCTTTTTCGATGAAAATCTGAAGGAAAAGTTTCTTGAGAAATGGAAATTATTTAATTATGTCGAGGGAAAAACTTACCGTGTACTTTTCAGTATGAAGCTCGCTCTTTAAATGCAACGAAGCACAATACGTGTCACCCATGAATACTTCACAGAGTTTACAAAACCAAGCTGTTGCTGGTTCGAAGAATTGTAAACCACGAAGTGGCGTCCGCTTTGTCGGTGCATCTGGATAACTTGGAACTTCATTCAACTTTTGAAAACTTTCACGCCATGGTGCTGTTGCTGGATTCTTTGCACTCTTTTCAGCATGTTCTTTTGTATGAAGATGAATTAAATAGTCCTTTGCTGTTTTTGGGAACGCTTGACATGGTTTGCACCAGTGAAGTTCGGGATCGTAGACAATAAAATTAAACTTTTCTTTTCTAAATTAGAATAAGTTTTGAAAGTTAATTATCGTAAAATTGACAAGCATTTAAGAGAAAGTTTACTCACTTTTCTTCAGCTTCCTTCTTCTTCCGTTTCATGCTTTCAAGCAACTCTGATTTAATTCTTTCTGGTGATGAATCCGAGTCAGAATCCTTTGATTTCTTTCCAGATTTCTTCTTCGGTTCATCTTCATCTTTTCCAATGATCCCGTTGAGCATGTCGATGACATTCAAAATCTCCGAAAGCTTCAATGCGATTTGGGACTGAAATTTGGAAATGAAATGGCATAAGAACATCAAACATTCTAGTCAATCAATGTTAAGATAAATTTAATGTGTAAAACCTTTAAAGATTTTAAATAAAGTTTTATGAGTTTAATTTTTTGGTAGTGTTGATGTCGCTTTTTCACTTCATTGTTGTTGATCCAATAAAACTCTCAACCAGCCAGTCAACATCATCAGCAAACTCCGCTTCATTGTGTACATTATAACAAAAGTTTTCCTACTTGAAACTTTCTGCAGCTTATCAGATTTTCAAACTGCAAAAAGTTTTCACAATTTTTCATAACAATTGGCCTAAGTTTCTTAACAACTAAAAGTCAGCTTTTATGTTGATGAACAATTCCATTCCTGTCACTATCGCAACTTCATCATTCACGTGAACAAGAATTTCAATAGTTGTGCAAAAAGGTTTTCGAGATGCATCTCAAATGGGCTTTTTTCTTTACAAATGACAACATGATATGAGTAATTATCATTTTTCTTACAAATTTTCTTAATAATCCACTAAAAAGAAAGAAAAGCATTTTGTTTGTTGTTTTCTTCAAGATGTTTAAGATTTTTTTTTGCATTTTAATTCAGAATCATTTGAAGGATTCCAAAATCTTTCGCAAAAAAAAGATTTTTTATTGTGTGTGCGAACAATTTTAAATCTTAAGCACACACAACCACACACAAAATCTAGTTGTGACGATGTTTGATGAAGAATGCAAGAAAATCGATGCTCACCTGAAGTTTCTCGTTTTCTTTGATGAATCCCATCGTTTTTGGCGATGGTGAACGCTTTCCATGACCAGCTGATAAATCCGACTTTTGTTGTTTCAACTCTTTCAATTCTCGTTTCATTTTTTCAGACCGATTGATGTACTGATCTCGTTGCTTCTTGAGCCCTTCACGTTGACGCTTCTTTTCCTCAGCAACAGCAGCTATGAAATGAATTTACAAATAAAATTGAAGTAATAAAAAAATTTAATCAAATTTCTTACCTTCGCGCTTTTGCTTATCTTCTTCACTTTCCTCTGGTTGCAGTGATGCTGGTGGAATCCATCCTTCTGTCATCCCAGGAGGAACTGGACATGAAATACCTCCAACGTTGAAGTTACTTGACGGAGGTGGATATGCAGGATTTCCCTGAAAATCATAATTATTGAATTGTGAGCTCATTTGGCCCATTGTGTTAAATTGAGGAGGAGCCGGCGTTGGTGGAATGTATCCATAGTTTTCATTGTACATTTCTTGCTGTACGTATTTTGGCGATGCACTTCGTGATCGTCTGTTATTTCTATCATATCTGCGTCCACGGTTGTTGTCACGAGACCGACTTCTAGATCGCCGGTCATTAAATCGATTGAAATTTCGCCGAAAACGATCTGGTGATCGTCTTCCATATCTGAAACTATTTTAATCGTTTTTAAGACTATTTTATTTTTAATTTAACTTTTTTCTTACTTGTTGTTGTTCCTTCCTCCTCGAAAACCTCCACCACGGAAGGGAAGAGGACTTCGAGACCGTGAATAACTTCTTCGTCTTCGTTCTCTTGAACGACTTCTTCTCTTGCGAACTCTATCTCTTGAAGCTTCTCTTGATGGTGATCGTGGTTTTTCTGGTGATGGGCTTCTATCAACTCCAGGCGCTAAGTCGTCCATTTTTTCAAATGCGTGTCAATATTTCTCGAAAACTTTGACGATTCGATGATTCAGTTGCAGATAATTAATTTAATCAATTCTTTCAACGTTTATCTTGGTGATGAGAGTAGTTTATGATGACTAATGACTGTATTAATAAATGAAAATAAAATTTTCTTTTACTATTTTTTATGTTTTGTCGATTTGAAAATTTGAAGCAACTGATTACTTTCCTCTCACATTTAATTCGCTCTCTTCTCTCGAATTCGAAATTTCGAAATCACAGTGAGGGGTGCGCAGGAGTTCGAACACTTTTCCCTGCTTACCCCGAGCAACGAGAGAAAATTTTTAAGAGTGTTGCAGTCAGAAAAAATTTAAAATTGAGAAGCAGTGAAGAAAAAATTATCAAATATAATTATTGAATTTTCAAAATAGTGAGATCTCAGTGAAAGAAGTTATAAGATTACAGATAAATTGAAGAATAATGGATCACCTGGATATAGACTCGATTATCGCAAGGCTTTCGGAAAGTAAATATTCCTCGACTGAAATTTGATTTCTGAGAAAACTTTTCTTGTACTTTTATCAGCTCAATTTAGCGAATGAGTAATTTGTTAGTGTGACGAAAGAAATTCTTTTAATGACACCAAATTTTCATTTCTTTTAATTGAGTGTTAACTATCATCAATCATTGATCATTTCATATGAAATGATAAAAAATTTTCAATGTCAATTTTCCGAGTTTATTGATTTCTTTTAAATTGTTCTATTCTCACTGGATGTGTCAACTCAATTAATTTAATGAATTAATTTAGTATTTTTACAAAGTCTAATGAATAGATAAATGAGATAACAGAGATTGTTAATTGCATACTTTTAACATTTTACTTTTTTTTCTTTTTCTATTTTTTATTCTTGCTGCTTTAAAAATTGCAAAAAATACCAAAAACTAATTCAACATAATTGATCCAATTTAACTAATAAATAACCTTAAAGTTCCATCACAACATGAGGACAAGAAGAAAGGGTTTTTCACACAGGGTGAATTTTCTTTTAATCAAGCCTGTTTTGGATTAGCTTTTAAAAATTTATTTATCACAGTACATAATTTAAGTTGCTCAACATACTTAGTTCTTTCATATTTGAATGAAAAACAATTGCATGACATTAGGTAGTTGTACAACATTTTCAGAAATCTCAAAAATAATAAGTAGTTCATCGTATAATTTCTTCTTGTTTCTTTATTTTTATTGTAACGATTATCGCACAAGAGTTTTAACTAAGCCCCGAATAGCAGACAATTATTAAATAATAAATTCATATCCAGTTAGTTAAAGTGCAATAAGAAAAATTATCTTTTTACAAAAATCATTTGTGATTTCCTGACTTTACTTTCTATCTCAAGCTTTTAATTTTCATGACAAATAGCCTTCATCTTCAATTTGGTATTTATCTACTCTACTGATGTGTAGAAAATCTTTGCTTAATTAAACTGGAAAATCAAAGGAAACGACCGAGGAAATTGCAAGGACTTTATTTCTAAATCTCTTCTTAACTCTAATACTCTTTCCCATTCCTTCAACTTCCCCTCAACTGAACACAAGAAATTCTCATTTAAGCGAGAAAAAAAGCGAATGAAGGAAATGTCGGGTGGCGACAGGGGGGTAGGGGGTTGAAATTAAAAAGGAATAAGAGACTAACTGTGACTCTAAATTGCTTTTCCACATGTTTCTTTTTTTATTTTCACCCGCGTTCTTCCCTTTTCCTCACTCTTCACTGAATCGCTCGCTCTTCGTCATTGTTTTTTTTCATGTAGATTTTCAATGTTGTATACACATTCAAGTCATCGACTAAAAACAAAAAATAAAGAATTGTTCAAAATTGGATATTTTTAGCATGCTACCTAGTAGCAAGGGCCCGTCATGAGGCACGAGTTTAGAATAACAAAATTATTAACAGATTTTTTTTTTCATAAATAAATAAATGTTTCGATTCTATTCGATCGAATAAAAAGAAGATAAAAAGTAAACGCTCCACGAACGTTAAGCGATTTTAATTATATATCAGACTCAAACATTCCTTTTCATTCGCTTATTCAATACCAGACGAAACATAGAACAAAAATAAGTATCTATAATAAAAATACTAAGCTATTGCCTTTTTTACAAGTGCTCACGGCTCATAAATAAATAATATAAAACTTTCTTGGCTGGCTTGAGCGAAAGGAAAAACAGATTTCAAAGATTAAAGATGTCTATACGTTTATAGGAAATTGTAATTTTTATTGTTCGGAAAGCAAAAAGAAGATTTGCTTCCAGTTCCTTCCCCCACGAGACATCCACATGTCGCTGCATTCATCAAACTAATTTACATCTGGTCACAATGTCATGTTTTATTTATATTCATCATTTATAATATTTGTTGACAAATGTTGTGAGAGCGAGCTTTTATTAAACTTGTATTAACTGGCGTAAGTTGGATCAGAAATCATTTGGAAATGATGTCAGATTGACGACGTCATGATCACAGCTTAAATTGTTATAAAGTGATACTAACAAAGATGATGAAGGGGCGTTTGAAATATGAAATTTAATGAAAACATTTCAGTTAAATATTTATCATCTAATACATGTGAGGGGAATGCAAATTAATTGAAAAACCACATACGAATAACCACAGCAGAATCAATTTATAAATGAAAATCAGTTAAGAGTGAAATTGATTGAAATTTCATCTTGCTTCGAGGTTGTTTCGAATTCAATGTCGCTTCTGTATGTCACATCACAACAAACAACGTTGTTACTTAAAAATTATTCCCGCATTTAGCATAAGAAAGCGAAAATAAATCATCGAAAGGAAATTTTTTTCTTCTCCTGATGAATTAGTAGTGCAAAATGAAAGAATGATGAGAGAAAAGTCTAAATTTAGGTACCGATGCGACTTACGATCAATAATATGAAAAATGATGAATTTTAATAAAAAGAAGAAGACAAAAAAGTTTGACGTTTACATTCGCAAGTTATGATCGAAAACAGATCCTAAACGTCATTATTATCAATAAAAGTGAACAAATAATGTTGTTTTATATCCATCTTGCCATTAATTAGTTAATTTGTTAGAAATTTTTGCACAACTTTTACTTTGCTCTGATCGCTTTGTTATTTTTTACACATTTTTCTTCTTTTAATAAATTTCTTGTTTAATTAAGCTTTGTTAGCGTTTACGGTTTAGTGAAATGAGTAGATGATGTGTAGCTTAGTGGGTTCATCAACTAATTAAGTTTTCCTTCTGTTAATTGTTCCATAGTACGCACCAAGCCAAATCGATCTGTTAATATGACCGAACAGGAAGTCAGAGGTTTATGTTTGAAATCACGAGAGATTTTTCTTCAGCAACCGATTCTGCTGGAGTTAGAAGCGCCACTTAAGATATGTGGCGACATTCATGGCCAGTATTCAGATTTATTGCGACTATTCGAGTACGGTGGTTTTCCGCCTCAAGCAAATTATCTATTCCTTGGAGATTACGTGGATCGAGGTGAGATTTTATCAATTTACTTATCTAATCTAATTGCAAAAATACATAAATTCATTTCCCACTTCAGGAAAGCAATCACTCGAGACAATTTGCCTCCTTCTCGCCTACAAAATCAAATATCCAGAAAATTTCTTTTTGCTACGCGGAAATCATGAATGTGCAAGCATAAATAGAATTTATGGTAAGCTTTTCGAAGAATGAAATAATATTGAAGGCCCCAATCGATTTAGAAATCCATTTAGTTAGTCGGAAGTTGTGCTTTTTATTATTTCAAAGTGTTCGATTTGTTTTTTCTTCTCTCTAATCGACATCACATGAAATTATTGACATTTGATAGGATTTTACGATGAATGCAAACGTCGTTACAACGTGAAGTTATGGAAGACCTTCACAGATTGCTTCAACTGCCTGCCCATAGCTGCAATAATCGATGAGAAAATCTTTTGTTGTCATGGTGGACTCAGCCCAGATTTACACGTGAGTTTTGAACCATTCTTGTCAATTGGAATTTATTTATAAAATTAATTGTTTTTATTTCAGGGAATGGAACAGATTCGACGCATTATGAGACCAACTGATGTTCCTGATACTGGACTTCTCTGTGATCTTCTATGGTCCGATCCAGATAAAGATGTACAAGGGTGGGGTGAAAATGATCGTGGCGTAAGCTTTACATTTGGAGCTGATATTGTCTCAAAATTCCTAAATCGACATGATTTGGACTTGATTTGTCGAGCACATCAAGTTGTTGAAGACGGATATGAGTTCTTTGCCAAACGCTCTCTCGTAACATTATTTTCAGCACCAAATTATTGTGGAGAGTTTGATAATGCCGGTGGGATGATGTCGGTTGATGATTCACTCATGTGTTCGTTCCAGGTGAGAAAACATTCATTTCAAAGCGATTTCAAATACGTTTATTTGAAATTATTCTTTCAGATATTGAAACCTAGTGAAAAGAAAGCAAAATACCAATATGCGGGTTTACAATCAAATTCAAATCGTCCACAAACACCGCAAAATAAAAAGAAATAAGTAAATGAAGCCAACAGACCAACAAAGTCGATCGTTCATGTAATGAATGCAACAACACATCCCCAAATCAATCATAAAAATCAAAAACAAAAAAAAGTAAAAAAAAACAAAAACTTAAAATAAGGAAAGAAAATTCTTTAATAATGCAATGTATGATGTCATTTAAGATTAGTTCTTACGATTGACTTTAAAAACTGAATTATTATAAAGTTCATAGTAAAGAAATAATTTCTTTCATAAGTTCAGTGATTAGAAGAAGAAAAAAGTGGCTCACTAATAATTAAAACAATTTCTTCTTTTTTTTATCATATTTTGTTCAATTTAAAAAGCGATAACGGTTCCTTTTTTACGCATTGTCGTCAGTCATTAATTTATTCGCTCATATGATTTAACAATCGATCCCACCCGCTTTTAGTTTATTCAAGAAATGAATTTTTGTTTAAAAAATTATTAACTACTTACAAAAACAAGAAGCAAAAGTAAAAAAGTAATTAGGGATTTGAGTATAAAAATTGCGTAGATATTTCTTTTTGATGTTTAAAATAAACTACACGTAAGCATTTTTTTCTAACATTGAACCACCACGTGATTGCAGTACAAACCCTGCTAAAATAAACTCAAATCCATTACATGCGTATTACATCAAAAAATCACTTACACTCTCGTACATTAACAAACACACACGTTTATCGAAAAAATAAATTAATGGAAAATAATTTCCGTTAATAATTATTCGATACAAAAATTTTACGTTTACATGCAAGAATAATAAACAAAAAGAAGAAGCAGCTCTTCATAAATAATTAATTTCTTTTCACGTTTCCCTAAAACTAAAAACGACAGACAGCTGCACGATACTTAAGATTATCTCAAATAAAATTTCCCTCTAAATATCTAGCTCATTCTTTCAAATTCTACACCAAGTAATTTTTCAATAATAATTACAAAAGAAATTATAACAATCTTTTATTTCTTAAAACAAAACAAAGAACATTGTAAAGAAATATATAAGGAAAGATATTTTGAGAAAAAAAGAAATAAAATAATAAAATTTCCATACAAAGAAAACAAAACCCATAGAATCGCATGTTTTTAATTCTCAAGGACAATAAAAATTACATGAGGGTGTGAGTGCTGATGTGTGTATGAGTGAATGATTGCCACGTCTACAGTTTTAAGTGAGAAGTGGATGTACCCATCGATTTAGATCTAAACTATTTGCTGGTAACATTCGGGGCAAAGTCGATATGACTTTTTATTTTCCAGTTTTTCGATGATACCCATATAAAGAAAGTTCAGGTCATCCTTCTTATGAAATATTTTAGAACATAAGTCATTTACATTTTAGCACAATCTAAAGCATGTTTTGGAAATTGTTACAAGAATAATATGATTTCTTACAAGAGCAAACTATCTACTCAAAAACAACAAAAATATTCTCTTTAAATTTTTTCGCTCTCAAATTCATTCATTAGGTTTTCGAATCTCACCGCATAAACTCTGCTCGTTAATGGATACACAATTTCCCATCAAACTGAAAACCCAGTAACAATTAAAATTATTTAGTGAGATAAAACAGTGAATTAAAGCTGAAATTTTGATAGAAGTGATAGCATTGGAATTGCAGAACTATAAAACGCTGAAGATTATATGATTTCTCATTGGAAAACAAGAAAAATTGGGGAAATTTCTTTTGTGATCGTGAGACTAACAACTTGATTTCACTAAATTTCAAGTTCAAATCTCGACTTTAATTAAACTATATGCAATTGCCATCAAAGATACGTGATGAATAAACATAATAGACAACTTTTTGCTGGAAAGTGACTTAAGAAACGTGAAAAAATTAAAGAAAATACGGCGAATATAGATGCCGCTAGTGTCGATATACCCTTCAGTAGTCTCGTTCAATAAAAAGAAAAAAATTGCTTGGCTGAATTCCTCTGTTGGGTCAGTGCTTTGTGTAATCGTTTCGTGGTTAGGTCGTTGTGCCTGCGCGTAATAATAAAATTAACAAACAATTCTATGATAAACAACGACAAATAATCATTTGGAGAAGAAAAATATCTCGTGAATCTACAATTAGTTTATGCAGAAAAAAAAATCGAAGCAACATTAAAAAATATCTCAATGTTGAATGAAATGAAAGTATAAATACGAGAAGAAGAAGAAGAAGAAGAAGGAAAAGGCATTTATAGGTGGAAACAAGAATAAATAAATAAGCCTGCCCTCATATGAAGAAGTAATAAATGAGTACATCAAAATAATAATTTTTAGTATATTAAATATTATAATTCAGCTAATAAGAGAGTGAAGACTGAGAGTGTTTCAGATAAAAAGCAATCATAAAAATCCCCTGAGAAAACTTCCAGCTGGGTGTGTGTGTGCGTGCGTATACAAAATCAACATATAAAATTTTCTCGTCTACAAACCATGACAACATTTGCACCAGCTGTAAAAGAGGAGCGACATGATGAGGCAGAAATAGCAGAGCTGGCAGCCAAAATGGTTGAAGCTCATAAAACGCAAGCGGCAAAGCAAGCAACACAACAAGTATCGAATCAAGTACTTTTAGGATCACAAACGCAACAGACTCCTGGAAGTATTTTAAATTTTATTCAACGTAAACCAATCACAACGGCAATGGCTCAACCAGTGCCGTCAACGACATCAAGCACATCAAATGGAACCAGCAATGGTTACTCTACAGTCGATGATGGAAGACCCGCAGATGAAGAGAGTCTCAAAGGTCATTTCGGATGGGAATCGTTCAATGGTGGGAAGATTCATATTCCTTACATCATCCGACAGACAGAAAAATATTGCGCAGTGCGTATCGTCGAACAGAAATTGCTCAACAAGTATCTTAATGTACTACATCAGGATCTCTATAATTGCACAAGTGTTAGAAGTTACTACATCACAGACGTCGAAGCTCGACTTCTTGACGAGATAAATTTTCGTCACTGTGATCAATGTTTTGGTAAAGAGAAATTCAGTATGAAAGATCTCATTGTGCGGCTTAGTGATGCACAAAAGTTCCAACAATTCCTGGAAGTGTGCTACAAGAAGCTCACAAACTTTTCAACACCAAATGATAAATGCGGATTTATTAGAATAAACAGTGAATCTGTGGTTCCTTATACAGTGCGTGATGGTCAAAAAATGGTTCCATTATTCTACTTTGAAGGCGAGACAGACAATCTAAAGTTAAAAGCTGATTCTTTAAGTGGATGGGATCTTTCATACTTAAAGTTTTGTTGTAAAGTGCAAGGAATTAGAAATGAATTGTTTGCAAGTGAAACTGTATCTGTAATTAGTCTAGATGACATTAAAAGCTATTTTCCACAAGGAACACAATTTGAAGATTATTGGCCGAATAAAGTTGTTGATACGCAACTTCTTGTTGGTGGTCAAAAGTCACATAACAACACAATCAATTGGACACATCCGCCTCCCAAACAAATCACCAACACTGTTCAACGAAGTCAACAACTTCAGCAACAGCAAAAACAACAACAGCAGCAGCAGCAGCAGCAACGTGCGATGACTGGTGGAAGTGTCGGTGGACTTCAACACATGTATTCAAATAATGTTGACATGAATTACTTAAGAACGATGCAACAAAGTGGAATGTCTAATCAACAGGCGAGTTTTGCGGCTCTAGTGAGTTCTAAAAGGATTCACAATCAAAAGAACTTTGGAATATTACTAACAACTTTTTATCTTTGTTTTCATTTTAGGCTTTAACTAGTGGATGGAGCAGTCAAATAACTCAGTCGCAATATGATCAAATGTTAAGACTATCAGCTCAAACTAAACAGGTAACTGTTATTGTTTGTGATAAATAAACATCTAGAAATGTTATTAAATAAATTGCATTCCATACATTGTAGAATTCTTCATCAAGACCGTACACAAGTCGTCAACAACAGCAACAAATTCATAGCCTCTTACAAAGTCAACTTTATCCCTATTCAAATGCTGCCAGTATGTCATTGAATAGTAATGGAAGTTCGAGAACAGGAACACAACAACCACCGCCACTTGTACGCTCTCAACAACAGCAATCTCAAATGTAAGTGAAGTTCTGTGCTTTCTTTACAAATTAATTTCTTGGTAGATTTTAAGGAATTTTGTAAGAGAAAAGAAAAAAAGAGAAATTTGAAGCATGAATTTTTCCTTATACAAATAGCATGATGATCCCATTCTCCGAATAAATTTTACTTCAACTCTTTACTCATGATTTTCAATTCCAACAATTCTTCTATCTTGGTTCTTGTGCTCGCTCTTAGTTCTTATAGTTTTTCATATCTTTCGATTTCTTATCAAATAATTCATCCGTCAATGTTACAAAAAATCTTCTTCAATTGGCGGATTTCTTTTTATCTTCCTTTTTGGAATTTCCTATGAGTGTACATAAAAGTGATTTCTTACTTAAATTATTCATTAAACAACGCATGATGTCATCAACTCTTGATCCCAAAATATAACAAAATGCGATGAGTCATCAAAAGTGCCTTGTAACACTTTCACATATTATTTTTTTGCTTAATCTCGGGAATCGTGGGTGTAATGAAGAATTTACGTTTGTGTGAGTTGCGTGTGACAAGTTGGAAGCAGATGTTATTCATCTATTTGAAGTACTTTTTTACTTCCGGTTTTCTCTCCTTTCATAAGAGATTCGTAGAGAATTAGAAGAGATAATCAAACATTGATAAGAAATTATTTTACGACAAAAACTGTTTTTGTAAGATTAGTAAAAGCACAAGTTAACCACTAGAAAAAGAAAAATAAAACTGAACCCTCTCCTAGAATCATTATGCGTTTTTCCAATTACAACGACTTAGAAATTAACGTGATTAATAATATTAAGTTAATTTGTTTTTCTTCTTCATTTGTTTCTTTCTGCCGATTGGTGGAACGAACAGAACAAAAGTTCATGCAATAAAACTTAAAAAGAGAAAAAAAAATTAATTAAACAATAAAGAAATAAATTCCAAAAATATCGGCAGATTGAAGTCGTCATTAAAAATTATTTCTCTTTATATACATAATTTTATTACATTTATCTTAATGCTTCTTTTTTTTTTCTTAACGAATAATAAATAACTGGAATTGGGAAAATTTTCTTCATTATTTCTTTCTTCACACTTTATTTTGATTTTTCTTTAAAAAATGTTCCACTAGTGAACAGTTAAGAAAGAGAGAACATATTCAGTTGTAAATAACCTTCCATTACACTCTCATACACATAAATAAATATTTAAATATCAAAAATGCTCACTAATTTACTTTTTTAACTTGATTATTGTTTTTTACAAAATTTATCAAAAAAAACTAAAAAGAAAACAAATGAAATGAAAAGTTCTGATTGAAAAAACGCGACTTTCGTCCTCATAATGTTTCTAGGTCGAATTGTGGTGTAAGTGGTTCAGCGCCCCAATTACGCTCCTCCACAAATCCTCCACCATCCACCTCACAATCCACAGCCACCTATCCTTATATAGCCAGCAATAATGTTAATAGTAGTAACAATAATAGCAAGAGTAACAGTAATGTTGTGACAATTACGCGCTGCCCAACGAACACATCAACTTCAACACAAAGTCAAAATTCGTCTTATCTTAATAGAATTCCTGCCTCGACGACCATTACACCCACACAATATTACAATAGCAAAGACAATTCGTTACCTTCATCCTTGTCAATTTATCCAAAAAACTCACAAACGGGTCACGCGCGTAGTATCATTCAAAGTTCAGTTTCTCCCGTGATTGCATCACCAACACGAGCAAGTCCACAGGCGGGCTATGCAAAACAACCTTCCATCTCACCTGCATCATCAATGCACATACTTCCTGCTGTCATGCAACAGCAACTTGATGAGCTTTTGTTAAAGCAAAACTTTACAGGAATTGCAAATCCTGAATTTTTAAAAGAAACTCTCTTAACATACAATAGCATTTATGCAAAAGCACGACAGCAACAAAATGCTGCTGCTATTGCTGCTGCAGCTGCTGCTGTTGGAGCTGGCAATCAATCCTTATCCTCATCCAATCAATCCTCATTTCCTGTTCGAAATAAGAGCGTAATTACAACATCAAGAGCGAGTGCCATGGATGTAATCGATCTATCTGCTTCTAATTCCCCCACTCCATCAAGGTCGATCCAAGCTGCCGCCGCACTTCAATTTCAACAAGCACAAGCGTCCGTTGCCAATAAACGAGCGCAAAATGGCCAATATTTGAATGGTGGTAGTCAATCGTCATCACGTTCAATGCAATCATCATCATCATCATCGTCATCATCATCAACAGCAAGACTACAGCAACAAATACAAATGCAGAATCCCCTAGCTGGAATTAATGGCTATGGAACAACAGCATACAAAATTGAAAAGAGTTTCATTGAGAATCAAATGGTTCATTGTATAAATATGATTCCTTATTCACCAAACAGTGACATGATAATTCCACTAAGCGAGTTAAGAGATCAATTTTATCCAAATGCTAATCTCGATGTGTGCAAGAGAGTTATGCAAGCGCTTGAAATTAATCTATTCAGTGGAACCAAGTAAGAATAAGACATTGAAAATTTCGTTCATTTTATCAGTTATTTGAATAATTTTATAATTAAGTTCTCTGTTTTTTGCTCATTTCCATTCATAGACCCCAATATCAAGCTTACAGTGAGCTTGGCAAAACAATTGCTGATAATATTCCGTTTGTACGTGTTCTTGACGTCATAACGTACATGCCGCAAATTAATTATATGGTGAGTTTGTATTCTGTTCGTTTGTAGAGATTAGAAATTAATTAACTCTAATTTGTATGCTTTAGGTTCGAGGACAAATGCAAGAAGCAAAAAATGCATCAAAACGTGCTCGTATCAGCTAGGAATCGGGAATGGGGACACTCACAACATCACCATCGTGTCCCCAAACGACACTTCTGTCATCGGCGACATCTAAAGCATCATCAGCATCATCATCATTACCTACCAAAGCATCAACTAATGACTATAATAATTTCTCTGACTTTTGGCAACAAATGTCTCATGGATTGTTGTTAAAGAAGAAGGAACATCATATCCAACATCAACTTTTACTTCAACAACAACAGCAAATGACTCAAATTCAATCACTTCATCATTCATTTCCTTCTCCAATTACGCCAACTTTTGATAAGAAAGTTTTCTCGTCGCCACCGTCTTCGAGCTGCCGTTTTGACGGAGCTGGAAGTAATGGAAGTTCATCAGCAAGTACTCATCTTCCGACAGAAGTATCGTCTAATGTTTCTCTTTATTCATCGCCATCATCTTCAAGTGCATCAACACCTGGGCTGTCAACAAGTAATCAAAGACATTCATATAGTCAATATCCATTCAATGACGTTTATGGATCAAGCGGAAGTTTCTTAAGTTCTTCATATGCAGCAGCAGCAGCTGTTGGATCATCTCATCACGATTTAACAAGATCTTCGTGTTCAGCTTTACCATCGCCGACAATTTATCCTCCAACACCACCACCATCTACACCTTGGATACATCCAGCATGGTTTGGTTCATTAGAATCAGCTGGTTATATGAAAACACCAAAATCAAATCCATTTGATAATTGAAGATGAAATCGATGTTATAATTACGAGAACCATAGAATATTATCAATGAAACTAATATCTTCTTATTTAAAACTCATTTCTTCTTCGTCAAAATCGCTAGGAACCAATGCAACTTTAAGTAAATATATGAACACATGAAGTATAATGTTTAGTTCTAAGTACTTTATTTCTCTTAACTTTCATCTGTTTTATTTATTACAATGAGTTAGTCTTACTTCTATTATAAATTATATTTCATTTTTCACTTAAAGTTCCAAATAGAAATGTAAGCGTAGAAGAATATAAAAAAGTTAGACAAGAAGAAGTTACTCGTAACTAAATAAATAAAAAATGTATGTTTTCCAAAACAGAATAATTAATAATTAAAAGTAATGATAACTTAATTCTAAGATGCGAGAAAAGAAAAAGAAATATTTAATATTCAAAAACGCTCCAAACATTTCAACACAAAACACATTGGATATGTGAAATTGATGTTAAGTAGAAAGAAAATTTTAAGGCTGCAAAAAGATTCTCTTTGAGATTTCTTCTAGTTAGAATGGATTAATAAGAGATCAATAACTCTATAAATGTAAATTCAACCAGCAAACATATATTTTTCTGATGTGCTTGTAACAAATCATGTAAGTAAATTCATTTAGGTCTTGTCTCTTTCTCGCAAATGGCTGGTCAAAGAGTAAATATGTTAAATCGATTTAGTTTTTAAGATGAAATATTTGACGATCAATCAAGTTTAATAACTTATATCTTCAGAACGAAGAAAAACAAGAAAAATCCTACTCAATACAAGAAATAAAAGAATAAATAAGAAGGAAGACGTTGAAATAAATAAAAATTTATGTTTTTTATTATTTTTTGATAGGTATTAAAATTTTTCCTTCCAGAAAATAAAAAATCTACGAGTAAGAATTAACGGTTAAATACTTTTTAAATCTCATAAATGAATGTTGAATGTTTTTCATCGAGGACAAAACATTGACTCAAAAACATTGCACGTGAGAATCTCACTGAGAGAGCGAAATAATTTTCCTTTCTGGATATAAGAAAAGTCGTGAGTGGTAGTGTGCGGAAAACAGTTGTTGGCACCAAAGTCGATGAAAACGAGTGAGAGGTGACATTGTATTGTTTAATTAAAAAATAATAACGTTAAAAATGAATGTTCTAAAGTGTTGAAAATTGATAAACTTATTGGGAAACGTTTTTTAAAGTTAATAGTGAAAAAGAATAATGTTGAATCATGGTTAAAGTTTTCATTTATGAATTTTATTGTGAAATTTTTCTTTCCATCGTAGAAAATTCTTGATGGAGAAAAAAAGCTTCAGACAGAGAATGCTCTCGTAAAAAGAACTTTCTTTCGCGAGTGTTAGTGAAAAAGCACGAAGGATTCGTTGTTCATCTCCACAAAATTGACTTTACCCTATGAATAATAATAAAGACTGAGAGTGTTATCAACTGGAGAATGAATAAAAAGTGTTGAAAACAGCCAAATTTGGAGGCTTTAAATTAAATTTTCCTCAATCTTCTAAAAAGAAAAGCTTCCAATTGTTTCTTTTTGAAGTTTTCCTAAACAAATCTATTGCCAAATATGTTATATCTAGTTTTAACTTATATTACTCGTTTCGAAAAACTTTAAATGTAAAGAGAGAAAATGAAATTTTCTTGTCAAGTGTGAAAAAGATTTTCTCGAAATTTATCAATAAAATCTAACAATGGAGAAAGTAAAACGCTTTTTGAAAGTTCAAACGGATCCTTGTGAACACCGGACGAGGCAACAAGTTCAAGTACATCCACAAGTCGGTCGAAGAAGGAGAAAAAGTCGCGCAAGAAGAGATGGGTAAGTAACTGTCGTCATCATCAAAACTGACGACAACAAAGACAGGAAATAAAGTTTTTTTTTCTGCGTGATGATTCATAAATTTTCTTTTTCTTCTTCCTACCCTTTTATTATTTCTTGGTTTTATCAGACGACTTTCTGGAGCCAGTGGACATTCAACTCGAAATGAAGGACAGTTCACGGGACAAGGATCGATTGTCAACATTAATCCACAAATGCCGGCAATGACGCAACCTGAAACTTTGCGACAAAAAGCTTTTGCAAAACTCAAGTTGTTCAATTTCTCACTGAATTGGGATTTGCATATGAATCAGTGCAGGTAAGGAATATAAATCAGTTAAATGTCTTCCTTTTCACTTAACATATCAATCTTCATTTTTATCTTTTAGACCCAGAAGTCTCTTGTCCCGACGACTTTACCGTAGTCGCAAATACGACGACAATGAGCTGTATCGGAGTAATAGCTTCAGATTTCAACGATTCGAACGTAACGATGATACATGCAAGCGATTCAATAAACAGGTGAGTTTGGCATGTTCATCAATAGCCAGTGATGGGCACAGTACGGCAAAAAGGATGAATTCAGTTATTACATCAAATTATTTAATCTGATTTTTCACTAGAACTGATATCATTAAAATATAAAATTATTTTATTTACGTTACACACTGCAAAACTATTGCACTTTAATTTTTTAATAGTTTTGCATTGTGTAAAGTGATACAAATAAAATAATTGATATTTTAATGACATCAGTTCTTGTGAAAAATCAGATTAAGTAATTTGATATTGATTGGAATTCTTGGGAAGTCAATTTTGGAGGAATCTGAAAAGATTAATCCTTATGAAAGAAATTAAATTAAAAAAGAAATATTTAAATAATAAATAATCGAAAACTGTGACTGCGAGAGACTGCCAGTTATTTGTGCCAGTGTGGACTAGCAGAAAGTTCCCACCACTATTGAAAATTGTTATGATGTATTAGAAAACTCTTAGAAAATTAGGTCAAAGCTCACATGAGTCCATTACATTTATTCTTCTCATTACCACCAGCCATTCCCAGTTATGTTATTCTCAAATGCTTTTCAGATTAGACAAAAGCGCCATTAAATGAGACTTATCGAAGGCAGGGCAAGTGTCGTGCCCATTTATGAAACGATACTGCAGTGTTGTTAGCTTCATAGATAAATATGAAAAACAAAAAAATATGAAAATTAATTTATTTTAATGCTCTCTTAAGCGCCAAAACATCATGCGGAAAAGTTCGTGGCGAAGAACATTAGTTTGAATGTCAGTTTAATTTTATATGAGAAAAAAGAAAACAAATTTGTGGAGTTTTTTATATTTAAACATCACTGTCTTAATAATCCTTAAAATAAAACTCCCACTTCGAACCACCAACATTATTTATGAAACAGAATAACGACGATGAAAGTATCATGAGGGTCTTAAGATGATTTCATTTATTTAATATTGTTTCTCCACAATGATGTTGTTCATCTCGTATCGTGTTCCACCTTCTGATGCTTAACGCAATAAATCAAAACTTTGATCCCCATAAATTAGATCCGTTCCAGAAAAAAACTCTTCAGTAAAAGAAAATTGCATAAGAACAGGAAAGAAATTGTTATTAATTTATTTGTTAACTTTTTTTCCATATTGCCCGATTACATTTATTCTCCCCTCATTTGTTTTTATTTTGTTGTGTGATAATTTAATATCGGTAATTGCTCCATACGTACGCCACTTCGGGGAGTTACTGTGTGAAGTGAAACTTTTATGGAGCCCGGGAGAAAATTCCACAGGAATGAAGGTTTTTCCTTTGTTGAAGAATAAAACAGGGAAAATGAAAAAAGTCTTTGAGGAATTTCTGGTTGTTAATAATTCTGAAAGTTTAATTAATTGCTTCAAGTAACGAGATTTAACCGACAATGAAAACGAAAAATAGACGTGAAATGAATGGAAAATGTTGGAAAATATATTGTTAGATATTTTATATTAAAAACCTATCTAGGCTTCGTCTCACTTTATGGACCTAACATCACAGCAGTCGATGGAAAGTTTGTCTGTAATTGTGTGGCTATTTAAACGCAATGTATCGATATAACATAAAAAAGATTTTCTCTTTCCTTAATGGCAAAATTATGATATTGAATGATCGTAATAATTTTTCCATTTCGTCGTTTGGAGATTAAATTACGATATAAATAAGCAGATGTAGGTAGGATGTCCGTTCTGTCCGAAATTAAGTATTAAAAGGCTTCATCGACTCCCTTTCGTGCCATGAAAAACGATAAACAATAAACTTCAGCCACAAGTATTCACAACATTATGGTTTACCTTCTTCATCGATGTTCGGACGTCAGGTGCCATTAATGAATGTTTTAAAGCATCTTAAAGTCTAATAAATTAAGTTTACAAACAAAATTTCCTTTCTTGTTTTTCTTACGTCTGGCTAGTCTTAAGATTTCAAAATTATTTCACATTCCTTCGTTTCTTACTAGAAGATTTATTGAAAAGTTTCCAAAGACACAAACTTTTTTGTTTGCCTTCATTTCAATTTCTCCAGTGTCCTTAAAATTTAAAGAGAACTTACTGAAATGATTCTTGGGAGACTGGACATTGTTGAAGCATTCCTTGATTTGAATTTCTCTATCCGAAGAAAGCAGCAACAAAAAGGCCATTAAAATTTCAAAGCAATTTCCTCATGCGATGTTTTAAGCACATAAATAACGCTGAAACTGGCACTATGGTGGAGAGAGGCTAACAGCAAGCATGAAACTAGCACGATAATGGATGATAAGCTTTCTCAGAAGTTGGAAGGAATGAGAAAAAATGGGATAAATTACGATCCATGAACATGTACTTATGACTATCGAAATTAGTATGCAAATTTTTATCCATGCAACATTGTTCGTTGAATTTAATTTCGACATGAAAACGACTAAAACGATGTTTATATTTCCTTAAATATTGAATTCTCGTCGTTGTTGAGATGGCTTACATACGATAACAGATTTTACTTTGACCATTTTATAAAATTAATCTGTTGAAAGCGGGCACTATAAATGTTTAAAATAAAACATGTAAAGGAGAGAGAGAAAGGGAAACCATTAGATTCATTCATGTAATTATGAACAACTTTAAAATGAATATTTAAATCCATTATACAAAGCCTAACCAGAAGAATTTCTCATGCATAAGAAAATATTATTTTCATGGGTTTTGAAAGGAATTTACGTAGGTAATCGTTTGAAATTAGTTAAACTTCAAATCTCATTCGGAACAGAAATTTTCCTTTTTTAAATCTCATAAAAATGGCTTTCTTGACTTCCTTGATTGCAAAAAGGGTTGCATTTGATATTTGACAATTTTGAGGGTGCGAAACGGTAGACAACAGACGAAGAATTTCAATTGCTTTAGGACCAATTTCATTCACGAATAACTTTCTTTTCTTTTTTACATAATTTACAATTTTCGCATTTTTATTTTCATTCTTTTCGTTTTTTTATGATTTTTTTCTGTCGGTGAAAAATTGACAATGTTTTATGGAAATATATTCACGAGTCATGAGAGGGTGGAACTATGATTTTTCTTCTTTTTATCGAATGAGAAAATTTGCCTAATTTCATGCTCATTTCTAGCCTTGGTGTTGTGGTGGAAGATATTGTTGTTGGGGTTTTCCAGCGCCAATAGGTTGGGCATTGTGACTGTAACCTTGATGGGATTGTTGTTGTTGATAGACATTGCTTGAAGCTTGTGCGTTGTAGTTATTATGAGATTGTTGTTGATGCGAGTACTGTCCTCGTTGACCTTGTTGTTGATATTGATTCTGTTGTGGTTGGTTACGGGAGAGCTCAGCTTGAAGTTGAAGGATACGTTGGCCTTCGGCTTCGATTTCAGCGGCAACTTTCTTTTGGAGTTCAACTTGTCTGTAAATACATACAATTGAGAATAAAAAATTCTGAATTCATTCTATGATGTAAGTGAACTTACTCGTAGTATTCTGCTGGAAGACTTGGTGGTGTTGGTAAATGGGCACCTTCTGGTTGGAAACCATTGGCATCAGCTTTGTATGAGAGAGCGATTTGTTGTCCGTCTGGTGCAGTGTAACTGTAGCTTCCAACAGCGACTTGTTCAGGGTAGTCGGGGTATTGAGCTTGTGGGTTGTTCAAGTATCCTTCTTCTTGAGCCATGATTCCATTTCCAGTCAAATATTCGAAACGATATTTGCCATCACCTTGATGAGGTTCGTTCACGACTGTAAGAAAGGAATTTTAATTAATTATTGTAATCCAGTTTTAATTGAAAATTGATGATTATTTTTGAATAGATTTAAGTTAACACGTCAGATTCAGACAAAAGCTAAATTTAGTATTCATCTTGTCAAAAAACTATGTCAGAAATGAAACGAAGCAACACAAAAATAAATCTAAGAACTTCTTATGAGAACTCAGCAATATTTGAAAAGTTCCACTTCAAAGAATCTCTTAAACGTTCATCGTTGTTTATCGTCACGAATGTTTTCAACACTTTTCACGTTTCAAATCTTCTTTTTTTTTGGTTCTTTAAATCCATAAAACAAAAATTTAAAAATTCTTCCGCAATTCCAAAATTTAAATTGATTTCCAAAAATAAAATATTTCAACACAATTTTTTTCTGAAATATCATCACGTTTTGGCTTACATTTCAAAATTGGGATTGGTGTTGTGCTAGCCTGATTGTATCCACTTTGGGATTGTTGATAGTTGTATTGTTGTTGGGCTGGTTGTTGATAAGATTGTTGTTTGTATGTTTGTTGTTGTTGTTGGAATGGACGTGGTTGAGCTGCATTTCCACTGTAAGATCCAGCAGAGACTGATTGGAATCCTTTACCGCTTGAAACGGATGTGAATGTTCCATGGTTTAATCCTTGCTGTCCTTGATATTGTGTGCGAACTCCAGTTGGAGATGCATAAACATTCTGGGCACTTGAAGCAAGAGCTTGTTTTGGTGCTTCTAAGTTATATCCACCAGCTGAATGTGCGTTTGCAGGTGGAATATAAGTGTTATCCAAACGTGCGCAAAAGGCACCAGCAACCATCACTGACAATATCAAAAAACTTCTCATGTTGTTTAATACTCAACAATTATGACGCAAATCACGAATAAAAAGAAATATAAATAAGTTTAATCCAAGAGATGATGTCTCACTGCACCAACCGAGCAAATTCAACTGATGATTCTCACTGATGTTGTCGATGGTTTTATAGTGAATCAGCCTCCATTCATGAAACAAACAAACACCGCAAAAAAAAATGATGCGGTGACGTCGTCGAGAATTTCGCGTTCTCTTATGCACGATCCACTGAGAGGATCCATCTCTCATGTTACAATTGGTTAAGTTACGTTTTTTCCTTCTTCTTTTCTACATCATCATGTTGTTGTTGCTGCTGTTACATCTCTTGTTGGGTTTAAACATTGCCGATGGTTTTTGTGCTTTCAGAGATCGCGCTCAATGTCGCGACTCATTTTTATTATTATTATTTTTTTTTGAATTTAAGATGAAGTAAAAAAATAAAAACGATCTGTAATAGCTTGAAGGAATGAGTTAATTGTTCAATGTATGAAGAGCGAAAATTATGCAAACATTCACGGGTTTAGGGATGCATGTGAAGATATCTAATAAAGGTTAATAAACGGTTCGACTTATATAGGCAAATCCTTCACTTTAACAGTTTCACGCTTAATATTTGTTAATTTATTGTTTCTTAAACGATTTGTTCTGTATTGTTTTTTTTCTTCATTCATCTTTCATCTTTACCGTATCGAAAAGCAATTCGTCGAACTCGCCATTAAAGCAGTTAAGTTATTTGAAAACTATATTTAAAGTGATTTGAACTCATCACACATTGTTATGAGAGGTAATGAGATGATCACGAGAACGTTTTGGAGCAGTTGCTATTAATTCCATGTTTGAGATGCATTTTTTCTCGATCTAAATTAGTATAATTTTACACTTAATGAAAAGGTATGTGAAGGTCGACGATTAATCACTCAATTCTAATTGTTCTGCTGCAAAATTGTTTGTCTTTAGAAAGCTTTAAGGAAAAATAAAATCGTGAAGCTAACACGGATAAAGCTGTTCTTTAATAACAGATTTCAAATGTGTTTTCCGGACAGTAATTCCAATTACAACGAATTACGACATTAATTGTTTATTTTTTTTTCATTTGATTCAAAGCTCGTCAACTTTATTGATGCTTCTTCAAAATAATAATTTTTTTTCTTTTATTTCTCATCATCACGGCTAATATTTCGCAGTTCACGAGAATCATCGACATCATTAATCACACAATTAATCACCTCATAGCTGTTTATATTTTCAATTTGTCTAAATACAAGTTTAGTTAAATAAATTTAACGGCATGTGTGTTTGATTTGGATGAGCATGAAGCGTGTCTATTTGATCAAATGCTTTTTATATGACGTGCTGTGATGTTAAGGAATGCAATTTTGTATGTTTTTACTTCATGTTGCCATGGAAGATGTACCAGCAACGTGAAGTTAAAAGAATTTCTTATTTCTTGTCACGTACATAAAAGGATTCAACGTTTATAATTAATTAATTGTTCAACCTGTTCATCTCTGCCACCGAATCTTTTTATTCTCTCAGACACAAAAGAAATATTTTGCCATAAACGTCACAATTTTATTGTGAATATTTATCTTAATTTTCAAGCGATACCGCAGTGGATCGCTGATTTAAATTATGTGCAAAAATTAATTACCAAAGATGAGAACTGCAATCGAAATCGGAATTGTTAAATTGATTAATGATTCGGGTGATGCAGGGAACAACAGAGACATAACCTTGAGGCAATCAACTGAAATTAAAGCAAAAATAAAAAGAAATAAAACATGAAATACAACCATGACCCATCTTGTTGATGATCAATGATGGACCATTAAATGAGATTAATGCATCCCAACATATCGTTTATAGTAAACCAATTAAGATGCTTTAAGAAAAGTTTAATAAGGGAAAGGACGATACAAACAACTGTACACGGTCCGTCAGCCTTGATAGATCTGTACGATATTAAATTATCATACTAACAATTGGAATCGTAACTTGTTTGCATTGAGTCACTTGCGACAAAGGAAAACCAAGATCATCTCCTTTTTATGGTTGTTCCAGAACTCAGAATACTTTTACTTTCTAATTGGTGGTTAAAGAAGCTATTTCGAAGGATGGATTGCTTTTAGTCTTCAGTGGGACGAGTTACAAGCAATCAACATCAACATTGACGTGAAATAAAGCTATAAACGACGCTTCAGACATTCCTGTTTAATTAAGTTTAGTTGCTATCGCGAGAAGAACCCTGCACGATCGGATGTTAACATTGTAGGTAGTTGTTCTATATTTTCAGTAATAAAAAATAAATGCTAAAAATGTAAAAAAACAAGTTCACTTAAGCAAATAATTCATTCTGATCGCTTTCAAGTCGATTAAAAATATTTCAAGATTTATCTTTAAATCTTATGTTTAAAGATACTTTAATACAATTCAATGCTCAAACCATTAAATAATCGATCATTTCTTGCATCACCAGAGAATTCTTTAATACCAAACTAATCAATCCATTTAATGGTTACTTACGCACATGTTCGTCTATCTTTTCAATGTCATCAATTTTATTATTTTTGTTTCTTTTTTCGTGTTTTTTTTTGCTAGTGCAACATTGCATTATGTGAAACTAAAACAAGTTTGTCAGTTTCTCAGCTTCATTTTACTTTGTTTGACTCTCACCGAAAATGATCACACATTGAGGCGTCAGAAAAAAAGACACAAAAATTAAGAAAATCATTAAAAAAAATGAAACGACATTGTAATTATGAAATCAGAGCATACTTAGTAGATGAAATTAACCGCAATTGTCACGATTGGAATTCGGCTTTATTTGCTTGTAAATAATTATTGCCAAATTCAACGTCATTTCACTTTGAATCAAAATATCGCGATCATGTTTCATAGTAACAACTTAAGAAACTTTTCGTCGTCTCTTTCATCGCGTTCATGCTTTTTCATATTTCTTCGTAGTCTCGAATCCAAAACGCACAACAATCTCCTAAATAAAGAGATGAGAGACATGCGATACGGTAACTCGCATCAGAGACTAAAGATGATTTACGCAATATTTGAATGCAAATCGATTTGTCGATTTATTCTTCTTCAATAAATAAATGTCTTGAAATATGGAATGAAACAACTCCATAAAATTATTCTTCCAGCTATAATAAATCAGAATGTCGACTCCCGCCAACCATGAAGTTATCAAATTCATTCTTGTTTCTTCTGGTGATACATTTGTTCGCCCATAAATACATGTGCAAAGGGGAGCAAAATAAATGATAAGAATCATTTCTGTCTCGACTTGTGTTCAAGGAGAAGAAAGAATCTTGAAAAACAAGCGAATCTTCTTCAATTGTTAGAGATTACATGTGGAATGCATGAAAATTTCACAATAAACTTGTCGTGATTGTTGTTCTCGGTTCTTCGTTAGCGTCAGCAGAAATTTATGTTGAGGATGATTGAACACTAAAAAGCAAGTTTGAAGGCACAGTAAATCATTCGAAATATCTCACTTTCATTTAGAACTTTCTCATGTTTTATCCTGTTAGCATTTAAACCTGACATCATCATTCAAATGAAGTCTCTGAAGTGATATAAAAGGAAACTTCTCCTTATGTCACAATAAATTATTATTAATATTCCATTCCCTTCTTCCCTGAATCTTCGTTTTGCCGTCAAGGTTGTTAAATCTTTCTTGAGTGAAACGAAGTTTCTCAATGGCTCTACTTTAGGAGAGAAATGATTCAGGCTGTACATAAATAGATTGCTTCTGGGACATGTGAATCCACCTTTCGCATCAGTTATTGCGAAAATAAAAACAACTTGCTTTCCTTGCATTAACTTAAGAGGCATAAAAAATTTACAGTTCTTCTTCGTTTCCTTGAAACATTTCTTTCAAACTTTTTGTTTTTCTTGAACGCTGATGCAACAGAAGAAGAAACACAAATTGTCTCTGGTGGCTCCAACATGACTCCAACTGAATCTCAAAATGCTTCTATGATAAATGACTCTTCTGTGGTTTAAAAAGATAAAACAAACGGCTCTATTTTTATTTTTGTTTTGGTCTTTTCACATGATTTTTCAAGAGCGATAACCCAGCACCAGATCGACTTGACTGCATTTAGTAGACACTAAATGAAAGCGAAAATATTAAAGTCCATAAACAATTAAAAGTTAAATATGCTTTCGTGTGCTCTTCGTACTGGTTACCTCATTTTCTCTCAACTCTTTTTCTTCTTTCACACTCGTTTTCGTTTCTTCTTTAAAAAAGTGGTTTCAGCACATCTGATGACCTTCACCGTGATGTATCTTTATGTACGTTTAAGGCAGGTTGTGGATTGTGAGAAAAATTACAAGTAAAACGAATGGAGGAAATTTTATTAAATATCGAATTTCGAATTGATTTAATAAAATGTAATAAAAATCATAAGACGTCAGTTTTCAAGTAATTCTCATGAAACAATAATAAAAGCAGAAAGAAGTCGTAAAACATTTATAACTCGCATTCATTTCAGAACTTCATCGTTTGACCCTAAGACAATACACCAATTTCAATCTCACGACTTCTTGATTATTTTAATGCGTCTTTGTCGAAGGTCTTTAGAACCTATCGTGATTGTTACGTTCTTTTGAAGATTCTCGAAAGAAGACACAACGTCCGGCTTTATTCTGTAACTTATTATTGTTCTTCCTCGAAAAATTTTTTATTTGAGTCTCCAGAAAAACTGATTCTGATGAAAGAATTCATGATAAAAAAAGGTGTGGAGGATGAAGGGAAATTCCACAAAAACAAACATCATCAAGTGAGTCGTATGGAAAAAGAAACTAATTCTAGCGATTATGAATCAGCATTATAAATGATATTGCATTTGAATGATGATGATGATGCTGCGTCTTTGTATTTTCATCTCAATCTTCTAAAAATTGAGATTTCATCGTTTAAATATACAAATTTTTATTTTTAAAAATGAAATTCCGTCAGTTGAGTTATTTATTTCGCGGTTTTGAAGTTTGAATTAATTCATCGAATGATGGAATTCCGGAATTGGCAATGATTTCGATGCTTCTTATGAGTTCCATGTGTGCGTGTTTATTTATTCAACATCGTCATATGTCAAAGGTCACATTTCGATTCGGAGCAACAGATTCTCGAATGACCATCATAAAACTACTGTTGGGACGTCCCATAAATCATGTAAATCTCTTTCATAAACAAACACAACTTATTATCGATTCAAGTCCGTAATTTGTGGACAAATGAATTGTGTGAGGGTGGAACATAAACATTCCAATTAAAATTTAAAGGTGTTTTGTTTTTGCTACATTTTTTCACTCTTTTAGGACTTGACAATGTGGAGGTTTCATGATATGTAGAAATAATATGTTGTAGGTTGTGGAATCTTGCTGTTTAAAAACAACATAGCTTTATATATTTATGCCTCCGATTCAACGAGTTAGTAGAAGCAAAAAGTGAATGAAAACAAACAATAAAATTGATTTACTGACTTTGGTCGCAATGCTCTACCAACAACGGCAAAGGGTGGAAAATAAAAAAAGTAAATTTTTGCTACTGGTTTTGAGAGTTTCAGTATTTAAGTAGATAACGTTTGCTATTATTTTATCCCCTTAAAACAGACAACTACAATCGAGAAAATCCTTTTCTGTTTTCCTTTCCTGTTGTGCATTTTAATTTTGCCCATTTTTATTTAACTGGCTTTTATTGGATTGTCGTGATGCATAAATGCGGAAAGCATTTTAAGAAGCATGGCTGGCTGGTAGTTTCATTCTCCATCATTAAATCGTTTTGTCATCTCGCTTTGCTTCTGGTCATCGACGCAATTTGTGATGGCTTTACAGCAGACCATGCTTAATATGCGAACATCGTATGTCCATTGTTTTGTTATATTTTCACTAAAAGCCATTCGATTGTTTCGGATCACAACTCAGCATGAGTTTTTTTCCTTCCTTCTGTTTCACATCGAAGCGTGCGTTTTTTAATTTTCTGATCCATGAGAGGCATTTTCCATGAGGGGGAAATTTCCATGGAAATGATGATTCATACTTTCTACATGTGACCAACATTGCGCAACACCATTTGTTTGATTCAAATTACAATGCTGGGTCACTCACACTATTGAAAATTATTTTCCACACTAACACACTCGCATTTATTTATGTATTGTTTATATTTTTTCACGTTTCGCTACCATATGATGTGAAAATTTTTCTCTTATCTTTCAACCCCACACGATGGTGTCTGTGATATTGAAGTCACGAGGGGGGAATTTTCCAGTCTCTCTTCAATGTGTGGGTGTCGAGGAAAATTTTCCTTTTGCGATTTTCTTTCTCACTGTTGCAGTCATTTTTCAGCATTTCATGTAGACAGTTGAGAAAAAAAACTTTTCTTTGATAATTTTCAACTCATTATCTGAGTTCTCAAAAAGTGTTTAGTGCAAAGCAATTGAATGATTGGAAACTTTGAGCTAATAAGAAGACAATTGGAACAAAAAACTTTGATCTTTTAAATCAAATCTTTTGAAAACTTTGTGTTATAAAATCAGAGAAGTGAAAAACATTTTTTGTAAAGATTTCTCTTCATATCTCGTACGTGTAAAATTTATTTTTGTGTGTGTCTGTTCGTGATTCGAATTTGTCAAGATATTAGGAGAAAGGAACTGTGAACTTTTTGAGCCTTTTGAGAAGAATCTTTTCCTCTCTTATCAGACATTTTTAATCTTTTTGTAAGAGTTTTACTCGTGGTGACTCATCGCTTATCAGCTTCAAAACCAGGCACGAGTGGGTTGGGTTTGTACAAGAAACTTTTTCCGACCCAACTCATCCTGTTTAAACTTCTTTGAATGTGACAGCATAAAAAGGAAATCTTTGTAGAACCACTTGAGTGTAACCTTGGCAAAATCATCAAAGTGAAATCTGGTGAAAATCACAACCATCACCGTAAATTTTCTTAATGTGTTTGTGACAGCATTGAAATATTTCATCTCAGAGAACAAGAATAATTAATATTTGTTGAAAAACTGAAACGCCGTTTGTTTAGTAAAGTTTTGAAAGACTTTTTTTACGAGCAATTCTTCTGTGCAAAAATAAAGTAACAAAAAAAGGTAAGCTGAAAATCCCCGCATTAATTCAATCTCGTTTAAAACGACGTCATGACCCCGAAAATGAAAATGTACTAAGGATGAATCATCTATTGATTGTGTCTGATTTCGACATTGTTTGTTTTTGTTGTGAACTTTAAATGTTTTTGTTCGTTCGATAAAAAAAAATACAAGCAAGTAAACAAAACCAGACAAATGATAATGGATAATGGCAAGAAAAATCTACGTCATTAGTCAATGAAATCAATAGCAAAATAAGATTGGAAATTTAAACCTTAGAGAGAAAAATAAAACGAAATTAAAGTTTGCTTGTTTTTGAAAGATTTTTCCATTGCCGTCTACGTTTCATTTTCCGGAAGTAATTTGCCGAAGAGCTCACTAAAATAAAATTCATTTGAGTTGTCTTGAAGCTTGTAGCTATGAACTTTCAAATTTTCCTATCTTGACAACTAGAAAAATGTAATATCATTTATGCAAACAGCTTTCTTTTCTATTTAATCAACTCACTAAGCAATTTCCGAGCGAGCTTTTCCGTTTAGAGAAAATTTATTCGCGATTTGTTATCGATGTCATCGGAAAAGCTTACTCTAACATAACTTTTTATTTTTCGACGAAGGATTTTCCATGAAAAATTATCTTCCGACGCTTTCCCCCCGAAACAATACGACTGTGTTAGTGTGTGGAGCTGAATGAGTCATCGATGAGAAATGCGGGTATTTTCCTCTTTTTCTTTACATTTTTAGAAAGAAAACAGAATTACGCTGACTTTGTGATGATTTTTCCTTATGGTGATGTTGTATTTCTCATTCTTTTGCTCGTTTTCTCCCCTCAATAAACTATTTTTTTATGTCTCAACCCCCCGTCATGGTTTTCATATGGAGTGATGTGTGATAACAATAAAAAGCGGCAAAAATCGTATTAAGAAATGAGAATATTTTCTCCGGATGGGATTAGAAAGGATGGGAAAAAAATGTTCAAGTGAAGAAAATCGTTTAGTTAATTTGATGGTACGACAGAGCCGAATGAAACATAAATGACTTTTCATCCATAATAAAAGTGTTTATGAAAAATAAGGGGGAAAGAGAAAAGATTTCATGCATCTATGGATGGTAATTTGATGGGGAAATGAATTTGGGTTTTATGAATTTCCTTCTTATCGACCCTTGATGGTCTTGTCATCATCTTATGGCAACATCCATCCGACCACGAAATTTAATAACCAGATCAGAGATTATGAAGGAAGATTGTCAGAATTTGTGTAATCATCAGCAAGATATCATAATTGCTATCTATCTTCAGCAATGCTATGATTTTTGTCGACACATTCATATGAATTGACATCAGTTGGAAAAAATCTCTAATTGGCAGTCAATAAAGCAAGATTTTCATTTTCATACAATTTTTTATGTTGTGAATTTTTTTTTCTTTATTTGGATCGTAAAATTGTATGATGGCATTTAAGGAAGCTGCGGGCTAGCAAGCGGTAGAGTCAAAGAATGAGGCGAGGGTGGCAAAAACATTCCGGTATTTAATCGCACTTTCCCTTGCGTTTGCGCATTTGTCATTTAATTGCACACATTTAAGAATAAATTTTTGGACATTGAACAACGACAGTGATAAGAAAACGAATGATGAGAGAAAAATTTAGCCGAATAATGACTACGATGATTGCTCGTTCAATTCAATTAACAAAAGGGAACATGAACATTGCTCACTGTCATCAACTTTTCTAACAAATTCATTTTATTTCACAACTATCTGCATAAGCGAAACTTATCACTGAATCAAATAACTGTGACTGATGATGTTGCGATTTTTTATGCCACCGACATTCTTGAATATAAAAATCAACAGCGATCTGTCGTAAAGATCATGGACAAGTTTAAATATTATTTTTTTACGAAAGTAAAAGTGAGATACTTGCTGGAACACCCATTACAAGTTCACATTTCTAACATGTTTTAAGTTCATTTGGAATGTAGATAATTAAAAAAATTTCATCAAACTCTTTCATTGAACATGATTTCATTCATCACTCTCAAATCACTCTCAAATATAAACAATATATCGGATCATTTGTCAAAAAAGTTGTTAATGATACATCCAAAGAGTTAAACTATGTTACAGCTCGAATTATGTTATTTTACAAGCTTTTTGTTTCTGTAGGTTTTTTTTTTGAAATTTCTTGGTGGTCAAAGAAATCACGAATTGGTGAAAGACGATCACTTTAAAATACTTAATTTTGAAAATCGAAGGTCATGTTGAGTACCGTAAAATTATTTGACATCTTTCGTTGCATGAAATTGTTGTTGAAAGCGGTCAATATAAAATTTATTGTTTAAAGAAGATAAATTAACGAGAAAAGTTTCGCTGCCCATTGTTGATGTTTTATAATGTAGAAGTAAATTAAATAACAAGCATAGTGGTTGAACTTGTTTGAAATGTTTATTCATTCATTCATTTCATTCACATCCATCTTCGGTAATCAAATCAAAACCCTGAGTCAATCAAACGAATTTCAAACAACACCTTTGACTCTTACGAATTACGATTGTCGGGTGGATAACAAAAGCTTAAACTAAAATCCATGAAAAATGAAGACAAAAAGTCAAAACATTTTCGATAAATTATCTCATGTGTGGAAGAAATGTCATCGAAATGAAACGAAGAAATAAAAATTGTCTTCCCTTTCGAGCGACAAATTAAATTGATGATGTGAACATAAACTACCATTGAAATCAATTAGTTTCTCGAGGATTTCAAGTTGAAAGCTTGAGCTTGTAATAATTTATTTTGATCCCTTATAGCTTTGAAAACATTTTGACCAATTCTCGTGATGAACTGCACAAAGAAGACGATAACCTCAATCGTTAATGCTCCGAAAAAGTAAAAATCATAAGCACGATAAATTACAAGCGATCTCGTAGTAAAAGTAAAGTAAATGAATAGTTGCAAAAGTGTGAAGGCTACAGCAAGAATGAATTGTATGCCTTTTTCTCAGATGAACCATAAAGACATGCAGAGAAGGAGCTTCGCTTAAATTAAATCGCCCCGCAGCCAATTTCGATGATGGGAAAAAGAGATTTATTGACTATTGTTGAAGTTACTTTCAATATTGATCATTGAAGTTAATTGCAATTTCGGACTGTCAAAGGATCTTTTGAGTGTTAGGGAAGATGGAATATCGTCAAAATTTATAGGCAATGGCAGTCGTTTAGATTCGGTTGGTATCTGGGAAGCATTTATAGACTGTTTTATCCCACTTCATTATCTGTCTCATAAATTTTATGTTTATAGCAAGTGATTAAAATTATTTTGCTTATGGAACGTTTGAATCGTATTTATATTGAAGTATTTCTAGGAACTCATCCATTCATTTTTAACAGCTTAACCACATCAATTGTTTGTATTGTGTATGATATGACGACGACAGCGATGAGAACTTCACTTTTATGTTCATTGAGTTCATTTGTAACTTTATAGCCGGTCGTTCATATTTATGGAAGTTCCGGTTTCATATTGTGAATGTGAATGAAAAGCAGAATGCTTGTGGGTGGGAATTGAAGGCAAACATTAACAGGATGAGTTTTTTAATCAAAATTCAATCTGATGTTGTTGACTGATTCAATAAGTTTCTTTGCAATTTTATGAGACTACCGCAATTACATTAAATAACTTACGTATTCAATAGCAATTCGATTCTTTTAAATAAATTTCATTTCATTCTAGTTGTTTAATGCATAAATTCAAATGTCACAGATGCGATGAAACTTTAGAAGCAACCATAAGCACGTAACATTGCATAAGATCACACAATACCGTCGTCGAGTGTGGCATAAATGATTGAACATTTTATTCCGTAAACTGATATGGTTTAAAGTGTCGATGACAACAGCCAATTAATAAAAAAATACAAAAAAGTTGACAACAAATCCCTCAAGTGCCTTTATGTTGGATATTTTTTCAGCAGATAAAATATTTGAGATGAAACATCCACGTTGTCTCATTCCTCTTTCAAAGGTTTAAAATTTCACGTTCGTGTGATGAGACATCGAATACAAGAATCGACAAATTCTTATTCTCTTATTTCATTCAAATTCGCTTCTTGGTGACTTTTCCAGTTTTTTTTTAATAAAAATACGAGACAGTATGACTCTGACTCTTCGATCATATTCGTTTTCTCATTAACATGTGTTGAGAATAAATTAGATTTCGATGTTAACATTGGTCTCATCTGGAGATCTGATTTAATGGCGTGTTATATCATATAATCAGTTATAATTCATTTTTTTTCTTCTGTATCAATGTCGATGAAACATATTTTCATACTTAAATCCAATTACAAGAGTTTTATTTATAAATTTATAAAGCAATACGGATTTAATGTCGAAACAGCGAGAATTTTTTTTCCACTTTAACTAATTATAAACTGTCGATTTGATTGATGAAAAACATTAGCGATGAACATGTTAAGTTTGTTTGGCAAACAAAACTAAAGCGAAGTTTCATTCAAAAAGTTAATTTCTTATTCAAAAGCTGCAATTGAAATTAGCGTAATATCAGAGGATTTACAAAATTCCATTAAATATATCCGGATAATGGTAAATTGGTTTTTCTTTTCATAGGCGGCAAATTGAGTACTCATTTTGCGGTTATCTTCCCATGCACAACGATAATGATGGTAAAATTAAATTCTCCCTCTTCAAAAACACCTCAAAAATTGCGAATCTCTTAACATAATCTCACTTTGTGAAATTTTCCGCAGTCGTTAAATGCATGAAAATATTTTCCTTCTTTTTCATTTCCACCTTCATCAACCTAAGCAGCAGATATTTTTGGCAAAATAAAATTGAAGGAAGATAGAAACGAATGGTAGCAGCAAAGAAGCTTAATTTACTTCTGACAAAAAATAAAAACGGAAAAGAAGAAGAGAATAAAAAATTTTATACCGAAGAATTTGTGTTGCTATTGCATGAGTCATGTTTTGTAGTCAGGCGAGGTCAAATGGAATGAAAATAGAACTGTACACTCATTTTTGTGTGAGGTGAGATATAGAAAAGGTTAGACGAGCTCAACTCATTCTTCACTCACTTCTACATTTCGAATCAAGATTTGAGATTGGGTTGGTTTTTTTATTTGCTTCTTCATATCAATAATTCAATAAGAAATCTTTTGGGTCTGTTTTTAGAAGCAAGAGAATTGAGAAGAACAAAAACGAATGTTTTAAATTAAAAATTAAAATTCAGTGAATCACAAGTTGAATCAGTCTTTAATCCTTTTTCCCATTAGATAATCTTTTGTTTTTGTTCTATTATTATAAAGTTGACAAAAACTTCATCAAGATTCGCAAGAATATTTCCTCTTTCTTCATAGCATTGCAAATTGTTTTCTTTTGTTTGCTAGTTCATTATAAATTTATAAGTAAAAAGATTTAAAAGATATAAAAAGAAGGAAAGTAAGATTTGTGATTGTTTGCCTCGCAATCCTCTGCTATCGATCGGATTTTAGTAGAATGTGTTATCATGAGTAGGAAGAAAGGCAAATAGAAACCTGCAAAAACAGATTTCCGTTCCGTTTTCGCACAAAAGCTAGTCACGACTTTTGGAGAAGCTTCGTAATATTTATGCGATATACCATTGTGAAGAGAGGCTATAAATTTTCCACGGGTTTTATATAAATCGCTTATTCGCCTGATAAATATCGACAAGAGGAAATAGCGGAAAGGAAAAAGCTAATTTGATGGATGATCGAAGAACAACAAAGCAAGATAAGACGATTTTGTTTCCCTTCTTCATCTAGCAATAAGTATTCATCTATCCTGTAAGAACCGTGTAGCATATTGAACCATCCACACGTCACGTAGAAATGTAATAAAATATCCATTAAATTCTTATTTTTCATCGGCAAATGCCAAAAGATGCCGAAGTCGAAGACGGCTTTGATGAACGCCTTGCAGCATGTCACAAAAGGCGCGAAATTGAACCGACTCTTGGAACAATTGCACAATTGAAGATGGATGTAATATTGTCGTGAAAATGAAAAGAAAGAATCGAAGTAAATACAGAAAAGGGACGAATAGGGGAATGTTAGATATTAAAAGATTCTTTTGAATGCGAATCGAATCCATAATCATCGACTGGCAGCCAAACCCTAATTCAGAAAAAAAAGAAAGAAACGAAATGAAAGTTGAGAGGCAGGCAATGTTCAATCCCCAACGATTCCATGAAAAGTCCGTCAAAAGTCATTTCCATCATGTTATTTATATTTAACAAAGGAAAAGCTATTACGACTGATAAGCGAACGACGAAATGAGATGGGCAATTTATTTATTTTTCATCCATCCCGGACATCAAATGGATTTAAAGCCAACTCTCTACCCATTGATGGCATTATTAGTCTTCTAAAAATGTAACAATTTCAATGGCGTGAATAGAAATGAGGGAAGGCAGTTTATGTAAGGATTTCCCATTCATGACATTTATAATGTGGATTGGAACACTTTTATCCCCTCTTAAGCGGCCTATCTCAGATACGACACACGATGTCGTTTATTCATTGAAAGAAAATTAGAAAACGATGTTGAATAAAAGGTTTAAAAGACTCTTTAAAGTTAGCGGTAAAAAGGATTTTCTACTTTAAATTGGAAATAAAATATTTATAGGCTCGAGTGCTTTAATTTCCCACCAACGCAATTTGTTAACTTCTTAATGATTGATCTCCCGCTTCAAATTGTCACCCACAACTCTCAAGGCTTGTTTTCTTCTCTCTTCAAGATGATAAATCAAACTCATCCCAACTTTTCATTCTCCCATTTCAAAAAAGAAAAGTCCTGGCGATAACAAAAAAGAAAATTTGACGTTCGCAAAAAGTATTATTAAATTTGTTCATAATAAATTGAGGATAACTTTCGACCCTTTCAAGTTTCCTCTTCCGAAATTCTGAAATTATGTTTTGCTCAAAATTCGCCTTTTTTCATTGTCATTATTTTAGAAACTTAATTCTCTCTCATGACTCATGACAAAGGTGATTGCTTGCCTCGAAAGCTTTTCGTTTCTTTATGGAAAAATTAATGTTGTCAACGACTAGCCGAAAAAGTGAACAAAAGAAAACAAATTTAATGTCATTATTATGACAGATAATCCTGACGTAAGTCCCGGTTTTTAAGTAACGATGATTAAATGATGATGATGTTCTCTCATTTCACCTTTCATGACTGCCGTTCTCTCCCCTACACAGGAACTTTGTTTATTCTTATGCATACAATGAATAATGACGATGATTAAATTTCATAATGAAAACGTGTGCGTGGGTGAAGTTTTAGGAATAATTTTTCAGCTCAATTTTCTCTGAAAGACTTGACGGTCCTTACAAAGTTAGGTAATGAGATTGGTCAATGAAACGGCTCCCAATTTTGTCATCAACAACAACAACATACACTCTTGAGCGCTTGCTAGACTCTTAATAACAGGATGAATAAATTGTAATCACGTGCAAGTGGCGTTGAAATTAGTTCAAATCAGAAATGAGATTTACCAGTGGGGAATGCAAAAAATTGCCTCATGAATTGAAATGAGAAAAAATGTTTTTTTCCACCTTTCCCAACTCAATACTTTCTTTCCAAGGCAGTCTTTTCACAAAACACATTCGTATCACTGATTTCATTTGAAATTGTCTTTCCACAAACATTCTTTTTTATTTTCAGAGTATCGAGAGGTTTCTTGTACTTTAAATTAATTTTCAAGAAGAAAACATGGAAAAATGTTTCTCGAATTTTTCTTTCACTGATGAAAGCAGAAAGTTAAATCTTGTGGAAACGAAAAAGAATTTGATTCCGTCTTAAGAAAGAAACAGAGAGAAATTCACGGGATAATCAACTAGTAAACATTAAAACGACGAGTTTGTAATCCCATTTTCAAGAAAGCATGAAAAATCCACTTCGTTAAAAGAAAAATGTCTTCATCGTCTTTATTCACACCGGTTGCATTTATGTCCATTTATTTATTTACACTTGATGATGCTACCAGTTAGGGTGGAAGATGATGTTAAAATTGATTTAATTTTACTGCTTTTACAGTGAGAAACTAATGAACTCACGTGGAGTGAAACTGATGGAAATTAAATCCTCAACTTTTCCACTTTTATTAAGTTTCTCGTATTTCTTACTTTTACTAAAGTTGGATTTTACATCCTTGCCCTTCCATGATGTAGGACGAGTCTCGAGAGACTTATAAATTGTCTTTGAAAGGAGAAGAGTGGAAAGAAAGGTGAAGAGAATGTATTATGTTATGTTATGTCGTTAAAAAATTACATTAAAACACAACAAGTGATACATGGTAATGTGTTTTATGAAGAAGCTTCTTGTCGATAAAATGAACAGAGAAAGTGAGATCTTCTTCAACCATAAATTGAGATGAACGCCATGAAGCATGTTGCAATGGGTTAAACTAATTCCTCGACATTTATGTCGGTAGCAAAGTCGTGTTGTCACATTCTTCCTACCCACATGAGATCTTTATGAAGAATTATGCCTGATTAAGCGTCAGGTGCGAGTCGTAATTTCTATTTAGCGGACAATTAAAGTCCACAGAAAAGAAAGGAAATAAAAAAAACTTTTGTTGCTAAGCTCGACACCTTTGCACGCAAAAATAAGCTCAACATAAACGTTAATGATAACTTCAGGCTCAATTAGATTAAATTGAATTTTCTTCACCCTTGAAAGTGGCTCGAAAAAAAAGAAAGAAATGTTATAAATTAGAAGGAAGCACAACGTACAAGTGAAAGCGTTTAATGAGAAAGGCGATAAGCATTTCAGCCCCAAAACTTGTAAACTGCTCACGAAAGTCAACAACAAATAGTTTTGGCTCATTCCACTTAAAGAAAATTGGATATTTGGATGAAAACAAAGTAAAGAGTAGATTATGAAAATGACTCACATGAAATTGCAAGTTTTTGTTAGTGAAAATAAGAAAAATAAATGAAAAAGCATTTCATGATAGTGGGAAAAATGAAATAACAATTACATTAAATGCCTTAACAAAGACTTGAAAGAAAAACAACTGAAACAACAAACTTTTTCGTCGTACACCGAAATCAAGCAAAGGAAGTAAAGTAAGCGGAAACTTTTTTCCATTTACCGAAAGCAGAATTAAAGAGAAAAGTGGAAAAAAGTTTCTTCGACAATTTAGGAGCGAAAATGACTGAAAAAATCCATTAACTGCAACATCAAAAGAGCTTCGCTGAGTTGGCAAGAGATGTCAACCCTTTTTGTGTGTTGTCAGCCGAATTCACTCCTTTTTTTGGGATCCTTTGGCATTTTACTGTGGGGGTGGAGAAAAACAATAAATTTTTCCTATGAACTTATTTGAAGAGTTTTTCCAAATATTTAGTGTGAGCTATTGCTGAAACAACATTAAAGACTGATATCGTTATTAACTTTTCTCGTCTTACGATAATGTGATAAAGAATTTAAGAACTCTATTGAGGATTCATTTATTTGTTGAAGCTACTTTCGATATCTCGATTACATTACTCAGCTTTTATTTGCTTTACTTATTGAGGCGTTGTAACAGGTGCTTGAAAAAGCGGCCTTCTGTAGTCAACAAAGTCAACAGATGAAACTTTAGAAACGACAAATTGCGTTACAAGACTCTCGAATAACTTTCTTTGATCTGGATCAGATTTCCGGTTTCGTTGTTGATTTGATGATGAACAGAAAAATTGATTAAGTTGAAAGGAAATGATGTTCCATGAATTTTATTTATTTCAAAGAGTAATCCACAATTTGTGTTCTCTAGAGATGAAAATAAATAGCGAAACAATGCTGAAAGTATTTGTGTTTGCGTCACCCTCACGTTTTAAAATGTTTTCACCTCTCATCTGCAACGAAAATAAAATTTTTCACTGCCTTATTTTAATAATTGTAGCATGTTTCTGTTGTTACAATTTTTTTTTGCTTTGTCTTTTTATGGGATAATATCACTCCCCCTATTCAAGTTTAGAAGCATGCACAACATCGAAACTAGTGAAAATTTATTCGAAATGGGGTAGAAAGCGTGTTGGTACATGTCTTGTCGAGTGAACGCTGTAGAACCGACAACTGAATAATGAAGAACAGAACTGTTAAAGCGAGAGTTAGGCACATTATGATGATGAACTAAAAGAATACTGAAAGAAGAAATAAAAACAACATGAAATGGGATTCTTTTTCTAATTAGAACGTGACTAACATTTCACTTCTTTTCGCTGCATAAATTTGTTTAACAAACACTTTCCTTTCGACTTGAATTCATTTCCTTAGCGAATCAGTTTTTTAAATGCGGTAAAAATTTCAGGAATGTCTGCGATTAAGCACATGACGAGGATCAAAGTAAGTGGAGTTTCTGATTACAGACATAAGCGAACTTTAAAAAAAGAAAAACAGGAAAAAGGAAATGGAAATTTCAAGTAGTCAGCTCTGAAGCGTGTGCTTACGGAAAAGTCTTTCACATTGTTGAGTATTCAAAGTTCAAACCGAGTTGAAAAGTTATCTTAGAGAATGGCTTAATAAAATGTTACGTTACAATTGTTATCTGCTATTTGATTTACATTCTTTGTTGACTTCTGACGTAATTTACGACTTCATCCATTCATAAATGATTACAAAAGGCGACGAAAGCAGCATCATAAATTCATGAAAATTAATAATGACATTAAAGACGATGTGAATAATTATTGCGTTGGCAAAAAGGTTTTACGCAAATGAAATAGCGAGGAAGAAGTGAAAATATTCTAAAAAGGATTTTTCCATCGTCATTAAATTAAACATTTTCCGAGTGATGCTAATTTATTCCACTTTAGCGAGGCTTTTGGATGACGCAAAAAGGAGCGTTTTTAATACCTTTTCCACTCATTCGGCCCCCGGCATGTGGCATTTGAACTCACAACCCTGGAAGTGGAAATATTTTCAATGTTCCATAAACATTCGCATTCTAATTGCTAAGTTTTGGTTTCTATTGTTTGGTAGACTAAACGACCATTCGCCTTTGCCCTGCTCCCATTCATTCATTTTTCTTACATTTTTTTTCTGAAACACGATGAACAAACGACGATAGCAGAAACTTGAGAATTTACAACCGATCCATAAGTACAACTTTTCAATTTAATGTTCTTCTTCTTTCTTTTGTGAATCTTCTTAATATATCTTTCCCAAATGGAAGGAAATTAAATTTATTGCATCATAATAGGCCTCAACAACTTTCATCTACCGTATATTGTCACTACAATCTATTGTCTAGCGGTTCCTGGAGCAGTGTTTCTGTCAGGGATTTAATGTATACTTCTTTAACTCCCGAGACTTTTTCTGTGAACAAAAGGAATGATTTATGATTTTCGGCAGTTTTTCCACCCCCACAAGTATCACTTTTCTTATATCATGTTTTTTCCCTTTCCTAGGAATCTTCCATAGAGAACAAAGAAACTTTTTTATATTAAGAAAAAGGCAATAAGCTGTAAAGCTGATAAAGAGTTGATTTTTATGTTTTATGAAATTCTTTCAACAATGGTTTTCGGCCTTTTGTTCCGTAACATAATCAGAAAAAAAAGGGAGAGCAAGGATAGAATAATTTGTTGCATTCCAATTAAATTCTCAAGAGGATGAAATTCTTTAGCTCCACGTATGCGGTTGCGTTCACTGACAGAGTGAAAAATTTTTACCAACGTGACTTTAAATTTTTCTTCTATCATGAAAATTTTAAGTTTTCTTTTCAGAATCTTGAAATCTCATCTCGAGACAATTTTTCCCCCCGTTTTTCAGCTTACATCATCATTCACCGGGACTACAACAAGGATAACATTTTTTTTTGTTGCTCGCAGAAAATTGCTTGATGGAAGAGAAATGAAAATTCTTTCCCGGGTTTTCCTTTAATATAAAAATTAATATTTCATATTTACTGCTTTCTTTCTTCAAACTTCAATGGTGCTTCGCTTTCAAATTATGGGGAATTAAAGACTTCTTTGCATTATCAGTTGGAAGAGAAGACAAAACTCCTTGAGGGTCTGAAGAGAGGAAGAAACCACTCGTAGATGAAACTACGAAGGATTCTTGAAAATGAAAGTTGAACACTTAAACACATTTTCCGAGCATAATCCCAGTGTGAGTCATAAACAACACGAAAGGCACAGCAGCACCTAAAAGGCATTAAATGTTTGTGAATATTTTATGAAAAGTAAGAAAACCTGGAGAAGAATCAAGAATTTTCCACGATTGAGTTTTCCACTCCATTTTCCATTTACATGGAAATAAAATGAGGAAGAGACGAGGGAAACATTTTCTTATTTATTTACTTCATGAAATAATCTTTCATCCACTCTAAGCTTCGAGCTTCGTTGTAAAATCAATTTTCCGAATTCACCATCAACATAATTGTCCCAAACGTCTTTATTTGTCGTCAAAGATTGTCATTTTCTGGCGTGAACGTTAAGTGTTTACTAACAGATGGAGAAAATTAAAGTGGGAGCAAGTTGAGGAGTAAATTCAACCCAAACAGTACTTGCTGTCAGCGACTGAACAGCCCATAAATCTTCGCGAAAACCATTCGCATGGATCCATGAGCTTATTTTTAACGTCGCAATTTCTTTCACTCCTTCCATGTCTGAAGCCATTTTTTAACGTTGAAAACTTTTCTTTTGTTATAAATGGAAATAAAATTTAAATTGAGTTTTTGATATTTATTAATATTTAAGCTTGATATCAACATTTATTATCTACTTTCAAACTTTCTTCTTGATATTCTCTAAGAGCTTGTCATGTTCATTATTAAATTGTGGCAAATAAACTTTGACAGATGTCACTCAATATTTAAATAAGAAAATTAAAAGTAAATTTACTTTGAGTTTAGATCAAAGAACTTCTGAAGATTTTTTTAAGGTTTCTGGGGCGGGCGAACTCATAAAAAATTCAAAACATATTTCATGGCCTGAAAAATTCCTTCACTGCGTGATTCAATACACACGCGGCATTTAAATTCTACAATGAAAACAATCAAAATATATTTTTCCATGTACGTACGACGTCGACAAACAAAATGAAATCGAATTGATTCAACCATAAATTTTCGAAGCATAAACTGCGATTGAACCATCTCTGATTGATGGAATTCTAAGATGTAAATGAAGAAAAACGAGAAGCTGACAGCATCAGGAGATCCCATAAACAAAGCGGGAGTAAATCTTATTTCATTCCATTGAATGGTGAACAAACATGAAATTTATTAAGAAGAATAAAATTTACATAATTTATGCAACACAACATACTTTCAAAGCTTGTATCATGTATGCATGTTCAATCGATGAAAACATAGAAGAAGAAACAGAAGCAGGAAGAAATGTTTTGGGCCTTTCTTTTATTACTTTATCCTTTTTGATAGCGGGAGATTTCTCAAAGAGATATCGAAGGCCAGCTCTCAATGATTCCTTCGTAAATCTAGAAAACCATAGAGTTTATTTGTTTAATATTATTTATGTGAGGATAGCAACATAAATTGCGTAACTTGGATGAAAATATCTCCTGAAAAAGGTTTCTTTGGAACCAATAAGCTTTCGTTTTGTTAGATTTAATTGGAAATATTTGAACAAACACACAATTCACGCAATTGAAAGCATCGCCGATGTTTTCTTCGAAGCATAATTTTATTAAAAAGTTTCTGACGCAATAAGGCTTATTTTTATTATTACATAAAACCAATAAAAATGACGGTAGAAAAACGACATTAAATTCTTGTTTTCACATTTTAAGCTCGACATAACTCTCGAAATATTCCCAACTTTCGCATCCTTTTCATCTCCCCAATTTTTTATGTAAAATCGCTCTTTGATGCCGTGTTACACATGAAAATAATGTGGCTTTTATGATTCAAAAAGTAAAGAAAGAAAAATACAACCAAAAAGGTTTTCTGCAATATTCCCGTCGTTTTCATAGGGAGCACAAGAATGGAAAAGAAATAAAATGTAAATATTTGCTTATTTTTGCATTTAAAAGAAATCCATTTTATCATGAGGATCATCATATTTAACGGGGAGTTGAGAGGGAATTGTGCGTGTTGATCCTGTAGAGTTGTTACGGGAGTTCTTTCTTTTGTCAAAAAGCTTTAATATTATTCAAGGATCCTTTGAAGGTTTCCTTTTTCGACGGCAGGAAATGACTTCTTCTTGCTTTGTTATTCATACTTTCTTCACAATGTCACCTTTATCGTATTTTCAATTTTCATGACGATGAGAAATGGCAATGAACAAGGTAACGAGTGGAAAAAAAAAGCCAACAGCAGACCACCTGCGTTGTTTGTCTCGTTGAAACAATATCAATCCCTTCTCGTGTCGTCTCGAGTCGGAAAATGAAGAATTTCATTCTATTCTTGGAATTCATTTGCCTTAAAAGAATTCCCTCATAGTCTGATAAATAATTTTGATGATTGTTGAGAAAATGGGAAGAATTACTTTTTGTTGGCCCTACAACATTTTCCGTCAATCTTCAAATCATAAAAAAAGAAAATTTCTTCAATAAATTTCAGTAATAAAAAGAAAAACAAAAGGAGCGAAAGACTTTCAGAGATTGCAAAAGTTTACATTTTGTTACCGTTTCATCCCTTAAGAAGGAAAGTGGGAGAATCAACGAGAACTTAAACACTTGCAAGTAATATTCCACAGATACCAAGAAAAAGTGTTTTGGCATTTGAATATTTTATGATATCATTCGCTTAATAAAAGTTTTTCATTCGGTTGCGTTCGAGTAATGCTAAATGATTTATACGTCGACTCCTGCTTTGGTGCTAAAACGCCGTTTATTATTTATGGAATCTTGTTGGAATTATGTGAATTATGAATTTTGCCATTCAAATATGAAAATGTTGATAGCACGTTTACTTCAGAAGTTGGCAGGGATTAGGAAAACTCCTTTCATTGTGTTTTGGGGAACTTTCGTTTCAAGATGCTGCATGTCGTCTCGACTATCAACCTTCCATTCAAATGCACAATAAAATGCTTTCCTATTTCATTTTCCACACCTTCATGTCTTTTTCCAAAGCCAGAAAAAGGATTCATTTTGATAAATATTCATTCAAATCCCCACCAATTTTTCACACTCTCACCACTGCTGTTCACTTTTACAATTTCGATTTAACTTCAGGCGAACGTGATTTCAATTTAAAATTCAACAAGATAACATCGATGAGATGATATTTATCACCTGATAATCCGAGCATGTATTTTGTTTAATTTTATTAAAATTTCGTCAGAGAATCCCACGGCATTAAATGGAAATAAGTTTGGAATGATTAAATAAACGTCATGATTTTGCTTGTGATCGTTCTTCTAATAGACGAAAGTGATAAATAAAAATCAATTCGCGTGCTTCTTTTAATTTTGAAGGGATTTAGAAAAAGTTTCTAGAAGAGAACATGAAAAGTTTGAATGGCAAGTTGAATTAAAATCCTTCAGGTTTATCGCGAAGGGAACGAAAACTCGCGACAGCTCGTTTGGAAAATTCACAAATGCGATTTTCAATTTCACTTCTCTCGAATAGAATGCAAATTGAAGTTAAGGTTGGAGTGGAAAATACAAAATAAAACTTTTCAAATAATCCGAGTAGCGCAAAAAAAAACTGAAAACTTTTGTGTGTTTTCCCTCTCGGCTGTTTATTTCATGATGGATTTTCATTTCGTCATTTCATCGGATGCGGGAAGAGTCGTAAGCGATTTTTGGGGAAGAAAGCATTAAATAACGTTTGAAAGGTTCGAGGGAAGATGTGCCCGCATGTCGTTGTACTGGTTTCTGAGAGGCCCCAAGGGACCAATTTAGGAGAAATTGAAAAAAAGCGGAATTAATCCGGGACAAAGTTTCCCCAAAACTTCCAACTCAGAGAAGAGCTTCAAATAATTACTTCTCTCAAAAATTTAATTACCTAATTAAGTTTATGAATTTTATGAAGAATCACGAAAAAGCACTCAATTTTCTTTTCCGCTTTCTTTTTTTTAGATTTCCGTCTGTGATGACTACTCGCTGCCGTTCGATTTTATCAAGAAACGACCGTCCAGTTTTGATCCAGGTTTAGCTGAATGTTTACCAAATAATTGGCCTTCACCATCATCGGAACATGTAAGTCTGCCATGATATTTCGTTTGTTTGTTTTTTCGTTACATATTTATTAAAATGGGATCATTATACAAATCAGGCAAACGAAAACAAATAAAGTCCTTCAAGCAAAAGTTGTTTACAAACATGAACTTTATTTTGTAACTAACGAAACAGCAAAAAAAAATTGAAACTTTTTACACAACAAAGATTCTTCAGAGACAACATCCGAAAGGGAAATTGTAGAAGAAGTTGATGCTTGTTAGGTGAAAGTATTTCTAAAAAGATGAAGTGAATTTAATCCTTATTAACTTTTTTATATTTTCACAAAAGAAGTAAATCTACTTACGTCTGATTTACATAAATTTGCTTTACAAAGCGAGCGACTTTTATTATTTGTTCAATGAAATATTTATTCTACGATTAGAAATTTCATTCATAAGCAGTTTTACGTTCTATTGTATGCTTAGATAATTGACTTTTCAACTTCAGAATATTTTAATCCTATGGAGATATGCAGAATGCCAAGCAGCACTTTCAGATAAATCAAAATTTGTCAGTCAAAGTCTTTGATTTTTCCACTTGATTCAGCTTCAGATTTCTTTTATTTTTTTGTTTGTTTTTTCGCTTCGAAGGCATTTCTAATATTCTTCAAAATAATAATCCGATGTTTCTTTTTTCGCCCTTAAGGCGCTTACAACCCTCGCCTCTGACTGAGAGTTGTATTTTTTTGTTGATATTTTGACTAGTAATCTTCTCATTCCATTGTTCAAATATTCTTAATAGCATCATTTATGAGCGTCACAGGCACCGTTTATGATCCCTTCATACTTTCATCCCTTTTTTTGGCCTCTCAATTAATTCATAAACAATCTCCAAAACTCCGCAACAACATCACACTTGAGAATTTTCAATTAAATCCTTATATTTGCCTTGGAGAACAATACAATCTAGAATATTTATTTAGAATCTCAATGAGCTGTTGGGGAAAGTTTCTAAGCGAATAAAGTGCCACTACGAAACAATGCGAGAGATATGAAACATAATAAATTATTCATACTCGCATAAATATCTCGACGTGCATAAATGAAATTATTATTAAACTGTCGAATGAAATCATTTTGCGTAATCTCTGAAGCCAGCTCAAAAATTATTCTCGTTACTGATTCGATTCGCTGTATTTAAATGAACTTCCCACTGTGCTGTACAAATAATTCATCGCGTAAGCATCACAAGTTACACACAATGTACGCTTAAAATCAGCACAAAAAATCAAATTTTTGCGATATATTTTAATGCGTACACCGATAAGCGGATATTTGGAGAGAGAGAAAGAAACAATGTTGGTGATTTAGTTGAAGGCCATAAAGCTTTCCATTTTCTGTTGTGCGAAATTGATTTTTCTCTCGGGGGTCGAACAATGGACGAGATGGATAAATAAAAAGTGAAATAATCGTAATAATGAACAAAATGTGATATCAAATAATTGTAATCACATCGAAAAAATCTGTGGAACATTAAACATACATTCCCGACATGCTCCATCGATTCATCCCCCTTCTCTTAATCAAGTAATTTGAACGAACGTTTTCTGTATTTAATTATTCTCGCTGCAGGAGAGGAATCGACTTTCATGTTGTTAGCCTTTTTGTGGTGTTTGCACACAATCGTTTCTCGATGTTTTTTTATTATTCATTCAAGCCACCACCTATTTTGTGACTCTTTAACATCCTCCCTCATTTTTCAATATCTGAAATCAACCCCAAAGAGTTTTTCCACAGTTTCCACTTGAACGCTCTTCGACGGCATAAATTAAACGATCTCGTATCATAATACTTACCTTCCATGTCTTTTTTCCCAATCTCTCATACATAAATCTTCAGCATTGTGTTGGGGAATCATTTGTCATGTTTTGTTACGCAAACATGAACAAAACTTTAACATTTTTTATTGTCTCGTTTCGTTTACTTTAGGTTACTTTTCTAGATCAACATCAGCAACATCAACACTTTCTACTACAGCAATCAGCATTGCAAATAGAATTTCCGCAGCATCAGCAGCAACATTTCGAGATACCAAGTCGTCATTTAGAAGAGCCTCAAGCACCACAAGGTTATATTGACGAGAGTGGTAACTTGTGTTTACTACAAACAGCAGAAAGAGTTGACAGGCCAAACAAGCAATCATCATCTCGACACGGAACACGCGAAAAGACTCGACCATCTCAAAAACGACGCAAGAAGAAGCGAGTCAGACAACAAACGAAGAAGGAATTTGGTAAATAAATTTCATGATTTTGTTTTTCCTTGTGAAATCAGAAAAAGTTTTTCTCTTCATCAATTGAGTTGCTTGATTGAAGGTTTTTTGGGATGGAAAGCTCATGAATTTTGATTTAAGTTTTCCAATAAAATCTTCGTTTTTTATGTAGTTTTTACATGTCAAAAAGCTTTTTAGGAAACCCTTCTTTACTCTACATATACATAATAATAAATTTATAAGTTTATGTGAGTAAGCTTTTATGAACAATGAAGTAAAGAAGCTTTCAAGCCTACGAAAACTTTTTCCGTTCAAGAAAGAGCTTTTGGGTTAAATTATTGAGTTAGATAAGACTTTTGAAGTATCTTTACCGAAAACCTTAAATAAATAAAAGAAAAAACCTTTTTCGAAATCATAAAACTTTTATATAAAAATGTCCTCAAAATATTATTTTCAATCGCTCTGACTCGCCTTTTTAATAATCACAACAGATTCATCTGTGCCAAATTCATCGGAAAACGAAGACGAGCGAATTCCATTTAATGAAGGAAAAGTGCCAGAATTAAATTCACCAGACAGTATTAATGACGATGTTTTGAATCGTTTGGAAGCTTTCAAAAGTCCAAGACGATTACAGACAAGTGAACGTTGTAAGACAAGCCCGTCACCATATTATTACTCAGATTTGTTGCATAAGAAGACGACAGAAGACGAACTTCAAGTTGAAAGAGCGCAGCTGTTTGCAAAACATACAAAGACAGTTGTTGATTCCATAAAAAATAAAGAACTTGCATTTAAGGAACGGAAAAGCAACAGCTTAGATAATCCAGCAGCTGACAAAGTTGTCACACCACCGAAGCGATATTCAATCACTGAAGAAGGTGTACGAATAATCCGTTGTGACTCACCATCAACGACAACTTCGGATGATTCTGACTGCTCTGAATGTCAAAAGCGACGTGAGTGGCATTCACACGCATTAGCTGTTGTTCGTGCAGCAACTCAAAATTTACGCACGCAAACATCAAACGATGTCGAACCGGAAGTTTATTACCAAAACAGTTTAGTGTCTCAAATGCCTCAGAATCGATTTCTCGATCATCCAGTTATTTGTGCATGTGCACCGAACTATGTTGATGATGGCGATGATCAACTTTTTCAACCTCGCAGCATCTTTTATGTTCATCAGCAAGGCTTCCAAGGATGTGCCGATTGTAACATAACCAGCGACGACAGACTTAAAGCCTTGATCTTCGACGAAATGAATGTACGACAGAGAAAACTTTATGAAACCGCCTTTGATTCAAAAATCGCCAAATCCGATGATGACCTTGATGAGGTCGATCGAATCACAAATCATTCTGTGAGCTTATTTGGCAATGAATATCGAATGGTGACGAGTCAAAGCAAAGATAGTTTCATTTCGCATAAAGAGAAACGTTATCGATCGAAACACAATAAAAAGCTTCAAAATAACAATAACAACAAACAGAATGTTGAAGCAGAAGAAACGACGCTTATAAATGAAATAGAAAAAATAAAAATCGAAGAATCGATTGACAACATTGTGAACGCTAATGTGCCCGCATTACCAGCAACTAATACAGCTGCTTATACACCGTCACCACCCTCAACCGCCCCATTGCCTTTGAAATTCCCGACAAAGCACGAGAAATTCTTCATCAATAGCATTAAGAGTGCTCCAAACTTGCCAGCTTCAAATGCACTCCAACATCCACGCTTGAAAGACTTACGTGGCTCTGAGAAGAGCGATGCAGGAAAAGAACGTCCTCGTTCAGTTATAATAGAAGCCGGAAGAGTTTTTGAGCTTAAAAGAAGCCATTCAGGTCGAAATTATTCATCGACTGAGAGTATGGCAACGTCGAGTAGTGGTGGAAGTATGGAGTCAATCAGGTCAAGTACGAGCGAAGGAAATCGAAGTACAACAAGCACCGAGTCACGTCATTCATCATCTTTGAGCTCACACAGTTCCGATTCAGGTCCGAGTGTTGTTCGACCGCTTCGAGCTCCAATAATCATTCATCCGAAACTTCAAATTCTCAGCCCAATCTCCGATAAATCAGCACAAGAACCGGTTTCTGAGAATGGTGAAAATATGAAGATTCAATCGCCGAAGCAGACACCAGACGAAAACAGTGAAAAGATAATTGAAGACAATATCGACAAAGACAATGTGAAGCAGAAAAAGCGGCCGACAAGTAAAACACTTTTGTTGATCGGACGTGACGAGATTCAAGGCAGTGACAGTGGCATTTCACTTCATTCTCGTGATGAAAAAGGAAAGCTTAGTGCATTATGTGATAACAAAGTTGACAATGCAACGGGACTTCCGCAAGATTTGAAAGATCTTCCGTTTGATATGCCAAAGTTAAGACGAAGAAGAATTCTTTTGAATCAGGTAAAAAGAGAAAGTTTTAAAACGTTTAATTTTTATATAAATTTCTGATTATTCTTAAAGAGTTCTGGCGGGTCTGGCAGTGCAACATCAGTTGATTTAGGCGATCTTCCATTCGACATGCCGAAGTTAAGGCGTCGAATGCGTGTTGGTGGTGTTAATCTTATATTACCAGCAAACATATCCAATAACTCAACAACAAATGCACTTACAACTAACAATATTAATAATACCATCAACAATAATTTAAGCACTGACACGAGCGGTGTTTCACAAGCATCATCGAGTCAATCTGTACAAGATGATCGGCCTATCATGGGTGAGTTGAACATGAAATGCATTATGTTGTTGTATTTACTTGTTAATGGCAACGTTGATGATGATGACGATGCTGTTACAATGTGAAATTGCTTCTCATCTGCTTTTATTTATCTGTTAATGATGGGCGAGAATTGAAATGCTTGCAAAAAAATCTCCCAGAGTTTGATGATGGAGAACATTCTTTAATTTTCCTTTTTATTTGTTGCGCAATAATCATTTGTAAATATCCAACACAACTTTGTGCGTTCCCTCCCATCTCGAAAGGAAAAAATAGAAGCGAAGAAGAAAAAAGACTGAAAGCTTGTAATCACTAAATGAAATTGAAATGTTTCGAAGCAACTCATGTAAAATTAATGCGCAAAAAATATTCAACAACTCTAATCGTTTTTATATTAATTAAGAGTCCGATTGTTTCACAACAAAATCAGTTTCGGCTTTTTTTTATCCAGTTTTGTTTTCATTGGTTTAATGTATCGCACACGACATGAATTTACACACGCGGGACATGTCGGTAACGAGCTTAAGCACGAGAATTCATTAAAATTTCATTTAACATGCGTTTCATGATTTGTGTTTCTGATTTCCCATCTACTTTGGTGAAAAGTTTTCGCAGTGGGTGTTTCAATGTCCATAATGTGCGGAAAAGTTTTCCATTCACCCTCGAAATTTGGACAATGTATAAACATCAGCAAATACTTGTACTCGACATGAATTTCTCTTGTTGGTTTTCAAGAAAGTTAACAGATGCATTGTTGACCACACATCGAATATCGCCAACCATCGAGAATTGAAAAATCACATAAATTGATATCGAATGTGCTTGAAAAACAAAAAGTGCTGCACCCGACACCATCTGTGGTTAATGACTCAAATCTCGGCAACATATATCTACAAACTCTCGGCCACTTTAAATGGTCTTTCCATTGTTCTCGATTATTTATTTATATTTTATGTTAAAACCAATTTCCGCTTCTTTCTGTTGCCGCGTCAGTTTCAATTCGAAATTTTCCGAGTTGAAGTGGATGGAAAAGAAGAAAAGTTTTATGTTTCACTTGCAATAATCCCGCCCACAACATGTATCATGTTTTTTCAACTGATGCATAATTTAGAAGAGATAACTCTCGTTCCTCTTTATCAAACATCGTATCTGGTTAGTTAGTGGAATGTTTGAAGACCACCTGAGTCAGGAAATTTTCCCGAAAATATTCCCAATCTGAAAAGTAGGAAAAAATAAGAAACTTTACCGTAATATGCGGGGACAAATTTAGATACTTCGCTTCTCATTAAATATTTATGAAATTTGTTTGAAGTTTGTTTTCCTATTCACTTCAACCGAATGAAAACATCAAGAAAAACAGCAGAGAGAGAAATTTTCATAACAATTTCAATCAATTTTCTTAATCGAGGAAAAAATAAATTAATTTTTGGTTTCTCTTAGGTGGAGGAGTCTTCCGTCAAAATTTGACGTTAAACTTAAACGACACAAAGTCAGCAAAAACAAAGAAACCTTTTGGAACTTTAGACTTACATGGATTGACAGATACTGGAAATTTGAGTGCTCGATCATCGGGTGGGATAAGCTTCAATGCTGGTGGCTTTAATCGACTTAACATGGCTTTAATTGACGATACGATTCCGCTTGAACGACAAGGGTAAGTGAAATGAAAATATTTAAATTCGAAAGAAGATTTTTCAATCCGAGATAATTAATTTCATGTGTAATTGAATTTTAATTAAAAACCCCCCAAAAACTTTTCACAGATGGTATCACGGTGCGATTACTCGTATCGATGCTGAGAATGTTTTACGACAGTTGAGCGAGGGAAGCTTCCTGGTGCGTAATAGCGAGTCAGCGAAGCAAGATTACTCATTGTCATTGAAGTGAGTGTTGATTTTGTCTTCAAGGCAGATTACAAAAATTAATCAATTAAACTTTCCGTCTATTATTTTCCTTCCTGTCAGGAGTGCCAAGGGCTTCATGCACATGAGAATTCAACAGCAAAACGATTCCGGCGAATATATCTTGGGGCAGTTCAGTCGACCATTTAAATCGATACCAGAAATGATTCGCCATTTTTGTCTTAACCGGTTGCCGGTTAGAGGCGCAGAGCACATGTGTCTCCTTGAACCTGTCATTGCACAGTTGTTGTAAATTCATCTTTGTAGTTGATGAAAGAAGCTTCTCATACATGTCGACAAAAGACGAATGATAAAAGTCCATTAATGTCGACGATGAGAAAAGAAATCATTAGAATTAACAGCAAAATATAAAAGTCAGACTACTTCATAGATTTTCCACAACATAAAGCATTGTATAATAAACGAAAATGGATAAAATGGAAAGTGGAAGAGAAATATCAACAAGAGAATTTGTTTATCACATAAAAATCAATTTTTATTATATGACTGACAATAAGGTAGTCGAAGAGAAGAGATTGAAATGTGCGAAGAATATGTTTCTTGTCTTCTTCATATCTTGTCTTTATGGTGTTTGTTTGATGGAATATTATGGGAATTGCTTGTACGTCAGTTATCTCAAAAATTGTTTTTATCTATCATAAAAGAATTATATAATCTCATATAATCATTTCTTAGATATGATTGACGTGTAAATCAAATTTTAAATTTATTCTCTTTATATTTTCAACAAAGAAGCTTCTAGGTACTCATTCAAGTGAAATTAATTCTAGTTTAAAGCTGTATAAGAAGGAAAACGAAGCCATTCAAATTTAGTTCAAGGAACTTTGCGCAAACGATGTCAAAATCAATAGAAATGAGTGAAGAATAATGAAAAATCATTAAAAGCTTGTTGTCTGACTTAAGCACTTCAAAGAGCATAAATACATTTAATTAGATCACTGACACATAGTTCCCAAAGACCGCATTCGTTTTCCAACTATCTATAAGAATATTTTCATGTCATTTTCTTTAATGTTACTTCCTTATGTTCATTTTCTCATTAAATTTCCCTTTCTCAAACATCCCTCCTTCCAGTTATAGAAAAGCCAAATGTGATAGTAGACTTTAGAGTTTAAATTTAAAAAAAAAGTGGTTTCTTAGAGACACAAAAAAAATAGGGAAAAGTTTGGTGGGGGAGAAGAAGAAGAAAATTTAATTGTTTTCCTTTTTCTCTATTTTCATTGTGTTAATATTCTTATAGCGAATTTTTTCAACGTTTGTGCAGATATTTTTCTTTGAAAAACTTTTTCTTTTCTGATCTTAACTGGTCTTGCATTTTAATTACTTACAATCTTCAATTAATTTCCTATTGAATTTTTTTTTTCTTATTCGCCATGGCGATGAATGTAAAATGTTGAGATTGGGGCGCCAAATTGCTTGCTTAAACATCCACAAATATAAAAAATACATAAAAGTAAACGAGTCGAGAATGAATCTGGCAAACTTATTCATACAGGGACATGACGTGCAATTTAAATTACTTTCATGTACTCGAACGTTTCCTTTAACTGTGCAATGCTTCGAGGCCTGCCTTTAATTTCATCCAATCTTAAGTAGAAAAAATTCTTATTGATTTCTTGACGAGTAAATCTCAGACGGAGTTTCATTTATTTCAATTTTTCATCCCCGAATTTTGAATGTAAATAACTTTAAAGATGATGATTAATCGTATACTCCCTAATATTTGAGTATTGCATTTGTAACCTTTGTCTCTTCTTCACCCTTCCCTCGGGAATCTTTCTTTTTGCTCCCTTTTGGATGATGTTTATTGTGAAAAAATGAAAGTTATTAAACGAGAACAGATTCCCTTAAATATATTTAATCAAATGATGAAAAATATCTCAACAATTTATACTCTATGAATATTCTTAAACAGAGAATGAAAAAGCACTTAGAAGCAAAATATTTCTTTCATTCTTAGACAAAAATATGTAACAATGAAAATTATTTGTACATGATGATGAGAGCCTAGATGAGAAAATTGTTTTGAACATTTTTCAGCAAACAAGCGAAAGAAGAAAGACAAAAAAAAATCTTAATAATAATAAAAATTTGTCGTTTTTGCAACGAAACATTTTCACAATCTTAAAAGCGCGTTAGGCATGGCACAAAATTGTAATTGTTGCTATAAGAGCTCGTAAAATTATGATGAACATTGGTGAGAAGTAAGTCAAAGTGTGAAGGATTAAATTAATGATGGTATCCCGCAACACATATTTGTTTAACGACTAATTAAAGATAATTTATTACTCATTGTGTACAAAGATAAAAAAGAAGAATTACAAATCTAAGTCTTGTAACATGTCAAATGACAGACATACGAAGCCTGTAGAGTTTCTATTTTTGAGCCGTTAAAAAGCTTAAAATAAAATTGTGTAATAAAATAAATCCATGCATATTGTAATGTTGTCATCAGGATAATGAATGATAATAAAAAAGACGATTGCCAGCATATAAAATATCATATGTGTCATCATTTTCAAATTAAACCCTTTAAATTTCTTTTTCAGAAATCTTTTCATCAATCAAAATCTTAAAGAAAAATTTATTTCACAAAAATTTGACTTTATTTATATCATTTGTAATAAATCATTTATAATTTACGTAACGACAAGTAAATAAAATATCTATGAGAGAAGAAATTCAAGAAAATTGAGATGTTGGTATTTATTCTTGCATCAGAATAAAATTTCTGGTCTCATAAATTCATCTTATTTTCGATTGAGCGAACTTTGCTTGCTGCTGCGTTGGCATCGTGATGTTTTATGATTTCGAAGTGAGACATCTTAAATATTTTATTTTATAATTATCTTGATACATCGCTTTGGCATTAATAGCTTTTTATTAATTGCAGCTGTAGGTTAGTCATGGCGAATTCAATTTGAATTTATCGCGCATACGAGATGAATTTAATTGAATTTGAACATGTTCGTGTCTTTTCTTTTAATTTTTTTTAGTAAAAATCTTAAATAACCATTAGTAGAATTTTTTTTATGCGTTACAAACAACAACAACGAAAATAAAAATGTTTGTGCTTCCATCAACATCGAGAACAAAGGAAAATAACCGAATGATTTGAGAGAGAGAATTAAAAGATGTTTAAGCCAAGAAAGTTGATCGTCAAAGGCAGATTTTGTGTGCATTAATTGTTCGGTTAGTTTTCGTGGTTGAGATTTGAACTGTTTAGAAGCATTTGCGGTGAACAATTCCTGGGCCAGATTCGTCATATTCTTGTTTGCTGATCCACATCGTTTGGAAGGTGGAAAGTGAAGCCAAGATGGAGCCTCCGATCCAGACTGAGTATTTACGTTCTGGTGGAGCGATGATCTTGATTTTGATGGTCGATGGAGCCAAGGCAGTGATCTCCTTTTGCATACGATCAGCAATACCAGGATACATTGTGGTACCACCCGAGAGAACGGTGTTGGCGTACAAATCCTTTCTGATATCAACATCGCACTTCATGATTGAGTTGTAGACGGTCTCATGGATTCCGCATGATTCCATTCCCAAGAATGAAGGCTGGAAGAGAGCTTCTGGGCAACGGAAACGTTCATTACCAATGGTGATGACTTGTCCATCAGGCAACTCATAAGATTTTTCAAGTGAAGTTGAAGCAGCCGCTGTGGCCATTTCTTGTTCAAAGTCCAAAGCAACATAGCACAACTTTTCCTTGATGTCACGAACAATTTCACGTTCAGCAGTTGTTGTGAATGAATATCCACGTTCAGTCAAAATCTTCATGAGATAATCAGTCAAGTCACGACCAGCAAGATCGAGACGAAGGATGGCATGTGGCAAAGCGTAACCTTCATAGATTGGAACAGTGTGTGAAACACCATCTCCTGAATCCAAGACGATACCAGTTGTACGACCGGAAGCGTAAAGTGAAAGAACAGCTTGGATAGCAACATACCTGGGAAAATTAAATATTTAAATTATCAGAAAACTTTTCAAACTTTCAAATGTCTTACATAGCTGGTGAGTTGAAAGTTTCGAACATAATTTGAGTCATCTTCTCGCGATTAGCTTTTGGATTCAATGGAGCTTCAGTCAAGAGAACTGGATGTTCTTCTGGTGCAACACGTAATTCATTGTAGAAAGTGTGATGCCAGATCTTTTCCATGTCATCCCAGTTGGTGATGATTCCATGTTCAATTGGATATTTCAATGTAAGAATACCACGTTTGCTTTGTGCTTCATCACCAACGTATGAATCCTTTTGTCCCATGCCGACCATCACACCTTGGTGGCGTGGACGGCCTACGATTGAAGGGAAGACAGCACGTGGTGCATCATCTCCAGCAAAGCCAGCTTTGCACATTCCTGATCCATTGTCAACGACAAGTGCTCCTGCATCATCATCACACATTTTGAAAGTTCAAATTTCTATTTAATTAAAGCAAATTTATTTCGTATTTAATTATTAAAATTTTAGTCAGCGCTTTTTATACGAAAGAAACACAATTAATACTATGAAAGATTATTTTTCACGCTTTGTTTTTCTTAACTGCTCAGAAGGAAATGTTAAGATCTTAATAGTAAGCGATAATCCATAAAATATTCACGCTAATCTCGATACATTTTGTCATAAATCATTTCTAATCAGACATAATGATAAATATTTCGTTTTTTCTTTACTATTTGTTCGTTCTCCCTCTCGCAATATTTATGAGAAAGGTTTTCACTTAATGGCACAAATTAATAACTCACATTAATCAAAGGTCGACGGAAGAGAATAAAAACACCAAGTTGAACTCGCGAAAGTGTTGATGGCTTAAAGCACAAAACTCGAGTACATCTGCTGGCGAGAAATTCTAGCGAATTTATATACTTTCAGCTCACACAAAAAAAGAACAAATTTATGCAAATGCATAACAAAAAATAATTCGCTCACTAATATTTTTATACAATTAAGAATTTGACATTTATTTGAGATCGCGACATCTTTTCATGTGTATTGAGATTTGAGAGACATTTAAGAAAATTGGAAGTGATGTGAAAGTGATTAGATCTGTTCATGTAAATATACCTAATTATGTGAAGTTTATTTAGGATTCGAACCTGAATATTTAATTTTAGTCTGCCGAAGAGTTCATCTAGATGAAAATTCTTTATTTGAATGTTTAAATGATCATTTATTTCAAAAGTAACATCAGGAAGCACAATCTGCCTACAAAGCATTTGTTACAAATTTTCCAATCTATAATATCCTCTGAAAAGTAATTTTAAGAAATTCAATAAAACGGAGACAGTTAAGATAAATATTTGAAGACAGAAAAAATGCAAGCATAGAACAAGGGACGATGTGATCATCAACATATTTTATTTTCTATCACAGCATTTTTAAATCAATCTCACATGATGTTGATGATGAAAAAGAAATTGAAATTCAGTGAAGATACCACTAAGATAAATGATGATGTTTTTGATTCAATCCCAGACGAAAATAGAGAAGTTTAATTAGAGAGAATTTCTTGTCTCCTTAGATGGCTACAGAGTTGAGAGAAATTTCACGTTTTCTAACACCACCAAGTGGGTACGAGAAACAATTGAAACATGTAATCTTTTTTTGTTCTGTGATTTATGAGCGAAATTCACTTTTGTCGTCTCAACGAGGCTCACACTGCAGATTTTCATGTTTCTGATGATCAAGCCTTTTAAGGACACGAGTCGCTGACATTGCAAGGGAAATTTTCAGAACGAGGAAAATGTTTTCCTCAATGAGATCGCTTTCATCAAGTGATAGAAAAAGGATTTTCATTAGAATTCTTTCGTTTATGAAAAATCTTCATGTAACAGCATAATTTATTTTACATAAACATAGTTAATAATATTTTCAAATATGTTCGCTCCCTCATCGTTACTTTATTATGATGATGCACATTGATTTATTTATGGGAATTTGTACATTTAATTCACAGAGAAAAAGTATCTGAGAGCTTAAAAATATATTTAATATTGTTCAACCCTGCTGTGTATGAGAATATTTAAATATCTATATCAGCAATATGCACAGCATATGCGAAAAATAGAAACGAAAATAACAAAAAAGTCATCACTTGGAGTGCATTCGAAGCATTTTACCATATTTGGTAATATGTATGTTGAGAGAATAATCATAATTAAACATTTTCAGGAGGAGAGAAATGAATGTCGACTGGAAGCATCTGGCTGATGGATTTTTCTCATTCCATTCTGATGTTCTTTTTTAGTTTTTGTTTTCGTATTTCTCACACACTCTGCCACGTCACGTAAGATAATTCAGTAAAATTTAATTACAGTAGATACACCATCATCATCATCAAAAATTCATTGTCTGTAATGCTAACTTGTCGAAGTATTTTATTCAAAGTAGAAGAGAAGTGAAAAATACAATTCAAGACAGAATCATGAAGAAAATTAAAAGATAAATTGTCATGAGGTATAAAGTAAAAATTATGAGTTATTAATAAGTAAACTGCAGTGGAGTTATTAAATATGAGGAATATAAATGATTTTTTGCAAGCATTATTTGCATTCATTTACAGCGACATGGTTAGGTGATGTTCATTGCGCCACGCTATTAATTTTTATGCAGTTTATGAGAAATAAAAAATGCTAATTGTAGAAGCAGATAAAAAGTTGAGAATTATAAATTTTTTATGCATTAAAACATAAATAATTATTGGCTTCTTTAAGTTCGTTTTCAGATTTTATGGATCTTTCAAAATGTGAATGACAGCTGGAAGCCCTAAGAATTATGACTTCACTGTGACGATATTTCATCATTAATGTTGACAGAAAGTGAATTTAATGGAATATTTTGCACTTTAAATTTGCTTTTGAAATGGTTAAATTGCAGATTTATGTCTGTCTTTATAATATTTCTGATGAAGTTGCCATTTATTCCATTCACAAGTTGTGATATAACTTACGAAGAGTCTTACAAAAGCAAGTTTTATAATTTTAAAAGTTTTATCGTTTTTATGTTAAAGTTCATCTAATTATGACAACAAAATAATAATTAAACTAAATTCCGCTTCTGTTTTAATAATCTTGATGAATCGTTTTCAAAATAATAAACTTCGAATGAGGAATGACCTCTGTAGATGCTTTTAAAAATTATTTAAATTAACACTTAACAAGTCACTAGTAATTATTGAAGTTATAAATCAGATGAAATTTCCTGTAAAACAATTTAATTCAATTTCATTTAAACATCAACTGGTCCAATAATAATAAAAGTTGAAGGTTTCGGTTGTCATTCTGGTGATATCAATTAGCATAAACATTAATTTAACCATTTAAGACGAAATTAAAAATTACACTCATGGCCATTTAATTTGCAACAATTAATTACTTCTTTTAATAAGATATCTCGCTTACCATTATTAATAAAAGAAACTTTTTAAGAAAGCCGAAAGCGCATCCAAATATGTTCGTCGATTGTTCTGTAAGAAATCTTCGTTCATTATAAAATGGATTAAATAATTAATAAATTAAAGATTTGCTGATTAAATAATTAAAATGCCATCCCATAATTTCATTCCTTTTTAAAAAAGCTTCTCAATTTTATTCCTTTTTTTAATTAAATTGGTAGATATTATGTAACGATAGATAAGTAAACATATCGGTGGTAAATTTCTTCTGTCAAATCGATGTAGATTATTGCAGTCTTCTGTCTAATTTCACGATTACAATTTCCCTACAGCTTCACAAACATTTTTCTTGTTTCTTTTATTATTCGCCATAAAATTTTTGTTTATTTTATTTGTAATATAATTTTTAGAGAAAATAAAAAGAAAATATGAAAATTGCAAATGAAAACAAAGCAAAATGAGTAGATAGATAAAATTGTTGTTTGAGAAATGTAAGAACAAAAGATAATTAATTATCAAAATGTTTAAAAAATTCTTACAAAAAAATGACAAAACCTTGGGAGTATTTGGGGCAGTTTAAGATATGCGTTGTTGTGTGTCCTGAAATCTGAGACATTTGATTACTGATATTCATTAAATAGATATATTGAAGGGGGTAGTTTGGAACTTTGTGCTTCTTTAAAGATGCATACACACCAGCCAGAAGAAAGTAAAGAAATTATTTAAGTTGTTGTAAACAAAATATTAACGAGATAAGCGCACAAAATAATATCAATAAAAACAAAAGAGAAAATTAAGAAAAAAATGAAATTAAGAGAATTATTATTACAAAACCTTGTTGTTCATTTATGTTTACATTGCTGTAAGAGATCGAGAATGTTCTCAAAAGTTTTTCGATGCGCTGCCATCAAAAAATTCTTTTCCAAAACATTTTCGATTTAAATTCAATTATGAAAAAATTAAACTTCCTTAAAAACGTATGTGTGATGAAAGTGATGGTTGTGAATCAGAATAAGAAAATTCGTAGATCTATAATCTTGGCTCGTTCGTTGATTGTTCGTCGTTTGGTTAAATGTTTCGGTGGGCAAATGTTGATAGTTATCAGCAGATGATTTAGAAGCATTTGCGGTGAACAATTCCTGGGCCAGATTCGTCATATTCTTGTTTGCTGATCCACATCGTTTGGAAGGTGGAAAGTGAAGCCAAGATGGAGCCTCCGATCCAGACTGAGTATTTACGTTCTGGTGGAGCGATGATTTTAATCTTAATGGTTGATGGGGCGAGTGATGTAATTTCCTTTTGCATACGATCAGCAATACCAGGATACATTGTGGTACCACCGGAAAGGACAGAGTTGGCATACAAATCCTTTCTGATGTCAACATCGCACTTCATGATTGAATTGTAAACGGTCTCATGAACACCACATGATTCCATTCCCAAGAATGAAGGCTGGAAGAGAGCTTCTGGGCAACGGAAACGTTCATTACCAATGGTGATGACTTGACCATCGGGCAATTCATATGACTTCTCTAATGATGTTGAAGCTGATGCAGTTTGCATTTCTTGTTCAAAGTCCAAAGCAACATAGCACAACTTTTCCTTGATGTCACGAACAATTTCACGTTCAGCAGTTGTTGTGAATGAATATCCACGTTCAGTCAAAATCTTCATAAGATAATCAGTCAAGTCACGACCAGCTAAATCTAAACGTGTGATGGCATGTGGCAAAGCGTAACCTTCATAGATTGGAACAGTGTGTGAAACCCCATCTCCTGAATCCAAGACGATACCAGTTGTACGACCGGAAGCGTAAAGTGAAAGAACGGCTTGGATAGCAACATATCTGTTGATGATAAAATAAATTATTGACTCAATAAATTATTAATTTCTTCTTCGATTGCTACAGTCAACTTTCGGTTATAAATATTTCTAAATCAAAGATCATCTTTATCAATTTTGATAAACCGGAAGTTGACTGTATTGCATTAATAATTTATTTCTGAATCACTCACACTGCTGGGGCAGCGAAAGTTTCGAACATAATTTGAGTCATCTTCTCACGATTTGTTTTTGGATTCAATGGAGCTTCAGTCAAGAGAACTGGATGTTCTTCTGGTGCAACACGTAATTCATTGTAGAAAGTGTGATGCCAGATCTTTTCCATGTCATCCCAGTTGGTGATGATTCCATGTTCAATTGGATATTTCAATGTAAGAATCCCACGTTTGCTTTGTGCTTCGTCACCGACATAAGCATCTTTCTGACCCATACCGACCATCACACCTTGGTGGCGTGGACGACCAACGATTGAAGGGAAGACAGCACGTGGTGCATCATCACCAGCAAAACCAGCTTTGCACATTCCTGATCCATTGTCAATGACAAGTGCTCCTGCATCATCATCACACATTTTGATTTTCTTGTTTTATTTGTTCTGATGCATCATGGAGAAGAAAAGAAATGAAGAAATTTAGAAAAAATAAAACAAAGCATTGCATTGCACTTATTTAGTAAGAAACAAAAAAATTCATTTCGGAAATTTACTGCTTTTCAAATGTGAAATAAAGATAAACTGTTCAATTGAATTCCGTAGACTAATTTTAGCGTTTCAATCGTGTTGCTTTTTAGCTTTTTAGAAAATGCTTGTTCGAGTTGCGATTTACATTTCGAAGTGACTGATCTAAATTTATTTTTACTTATACTCTCATCACTTGATTGTGTCACTGAACTGAATTTGTCACTTGAATGAGATCGATTTTTAGGGGGGATTTTTTGGGAAGTATTGAACATTTATGGACATTTTATTAAACCAGAATCTTCTTGAATAATTTTGAAGATATCGAATATTTTAAGTGAACTCATATGGGAAAATCTTTTCTGCGAATATAAAAGCCTTCGATCTCGATGTCATGGAGAAACGACATAAAAATGCAAATTTCTGGGAAAAATTATTGATGTCTCAAAGACACTTTGGGAGAAGTTTTCACGTTCTTCTTTTCTCGAACATTATGCACTTAAAATTTGACATCAACACGGGAATATCATGTCTCCTGGAGCTTTTCTTGCATTATGTAATTTGCAGTTTCTTGAGAATTTTCTGTAATGATGTCATAAGGAATTTTTTTAACTTTTCGTGTCACTCATTTATAATCTTTTTGAACACAATTGAGAGATTTTTTTAGTTCGCTCTTTCCATTAATTTGAACTTATGTCATTAATTTTTAATTTTCTTAGATCTTTTCTGTTTCTTATTTCACAATTGCACAACAATATTTATATCTATCATGAAATTATAAAAAGTTAAAACCAACTAACCCTTTGTTAACGAAAAAAAGTGTTACAGAAAAATTAAAGAAAAATCGAGTTTCCCGGGGCTCTTTTCTCTTAATGCTCTGATGCTGGTCCTTAGCTGGCTACTAAGTCTTTAACAAAGTGAACACCGCACATTTATTCTTTTTCAATTTATATATTGAGTGATGGGTTCGCGAGCCGAAACCATTACAAACGTGAAAAAAAACTAGAAGTGCAATCCTTCTAAGGACCGAATGAGTTGATAGAGTCTTGAACATCTCGTTGACTTGATAATTTACTTTGTTGTTTGTAAATTTGGATGTGATTACATATCGTGATAAAAGCCGATTATTCACGAATAAAATGCTAACAATACAAATAAAGATGTTCATGTTAATGCAGGAAAAAAAACATATCCAGTCAGAGTAAATGCATAAAACTTCTTCTTATTTTACATTCTTTTCTTCGAGCTGATTATTACATCACGAGTTTTCTTAATCTTCTTTCATAATTTTATTTATTTGGTGCCAATTATCCTTATACGGTAAGAAAACTTTTGAGTTTTGGCGAGAAAATTTTTTCAATTATCTTCGTAAAAAATAATGAAGAAACTTCGTATATAGAAAGTTATATACACACAATTAACATTGGCGCTAATTACTTTTGTAAATTGGTTTATTGACAGTTTCTTTAAAACCTCAGTGGCGAAGATTTCTTTCCTAACTTTCAGTTTGAATTTTTTTCCTACAAATTACTTTTTAGATTTCGGCTCTGAAATCAAAAGAATGTATGAATGAGGAATGTAAATTATCGCTAAAGAAATGAGGAATCAGACGGTAGGTTTAACATGCAGTTGCATTCTTAACTTTAATCCGATTTTGTTATTTTACTATAAAATAAATTTATTTATAATGAATAAATATGAATTTTCAGAATGCAGATGTCCTGAAATAAGTATTGATTTCTCAGGAATAAAACGACTTATTTATAAATCTTTCCTCTGTATAAATAAAATTATCCAAATTCAATCATTGCAGTGAAGTGATAAAAATATTTTGAGAGCTTTTATCTTTGTAGATATTCAAGGAAGCTTTCATGGAAGCTCAACGGAAAAATTCAAATTTAAAGTTACAAACCCCATAACCTTCTAATTTACTGAACACATTCATTCTGAAAAAATAAATTTTTTCGTCTCGTTTATTATCAAAAAAAATTATTATCAAGCAAGATTAAAAAAGTTTTAAAGGTATATATATCATTATTGTGAAAGTTGCGCTATTCAGCTTCTGAAATTCACGAAATTTTATTGGAAATTTTGCTATACGCAGGAAATTACATTCAAATTGTTATCAGCTTATCAAAGTTCTTTTATGAATTTAGAAGGCATTCTTTTAAAAGGTAAAATACTATTTCTTATCTTATTCTTTCGTAAAATCAACATCCAGCGAAAGATTTCATCGCAAAAAACTTAAATCAATTCTCCATTTGTCTGCGCAGTCATTTTTCTTCTGATTTCGTGACCAAGAAAAAACTAACTAAATATGACGAAATTTTCGTTTGAAAGTTTGCCAACTCATTATCTTTATCACTAAGCAACTGCACTATCAAAGTTTGCTATTTTCTAGTAGACTTCTGTTTTTTAAAATAAATGACTTAGTAAATAGAACAACGTGTCTCGTATCTCACGTAATAAGAGAAATAACCAAAAAGAGACGACGATCGATTTTTATGATTAAGAAGAAGAAATTTTAAGACCGTCGGGACGTAGCATTCGTGTGGAACGCATTTAATATTCGTAATTCTTTTGTATATTAATTATAGAAGTATCTGATCAGATCCAACCGATATTCATTTGTCCATCAAATCGGAATTCTTCTTCAAAGTGCATGATTTCATATTCTCTAAATCAGTTGAGTCATAGGTGAGCAGTAGTAGCAGCAGCATGGAAATCCTTGAAAACATCTCGAATAATCGATATGAATATTTTGCTCTTCTCTTTTTCAGGACTTCAAAATTTTCAAGCAATAGACATCGAAAGTTGCAGCCATTTAGAAAAACGTGAATCTCTAACGAAGGAAATACACCAAAAAACAATTAAAAAGAAAAAAAAACTCCAGTTAAAAAAAAGAAAATTTGGAGCCTTCAAATTAAATTTGAAACTTTCCTCCATCCTGTGTTAGCTTAATTTAATTATAATTCATTTATTTTTTCGGCATTTTTCAACTTCATTCGAATTTTATTTTATTTTGAGTTAAAAAAAGCAAATTACCACGTTTTTGCCCACAAATGGTTTTTGTCAATTATCGGAATCAATCAAAAACGACGACTCAGCAAAGCAGTAGGTTCGATCTAAAGATTCTAACATTCCGCTAAATTGTCATCCCCTAAAATCTACTTCGGCAATCGACCCGTAATTTATTTTTCATTTAAAACAACACCAACAAATTATCAACATTGCTCCACATCAAAAAAAAACAAGATAGGAAGAAGGAAAGAATTTCTTAAATATTTATGCTTAAAGCAAAACAAAATAAGAAACACCAGAAAGTGAATGATTTGACATCTTTGATTTCACGGTAAGTTTTCTTTAAATTTTGCTTAAATCTCTCAAATTTCACTGAATATTTTTTGTAGATTTTAATGCTTGAATCGTTTGTTAAAAAACCATCACGTGTGAATTAAAGAATCCTAACTTACGAAAGAATTAAACCACAAGAAAGCGAACATCACTCAATAAAAAAGAAAGGAGAAGCACCAAATCAATTATGGGAACTTTAAATGTCAATCGTAAAGTCACTGACTTGTATTATCGTTATAAGATGCCACGCATTTGCGCGAAGGTTGAAGGCAAAGGAAATGGGATTAAAACGGTGATTGTCAACATGGCTGATGTCGCTAAAGCTTTGAATCGTCCAGCGACGTATCCGACGAAATATTTCGGGTGTGAACTTGGAGCACAAACCCAATTTGATCATAAAAATGAACGTTTCATTGTCAACGGATCGCATGATGCTGGAAAGTTGCAAGATTTACTCGATGGCTTCATTCGCAAGTATGTCTTGTGTCCCGAATGCGACAATCCTGAAACGGATTTGTTGATTTCGGCAAAGAAGGAAATCATCTCGCAGACATGCAAAGCTTGCGGATATCATGGATTGTTAGCTGTTCAACATAAGTTGAACACTTTCATCTTGAAGAATCCACCGAATATCAATCCAGCATCTCAAGGTGCTTCATTGACTGAAGGAAAACGTTCGAAACGATCAAATAAGAAAGTTGATGGCGATTCAACAACAAATGGCGATCAATCGAACGATTCAAATGATTTTGAGACAAGCAAGTTGTCGGTAAGTAATTTTGTTTTAAGTTTTTTTGAATATGCAATGCAATTAAAATTTTAATTTAATTATGAAGGTCACTAATAGTAACGAAGATGAAGAAGACGATGCAAATTGGACAGTTGATGTCAGTGAAGAAGCTGTTCGTGCTCGTATGGAGGACTTGACTGATGGTGCCAAGAACATCACGATTTCTGAAGACACGGAAAAGACGGAAAAGCAACGAATTGACATTTATTACGAATATGTTAAGAAGCGTCGTGATGCTGGTGAATTGGAGAAGGTCCAGACACAGAAGGAGTTGCATAACGAAGCTAATCGCTTGGAAATTCATCAGAAGGCTCCTTTGATCCTCGCTGAACTTCTTTTCTCAGCAAATATTCCAGCCGAGGTCAAGAAACATCGCAATTTGCTTTTGCGCTTCACTCATGACGACACAAAAGCTCAGAAATATTTGCTTGGTGGTGTTGAGCAGATCATCGCTTTGCACGCTGCAAAGTTGATGGAAAAGGTTGCTGGAATCTTGAAGATGTTCTATGATTTAGATTTGTTGGAAGAGAAAGTTTTGCTTGAATGGGGATCAAAGGTTAGCAAGAAGTACGTGTCGAAGGAAGTTGCTGCACAAATTCATGAAAAAGCTGCGCCATTCATCAAATGGTTGCAAGAAGCTGAAGAAGAATCTGAAGATTCAGAAGATGATGAAGTGGAAATTGGCTTCGACGACCGTGCAAAAGTGGATTCTTTGAAGAACAATGTGGTGAAACCGCCAGCGACTAAAACCACCAACAAAGTCGCTGATGACGATGATGATGAAGAGCTTGACATTGATAATATTTAAACTCATATTTTGTTTGATTTTTTTTTCTACTTTCCTTTATTTTATGCGAAACTGCAAATTTTGCTTTCGCTTGGGTCAATTTTTCTCTAATTAACAAATCAAATTCTTCTTTCTATTAGTTGAAAAAACATTTCTGCTATTACAATCAATGCTTTAAACTTGTTTAATTACTCTTTTGATTTTGCTTTTGCTCAGTTTCTTATTTTTGGTTGATGATTTAAGATTTTTGAACTATCGTCAATTGATATTTTTTTAAATAAAAAATAAACAAAACAATCTGATGAATATGAGAGAAATCTGGAAATAAAGAAAAATGATATTTGGAAAACTTATTTAATTTATTTTTGTTTTATTTATAATGAAGATTTATTATAGCTCAATTGGAAGCATTGTTAAAGCTTGATCAACATGAGATTTTGCTAATGTTTTTTTCTTTTGTTGATTAGCATGACTGAAAGATTCTGTTGCAAGAGTTTTCACAAATAATTCTGTAGCTTTTGTGATAAGGAAAACTGCTTCACTGTTAACAAGATTCACTTCTGGATCTGAAAAATCTAGTCATTAACAGGTGTTGATGATAAAATTTCACGTTTAAACTTACCGAGTTTTATTATACTTTTCACTTTTGCCAAGGGAAGGTCAGAAATACGATTGACAGAAACAGTTTTAAAAGAAGCTTTTGGAGTCTGTTTTATTACTTCAGCTGTCGCTTCTTCCAATAACTCTGGATCATGGTTTTCTTCTATTGCTTCATCATCTTCAATTTCACTTACTTTATTTGGTATAATTTCATTTTCATCGATAGTCATTGGTTCATCACTGGGCTCGTCATCTTTAGCTTCGGAAACAATTCCTGCACTATCTGTTGATGCTTTTGTTAAATCTTCACTAGAAAAAAGATCTTCAGATTCAAGTAATCGATTATCTGTATTTTGAGACATTTTAAATTGTTTGTTATTATTGGTAGAAGTAAGTTAACTTAAGTTAATTTCACGCGGGAAAATATCAATCGTGATAATCCTGGGTAGATTTTTAACCGATTATTGTAAAACAAAGAGGATTAAACCGATTGTAAATAAATATTTTTCCGAATTTCTGCAAAACAGAAAAGATTATAAAACCTTTGAAAATTCATCAAAATGTATGGAATAATGTTGAAAAACAGCTCATCATTCAATGCTTTATCAAGGTAAGAATAAAAATAAAAGTCATTAAACACATTTCAAGAATTAAAAAACTTTTAGATTGACCATAAATAAAAATAAATTCAAAACTTTACCACCATTGCTGACTACAAGAAACTACAGTGCAAGTGAAGCAAAAGGAACATCTAAAGATAACCGCGACAATCCCGTGAAATTTATAGGATCGGAAGCACATTCATGGGATGCTAAATTCACTCGGTCGTCTCCAGATATTGAACAAATTCCCATAATTCAACCCATCAGTGTGGTTTTGAGCGTTGGCATTTTCTTACTTTACTTTTGCGTTCTCCGAGAAGAAAATGATATTGATCTTGAGTTTGAACAAACTCTATATCAACGAGTACCAGGGATGGAAGAAACGCAACTTATTATCAACTATAAATACAACATTGAAAACCAAATTGATAATACAGAAATAATAGCACGTATGCGAGAATTGGGAATGAAGCCAGAAAATATTGAAGTTTAATGTAGTGTTTTAGGAATAGCTTATTTAAAATGATTTAAAAGAAAAAGAATAAAGTCATTTGTTGAAAATTTACATGTAAGTTTGTATGATTCTGAATCGGTTTTAGAGCGGTTATGTTTACATGTAAAAACTTTTCAATTATCATTGATTTAAATTCGATTATGATTATTCAAACATAAATTGCAACTAATACGCAACATCAATCGGTTGGAAGTTTTGCGGTTCAACTGTTTGAATAAAAATTGCGAATTAGTTGCAAATAATAAAATTATAGCAGTTTTTTTATATATGAGAAAATTTAGGAAACTTCAGCTTT